CTGATATATCTCCACGTTTGACTATAGTTAACCATTCAAATGAACCTTAATTTCAATTTTGATCAGATGTTATATGGCGAGACACCATGTAATCCGAACATGGCTGTCCTTGACCTTGAGGAGTTTGGAAAGCTGGGAAGGTCATTAGATAATACCCTAACAATGGTGGACAGCACTTTTGCTAGTCCCTATCTACAGCCTGTTATAAAACATGGAATCGACATTTCGATGCACAGCTGGTGTGTTTTTGTTTAATGAATACAGTGTCTTCTAATCCATTGTTGAAATTATTATCAATGTCATCGACAAATTTTTATCAGAGAAGAAAATCAACATGTATATTTTCATTTTTGCTAAAAAGGACAATAAAAATAATTTTAACTGAATCTAGACATATTCTACAAAAAATATGCTTTAAATTCTATTACAGCACCAAATATCTCGGGGGCCATAGTGACCTCGTGGGTGGATGTTTGACCTTTGCCTCTGTTGACCTCTGGAAAACCGTGATTCATTATCAAATCAGTCTGGGAACAACACTAGTATGTTGTATACATGTACTTTATTACCGTGGAATCGTTATATTTCGTGAGGGTTCAATTTTCCAGAGTATCCCCCACTCCTCATTTAACCCACGAATTTATAGCCCCAATAAATAGTGAAATGACGTAATTATCTTTCGTAATGAGCCTACTGCCTAAGAAATTTCTTCCCAACAATGTGTTTGAGCAAACAAAGAAACTTGGCCACAATGAAATAAAAAGATTCCACAGTATGGTGTTTTAATTTAGGTTTTTCGGTACTTTTAAAATAGTTACGTTTTCTGCATCTGAACTTTTGAGTTTTTCTAGATATCTTAATGCCATCCTCATGCGAGAGAGTCTAGATATGCACACCTTTCAATCTCGATGATATGTCATAATAAACCAAAAAGCAAAATCCTCTCACATAATTATGTCATTGACTCCATTCAACTTTAGTTTCTTTAAGTTTCTTTTTTTTTATATTCAGTCACCCCACGATGCAAGTCTCCTCCTCCGCGGAATCAAAACCCTTCCTGTGCGCATGGAAAGACACAGCTCTAATGCCCAGAAAGTAGCCGAGTTCTTGGAAAAACATCCCAAGGTGACGACATTAATGGGGAATTTTAACAATACAAAGGTTTAGCAAACCAATGTGATGCGTACTTGTTGCAATGTGCGTGTAGTAGGGGATTTCCCCCAAAATCTGTGTATTACGTCAACAGTTTTTCTACACGTAGGTAAGTCACAATGTACGTGTAGATAGCAGGGTGCCCGTGAGTACGAACTTGTAGCCCCCCCCCCTCCCTTAATTACTGTTTCAATAAAGATGCGTGTTTTTGTAAAACCTGAAGATTTAACACGCATTCTCTGTAAGCACCAAAAAATCTTGGAAACGACATGTTTCGGATTTTGATGAAATTTGCACCACAAATGTGTCTTGGTACAAAACTAGCAAATATGGTGTCGGAAGTTCCACACGTGCACTTGGTTGCCATGGAGACGGATCCATTGAATTTGGCCCTTTTTGACCAAATGAAAACATGAAAATTAAGGAAATGTAAACGGATATTTATCGGTATCTACTACACTCAAACTAAAATCATTGGATCACATGATAACTTGAACTTTTAAGGTACACAAGGCATATAATCATTTATTCTAGAAATATTCCCAATCTAATAAAAAAGGTCATGCAAATTGACTGACGTAAAGAATTGAAAAATATTATTTTATAGAGCGTTAAATACTCAAGATTTGAAAAAATACTTCGACGAATCCAAATTACAAGAGCTCTTTTTTAAATTATTTGTAATAAATGTATTTGTTTGAAACAGTAATATACATAATGCATTTCATGTGCTCATTATAATCACACGTGGGTATCTAACGATGACTTTACACGTACAAGCATACGTTAGTTTGCTAAACCTCTCTTTAAATAAAAAAAGGCTTCGTCTGGTTGGTCTTCTAATTCGAGTTAATATTTCTACAGGTTGAGAGGGTGATGTATCCTGGTCTTCCATCACATCCGCAACATCAGATTGCCAAGAAACAGATGAAGATGTTCAGCGGAATGATCGCCGCCGAGATTAAGGGAGGAGTGCAAGGAGGGAAGATTCTTGCTGAGGTACTTCTTACATCTCGAATAAGCGACTAAAGTCTCAAGAATGATTTCATTTGTTTCGAATATTTATAGATAATTTAATACCTAGAATGTTAAGTTAATATCTTGGGAACAGGGAACTGGCTAAAGAGATAGTATCCTACCGTTGTCGTATTGAAAACGCATAATAAAGTGGCATCTGATGAAATATTTCATTTCAAGATTGTTTCATCATTGACTACGTCTTTCCAGTTTTTAGAACAATGTCTTGAATTATTTCATATTTGCATTTTAATTGCTAAAAAGGGTGTGCGCCTAATACAACTGGCAGTTTCGTTGGGAGGAGTAGAAAGTCTAATCGAACACCCCGCCACGATGACGCATGGCCCAATGTTGATGACGTCAGAGGACAGACTAAGTGGTGGTATAACTGATGGTCTTATAAGACTAAGGTAAACACATTTCATTTCAAAAGTTGAGTAAAAGCTCCAAGATATCAAATTTGATTCTAAAATAACATTTTTTCTTAAATTACACACAGTATTATTTCATATCGATTCTTTTTTGTAGTATCGGTTTAGAGGACGCAGATGACCTTATCAAAGACCTGAAGCAAGCATTAGATAAAATTCCAGACAGTCTCATAGCTTAATGAGAATACATTTATAGTACGATAAAGCACCTTGAAGACAGATTGTTCAGTGTACTTAGTTCGTTAACGCTATTAAATTAGAACAGTAACCTACATATTGTACGCTTTGACATTCAATAGATCAAACATCAAACAGAGAGACAGTTAATGTTACAAGTAATCTACTTTAATCCATCTTACTTTAAACGAGGGAAGACATTCTATAACTTCCGGTAAATGGCACCAGGGATCAGGGTATTTTTTATATCTTCTCTCACCTAGGAGACGAACGCCAGACACCATTATTTTGACGATGGTCTTGCACACAGAATTCAGTATTGTAGTATTAAAATCACAAATGTTTGATGCGTCCAGAAAAAACATATCGTCACAAAACAACCGGGTGAATCCATACTTTACACCCTATAATATAAGTACATGTATTACGCATAAGTCAAACTGAGTCATACTAGTTATGTTTTGAAATGCCAAATTGATTCTTCATTAGCGTCCTGATTGAAGCTGCTCACGCAGAATGGTTTTCATATTAAATGGTTGATATCAAATTTGATAACATCGAATTTTTCTTTAAAAAGACATACATTGGTATACCTAAATAAATACGACATTATAAGTAATGTCCGGAGAAATATGCAAAATTAAGAAAGTTTTTCGTACTTACACAACCGTAACAAAGGTCATGTCGAACACATGCTGTCGCCATGAACTTTTTTAAGAAGTTTGGAGTATGAGAACAACCATCCACAAAAGGGAAATAATCGCATGTCTGTCCGTTAACCTTAACACATATGAAAAGCAACAAAACCTGTTTAAAAAATAAATTCATTAAAGACTTCCTCAAACAATTTCAGGAAATATGCATAATTAATTCAGAACATGGCCATAGGAACCGGAGGAGGGGTGGGGGTTGTGCCCCCTCCAATAAGTTTGCCAATATATGGTAAACTACAGGAAACAAAGCTACATTATGGATGTGCCCCCCCCCCCCTTTCATAACTTTTTTTTTTGCTTGTCAAGGAATTTTTGCTTGGTAGTGACCACCCAAACTGAAAATGTTTTGGTATGCCCCCCCCCCCCCCGAAGATTGCTTCTACGGGCCTGCAGAAAAGAACGACAATTGATACAAAGGGTGTGGGAGGGGATCCACACACAGTTCCCTCTGCGAGTTCTAATTTCATCTAACTAACAAGTTATGGACGGGTTTTTAATATTTAAATTAAATTTTAGTATTGCAACTATAAACAACATTGTCTTAACCCCACTTCAAGGAATCTGCAGGGAGAGGGGGGGGGTGCAAAAAAAAAAATACCAACCCTTTTGCCGACTGAGCAGATATCCACCATCCTGAAGTGATATTGGTGCATGTGGAACATTGATATGTATCATACTAGCTCGGCGTTTTAACAACAGGCCTTGATCAGTTGCGCATGAAGTGCATCGTCCTCAAAAGAGCCGTTTTGGTTTTTAATCTTACTTTTTATGTTTTCCAGGTGGTAATAGAGTGGCAAATTATCTGAATAAGCCTTTTATATTCTCATAATTTTGATACGTTTGGCGTTTCGAAAATGAAAGACATTTCTCAAAAGTCGTAATGTTCATTCAAATAAACAATTTTGAATCGTTTGAAAAAGTATATATTAGTTATGTCTTCCATTGTAGAAAGGTCTTGAGGAACATTAGCAGGCATAATTTTCAGGTAACGCTAATGTGCTTCTGCCAGTAATTACCAAGGCAGGTTCATACCCATAAGAAATTTTCAAAAATAAAAGGCATTCCCTTCAGGAAGTTCATTCATTATTAAGACACTGCAACATTAAGTTACGATTTTCCATTGTAATAGATTTTACATTCTTCAGAATTTTTATAATTCGCAAGTGAAGATGATAGTGTTGTAAAATGCATTGAAACATAAATTCTTGTAAAGGATGAATATATAATTTGTGACTTTGATTTAATAAGTATGAAGGTATAATTGACTGTTGAACCGTGTCACATGGTAGGAGTTTTAATAACATTAATAAACACCCTTATCCTTAAACATGTCTTAAAAAACCGAAAAGAATTTAAATGAATCAAAAATTAAAGCAAAATACAAACTTCTGTGTAAGCATGCACCTCTTTCCTTATGTATTTATTCAAAATAAAAGAAAAAATTATAAAATATAACCAGTGCATTAAAAACTTCAAAGTGAAAAAAAAATTGGTGTAAAATCTGAACATATGAATTTTAATTCAATTTATTGACATCACCATGTTGGTATACAGTCAAAATAAGAAATCAAATGACAGACAACAGGGAAAAAGAAAAGAAAAATATAACATAATTGCATGCAATACAATTTTACACAATTCCTTATAGTCCCTGGATTTGTTTTCTCTGCATAAAGCATTTAAAAAGCAATGACTCTCCTTTTAATATAGACAGAGTCTCGAACTTGATCTTTGACTTACGATGATAATCAGCATGCCAAGTACCAAATAATAATCTCAAACTATGACTAAAAGAAGCTTTGAAAACTGACTTGTCAGGAAAGAAGATGTTCAAAGGGTTAAAACTCCATAAATATTGAGCAAAATCTCTTCAAATTCAAATATGTAATTCATCATCAGGCGCGGATCCAGGAATTTTTTTCCGGGGGGGGGGGGGGCATTCAAAAAATATTTCCAATCCAGAAATTTCTTGACAAACCAACAAAAAAGTCCGGACCCCCCCCCCCCCCTCTCTTAATCCGCGTATGATCATGCAATAGAAAGAAGAAATTCAATTGGCTATTTCTAAGCCAGAGAACCCATGATCAGACAACTCCATTGGCACGCAGAAAATCGTCTCTGGTTTTCGGAGGGGGGGGGGGGTTAGATTCGATAACGGGGGCCAACAGAGAAATAAAAACATTTAAAAGAGGTCACATGAATTAATTATTTAGCTTTACTGTCGAAATATAGCTTAAATACTTCAGACAGGTTGAAACAACAAATATTGTTCAAGTAAAGTGACAAAATTCAGGTTTTTTCCCTCAAAGCACGACAAAAAGTTCAAGAACAGACAGAAGAATAGCGCTGCTTTAGGGATAAAAGATGGATGTACAGAAGCTTTTTTTTATTATTATTTTCACACACAAAAGAAATTACAATTACGCATAAATGTAATATACGAATAAAAGTTTCTGCCGGTACATTGAACAATCGGTAACGGTGCAGGCGATTTTCGTCCTTGAACCTTAAAACTGAAAGACATACAATCATTCTAATTGCATAAATAAATTTCTCATTGTTTCCGTTTCTTTAAAGCGTTTATCATACATCCTCCCTCCTTTTGATGCCGTTTGAGATGCGACGCAACCACGTAAGTTTTGTCGCAATTGTCACAGGCAAAAGGTCGATATCCAGAATGGAGTTGGCGATGGTTTTCTAAAGATTTTAAAATAATGAACTGTTTGCCACATGTTTCACATTCATAATTCTTCTCACCTGTATGTGTTTTCAAATGATATCTGAGAGTTTTTGAACAGAAATAACTCTTTTTACAAATCCCACACTCATAGCTTCTCTCTTTCAAATGAACTCGTTTAACGTGAGCTTTACGATTGCCCGCCGTTAAAAACGCCATACCACAGACATCGCATAGATGTGGCTTTTCATTTCTGTGGCTCATCATATGACGTTCAAGATGACCTTTCCTTGAGAATTTTTTCTGGCACTGTTGACATTCGAATGGTCTTTCTTTCAGATGAACCGCTGATACATGCATTGCTAAGTTCCTCTTAGAGACAAAAGATTTGGAACAGATTTCACATTTAAATGGCGTCGCCGAGGTATGAATTTTCATGTGTAACTGCAATAATCTATCTGTAGTGAAAGCCTCCTGGCATAAACCGCAAGTAAATGGAGTGGGCAATGTTTTACCATGAACACTCTCTACGTGGCGCTTTAGATGTGCCCTTTCTTTGAACCTCTTGTCGCAGATAAAGCAGGAATGAGTACCTGTTCTTAATGTATGCACATTCCGCACATGTCGGTCCAAGTCTGGCTTTCTTGTAAAATTTTTGTTACAGATGGTGCAAATACATGATTTTGGGCCGTAGCTTCTTTCTATCACGATGGGAGTTTGGTTCTGCTGGCTTTGAACGTTTGAAGCAGACCTTGTATTTAAAGGGTCTAAATTTGCCCTGGCACAAATAACACCACTAATATCGTTGATATAGTCCTCGGCATTTAAATCTTTATTTTCTTCATATTGCAAGTTCACATGGTCTTTGCTATTTCGATCAGTGTTTCCATCAATGTTATCAGCAACTTTTATCATCTTTCGTGCTTACTTCAAGATTCTTAAAATATTTTTTTCTGAAAAAAAAAATCATCAAAAGGTCTGTTAACAACTGAAAAACAAGAGGCCCATGAGCCAAAACACTCGCCTGAGTAACTATGGCCCTTCTGTTCATCAGCAGATTCTTTATATATACATGTATATATATTCAAGTATGTAAAACTTTGATCACATATCATGGCCCCACCCTTCCCCAGGGGTGGGGTGGGGGGTCATGATTTGAACAAATTCAATCTACACTATCTGAGGATGCTTTCATATAAATATGACTAATCATGGCTTTGCTGTTCTTGACAGGAAGATTTTTAAAGATTTTTTCTATGTATTCCTATGCAAAACTTTAATTTCCCATTCTGACCCCACCTACTCCTGGGGGTCATGATTTGAATAAAAGTGAATCTAAACCAAATTACCTGTGGATAGTTCTATATAAATATGACTAATCTTGGCTGCTGTTCCCGGGAAAAGATTTTTAAAGAAATTTCCTATATATTCGGAAGTAAAACTTTGATCCCCCATTTTTGCCACATCCTTCACTAGGGGATCATGATTTGAACAAACTTGAATCTACACTACCCAAGGATGCTTCCATATAAATATGACTAATCATGGCTTTGTTGTTCTTGAAAAGAAGATTCTATAATTCTTATGTATAACTTTGATCCCCAGATGTGGCCCCATCCAACCCCTGGAGGTCATGATTTGAACAAATTTGAATTTACACTACCTGAGAATGCTTCCATATATGACTAATTATGGTTTTGTTGTCCTTGAGAAGAAGATTTTTAAAGGTATTTCATATGTATTCCTATGTAAAACTTTGATCTCTGTTGTTGCCCCAACCTACCCCCAGGGGTCATAATTTGAACAATCTTGAATCTAAACTACCTGAGGATGTTTCTTTATCAATATTACTAATTATGGCTTTGCTGTTCTTAGAAGATTTTTTTTATATATTCCTATGTATAACTTTGATCCCTTTTTGTAGTCTGCCCTACCCCCCCCCCCCCCCCCCCCCCCCAAGGTCAATCATGATTTGAACAAATTTGAACCTATGCTACCTAAGGATGCTTCTGTATTAATCTATGACTAATATTAATGGCTTTGCTGTTCTTTAGAGGAAGATTTTTTATAGAAAGTTCCTACATCCTTTGATCCACTTGTGTGGCCCCAACCTACCCCCAGGGTCATGATTTGAACAAACTTGAATCTACAATATGTAATGAAGCCTTCATTTAAGTTTCATCTTTTCTGGCCCAGTGGTTCTTGAAAAATTTTTAAAAGATGCAACCAAATGAATTCTTAATTAGCAATAATCTCCCCTTGAAAGAAGGCATTGCACTTCCTGTGAATAAATCAAATCCCATTCACCTAAGGATGATTTGTTGCAAGTTTGGTTAAAATTGGCCCAGTGGTTCTGGAGAAGAAGTTTAAAATGTGAAAAGTTTACACACGACAGACAAACACTAGACACTTTTCGATCAAAAAAAGCTCACTTGAGCCCTTGGTTCAGGTGAGCTAAAATGGGAGTAATTTTGGTATACTTTAGTAAAAACAATGGCCTAACAATTGGTATAAAACTTGTCAGTCAAAATAGGACTCAACAAAAGGACTCAATAAAAGATCACAGAAATTTTAAACAAGAATGTAGAAAGCCTATTAGCTTTAATTGTCTCAAAAAGTATTATTTGGTTTTCATATCTTGCTAAATCGCTTTAAATAATTATTATTTAAGGTGTTATCAAAACAGATTAACCTGAGAGAGACATAGCAGTTTGAAATGATTCAGAAGAAGAAGCATCATTTTTAGATAATTTACAAGATGAATTTATTTTTAAAACATTGCCAAATCGTTTATCAAAAATGGATTCAAATAAATATCTTGGTACATATTATAACATGTGCAGGCCATTTACTGGTTTCAGAAACTGTAGGAGGAGTAGCAGACGACGGACGACAGACAACAAGACAAACCAGTGCACGGTGCTCTTCTGAACTACAATGACCTACATGTTTCTACGACAAAGACTGGAACGGACAACCGTAGATTCACAATAGAAAAATCAATTACAGTCGGATGATACAAAAATTAAAAGGATCAAACACATACAGAGATAAAAAAAAATTTGAACATTTTTGATGTTTATGAATCATTTAACGATCTTTTCGTTAGCATATAAGCTCAAAGTTAAAAAAAAATTATCGATCTTACATTCAGGGCCCAAGCTGTAGTTCCGTACACAAACAATACTTGTAACCCACTTTAGATGCATTTTATGGAGACGCGTTGGTGATATTATTTGTGCGTATCACGAACTTTAACTCAAGTAAGACTTTATAAGTGCTTCATGTTGATACCTGTAAATTTATCTTATTCCTCTTCTTCAGTCAGTCACTACAACAGCAAAACTGCAGGACACTGAAGATTACACACTGGTGCGCATGCGTGAACAATTTTATATAAACATTAACCAAAAATAAATAAATAAATAAATAAATAAATAAAAGGTGTTTATAGTAACTATTTACCAAAAAAGTGATTAAAATTAACAATGTCTGCTTTTACATGAGAGTATAGAGAACAGCTGAAAAAAAAAACCCATAAAAATGTTCGTATTTTAAAGAATTCTTTAGATATTACGGAGACGATCTCGTTTTGCTCAAGAAAATTTTAGACCCATTCTCTTTACTATACCTACCCAACTAAACTTCCAGCGCACGAAATATTTATTAAACATGTATCAGGACATATATTTACATTTGATATCTAATTACCTTTTAACAAGTGACAAACTGTGTAGAAAACCAATTTATATTAGATGCAGTTTGAATACTTAATTTTTTTTCGTTGTTTCGAGTGATGCACACTTTCTGTAGTTTCGGACATAAACAGTGAAAAATGAGGTAAGAAGTAAATAATAAATGACAGAATATTATATAAAACACTTAATTTCCTTTCTTTTTAAAGCAATGCTAGAGAAATACATTTTGACTCACAACATAGATTACATGTAGCTGCTTGTTTTGAATATATTTTATCGACTACATAAAAAAGTATTGGAAACAAGTTCTTGTGACTTACTAGTTCTTTACCTTACGTATTACAATAATATGTCATGCAAATTAAAGAAAAAATACATCCTTCCAACGTCAGGGGTTCTGAGTCAACATGTTGGACCCTGACAAACATTCGATATATTGCGGGCTAACTGCAGCGACGTCTTTCGGGAAAATTACAAATCTTGATTGTTTTTCTTATCTCTCAACCAAACACATTAAACAATGCGTAACAGTCGTGCATTTTTTTTAAATTATTTTATTTTTTTCATCTTAATACAAACATACTGTAATACTAAATTCTTTTCTTTTTTACAAACCATTCGCTCTCACTTTCTCACTCACACATATTATATGTAACAGTTGCGCATTTTAAGTGTCAAATGAAAAATGATACAATAAATATTTATCTGCAAAGGCAAATTTACATTGACTACCACATAATAATAGATTATATTAACAGCGACCAATTCAGGTATGAACAAGCGATTAAAAAGTTACTTATAGCATTAGAATAATTTTTGCATGCGAAAAAGAAATGGTACACATCTTCATGTTTTCCACATGAACGTCAAGGACTATTTATCAAAGTAACATTTTTTATTCTTCGTGAGTTTTCTTGTTTTTTAATGAATAGAATCCATAGGCGTCGGAAGCAAATTGAAAGTGGAGTGGCTAATTGAAAATGGGTGGGTGGGGGTTAAGCCAACGGAAAAAGGTAAGCCCCAGTTTTCAATACCTATATTTGTCTATCTTCGAAGAAAAGTGGGGGGGGAACCCCCCCCCCCGGTTCCGACACCTATGGAATCATTTTGGGATCATTTAAAAGATACCAATGGTGGCATTACAAGACAGCATTCTCAGTGCGATAGTATTCTATACTGATTGAAAAAGACGTAAGAATAGTGTAAAAATTGAATTAACATAAAACTGACTTTTTCTGCACCTGTTTTTCACTTGTAAGTTTTCAATGTAAAATTAAATGGAATATTAGCTGATATATTTAAAAAAAATGGACTGAAAAAAACATGCCTCTGCACAATTAATTCGTATTGACAACTGTGTGTAGTCATTAATTCAGTTGGCTTATCAATCTATAGTCACCGGTCAATACTTTTATATATACCGATATCTATTTTCCTTCAATTTGGTACAGCAAAAAATTGGTTAAAATTTTCAACTTGGTCCGTGATTTTTTGGGCGGAAGATATAGAAAAGTGTGAGATATACATGCATATACAGAAAACCCACACTTTTTACAAAGAATTGCACGCCTAACTATGGTACAACATTGATTAATATCATTCATAAAATCAATATCAGGGAATATATAGATATACATGTACACGATACGTACTCGTATATTGGCTTTGAATTGATATTTTTTGACATGTATTATTTCATAAAACGGAAAGCTGTGCTGAAACACACAACGCGCTTTATTTGTCAGCACAACCACTTTGGAAAAAAATTTCAAAGTGCATTAATTTTGTGACCAAGTTAGCGCACTTTGAAAAAAAATATTTCTTTTCAAAGTGCGTTGATATCGACCATATTAACGCACTTTGAAAAAAAGCACGGCTTAGTCAATATTCTTGCAAATTTTAGGTATGATAAATAAAATTATTTGGACGTGGTTGGATAACTTTTCCGTGATGACGTCACTTCAGGATGTGAGATATAAACGTTTTAAAGATTTTCAGGGGTTGACTTGTTATCAAAAGATTCTCGTAAATATTATTAAAGGGAAATGGGTCTTTTAGAAATAACAGAGGAATGATTGTTTAATAGCACATTTTTTTTCTTTTTTTATTTTATCCAGTCTATGATAAGTCCGGGTCGATAAATGACTTAAAGCATCGCATTTTTCTTAGGAAAAAGCAAGCAATTATGATTTTTCCATACCATGAAAATTCTCTCTCTCTCTCTCTCTCTCTAATCTATCTATCTAACAATCTATCATATTGGCACCTATCTATATATCGTGAACATACAATGTATGTGAAACAATGGTTGACTCATTTATTTTATAGGAAGAAAAATAAACCTTAGCCATATTACTCACTCGACTGAACGCGAAATCTAATAACTTTTTCGCAAAAAAAAAAAAAAAAAAAAAAAAAAAAAAAAAATCTTATAAACAATAGTTATGCAGTCAGATTACTTCTAAATCTGTAATTTGATATTTTAAAAAAGGTTAGACATGTAAAATACCATTTTTTAAATTACCCTGTAAATGCCTTTTTTTTCTGAGGAATCATTGTGGATACATTTTGATTAAAGGTTATGCAGCTCGGTGGAATATTAAACAGACAACCAACGATCCATATAGCTAACATGATCCGCAGTTTCTCAAAATCCCATGTTGTTCAATTTTTTTCAATTAAAGTGCGTTAAGTGTCTCCATTGTAAAAAATGTAGATGTACACTCTTAACTCACTTTGAAAAAAAAAATCAAAGTGCGTTAATTTTGTCCCAAAATTGACGCACTTTGAAAAAAATTTCAAAGTGTGTTGATTTTGTCCCAATTTTAACGCACTTTGAATTTTTTTTTTCCAAAGTAAGTAATTTTTTCAAAGTGCGTTGCCACAGCGCAGTCATTTTCGCTTTCAAAAAAATGCAGTGAAAAAATTCATGTTTTATTTTCTACGATAATTCGTGTACAAAATCAGGTAGAAGGTAATAAAGGCACGCGTGCAGTACACTTTCCTAATATTGCACACAAGCTGGAAAACTTGCACACAAGAAGCAGCTGCAACCTTTTAGAGGGTCGTATTATTTTATGTACTATTTTCTACAATTATTTGTACGGCAGTGCTGAGAATTTTTTCCATTATAGATACGACATTTTCGAGCTCAACCGACTTTAAATTATATTCATGCTAAACAGTTCTAAAAAGATAACATATGGCAATGTCTATACGGATAGAGTTCGTGTTGTTTTGTCTACAGTGACAGAATCTAAATGGGCAATCAGGTTTCCAGACCTGTACATGTATTTTGATGATATGGCGTAGCACTAATGCCAGTAACTTCACGTTGGAGAAATGGCCCCGATATTTGTTTCGGATACTAATTTAATATCCCAGATTCTGCATTGTTTTGAGCTGTTTTCTGTATTCAATGGGCACCTATATTGATTCTGTTAGATATGTTTTCACCCTGTTTGTTTATCAATTAAGCGATTTTCCCGTCTCTGATATTACCTGCAAGGAAATATTAGTATTTTAATTAGAACATGCATACTGTACTGTTTATTAGAAGTTTTTATTATTATTATTATTATTATTATTATTATTATCATTATTATTATTATTGAGTGGATAAGACTTTTTACAAATACATGCACGTCTTCTTATCTTTTTCCATGCTTAAAGAATACAAAAATAATTTGCTAAATTTCTCTTGAAATTGTTTTCTATTTAATATGTATTATCTAAATAGATCACGCAGTTTTTTTTGTTATCGCACTAACAATACCTTTCTTTATCTCCTAACTTTCCTTTGACCCCCCCCCCCCCCCCAAAAAAATCTGAACAGGCACATTGTCCTAACAGGGCACCATCAATCACTAGGGATGTGGCTTAATGCAAGCCAGGTGTGTATCTCTATGTGATCTTAAATGTTTCTGGTGTTTTATAGAAAATGAGGTGAGTTGTAACTATACACGATCAGAATTTTGTAAAAACGTAGTAATTGTCTTAATCAGAATGATGTAAATACATGTATATCTTATGTATAAAGTTTGAATTTAATGACATTTTAAATGCATTTTCCGTAGTACTAAGTGGTTTCCACCTCAGTCAAACTTTGAGAGAGGTGTGGACGGGCTTCGTATTGATGACGTCACTGCCGATACTGTGGCTACGTCGTCACGCTATGCATTCACTTCCGGTCCCGAGACAGAGCCACTGGTCCCGCCCATTTTTCATGCTTCCACCTATAAACTACGGTCTGTGGATGATTATCTCAAGGTTTTGGAAGAGGTATAATGTTATCATATAAATACTGCATGTAGTTGAGTGTAAAATTGAAAATTTTCACCCCAAAAAAACCATTGTCAACCGAGGCGCAGCACTCAACTACATGCAGTATTTATTATGTTATACTGAATGTTTTATACAAATACATATTACAGTGAACCTTGCGCGCATAAATTCTGCGCAGTCAATATTTTTTGGAATAACACCCATCGTCAAGCAATGTTGACTGTTGCTATGCTGGAGGGCGTGACTTCATTATTCAGCGGGTAATAGTGGTTTTTTTTTTTGGCAAATGTTTCTCGACGAATCAGATTCAACTAATTTACATGTACATGAAAGTATAATATATATATGTACTTGCTTGCACAATGTAAAATTGCTTATTAAACATTTCTCGTATAATTTATACTAAAATAAATGATTATTGCATTCAGTAGAGAATTCTTGAAGTAGAGAAATATAAGAACACATTTTGAATATTCACAGATGCTTGGGACAGCCCCCCCCCCCCCCCGCTCCTCAAGTACCTCAAGAGATTTTCGATTTTTTTTAAAAATAAAATATTTTCTATGACAAATTCTCTTATCGTGTCAGAGATTGTGAATTTCTATTATAGGTTAGTTTTAGGTCATATTTTGAATTTTTCAATTGTAATACTTTATAAATGTGTATTTAAAAATATTTTATTTTAAAAAGTCGAAGAACCCTTGGGGCACGGAGCGAGGGGGGGGGGGTGTCCCCAAGCACCTGTGCTTGAATTCGTTGTTGACTTATGACAGGGTGGATACATTTATTCGAGATTTAGCAACTTTAACCGTGACTCGGTTCAAGCCGCAATAAATGACATAGAAGGCGGAAAAGGCACTCTTGTTTTCTGCACCGGAATGGCTGCAATTTCTACAGCATTTCTCTCTTTCCTGAAAAGTGGTGATCATATAGCAAGTATATTCTGCAAATAACTCATCTTTTCATTGTCATATATATATATCAATATTATAAGTATTTGATTTTTTAAAAAGTCCAAGTTTAAAGAGAGAGAGAGAGAGAGAGAGAAAGAGAGAGAGAGAAAACTCCCTTCAATCAATATAAAACTGACAATTTCAGTAAAAGCTTTTTATTCTTATTTTAATAGTACCAAATGGCTCTGATTTTCTTTCCCCAATTAGCCAATTTAACCAATAATATGAGGCTGTTTGTCTGTAGGTGGCAAATAACCCTTGCTACAGTGGCACATACGACATGGTAACGAACATACTGCCTCGCTATGGAATCGAATACACCTTTGTTCCTACAGGATGTCCGGTAGAGGAGTACCGTAAACACGTTAAACCTAATACCAGGGTTAGTGCTGCATGTTTTCTTTCTTTAAAACAAATAGGATAAAGGGACATTGCCTTAGGCCAATTTGATCAAAACATCTTCATAGGTGAATAAATTTCCGCTAAATTATTCTTAATCCATTCTACGATCTATTACACTTAATTAAGAATTGATTTGAAATAAAATGCCACTGTCTATAATTTCAAAAATCTAATTCAGGATACTCTTATATATTATTAGGCAATATTTTGGCTTTTTAATTTTTCACTATTCACAATTGAAATTAACGAAAACTATAGATAATCGCAGAACCAGTGATATGGTATGTCAGTTGAGCCTACTAAAGATATCAAACCACCAATTCTCAGTTATTTCAAGTTAAATTCTCATCCAGACACTTAAGAAGACATCAACTGCTGGTATTTCAGAAAAATTCATTTGCGCAGTAAATGGATATATCTATTTTATACAATATTACCTTATATCAGATGTTATACGGCGAGACGCCATGTAATCCCAGTATGGCTGTGCTTGATCTTGAGGAGTTTGGGAAACTGGGGAGATCGCTGGACAATGTCTTAACAATAGTGGACAGTACTTTTGCCAGTCCCTATCTACAGCCTGTTATAAAACATGGTATTGACATTTCGATGCACAGCTGGTATGTCATGTGTTTAAAGCTGATATTTTTGAAATTATCTGCTTATTTAAGGCTTTATCAGAAGAGTTTAACACAGTCATTTTTATATTTCTAAATGAACATGATCAGAAAAGGATAAATTCCTTTTAGAAAGTATACATGTAATTGAATTGGTTTTTTAGAACGCTGACAAAGTTTATTCAAGAAAGGGAATGAATAAATACAATGATGTTTAACTTCTCCCAGTAAGAGAAATGTGTACTTTACAAACCCTAAGAGGTCCTATTCATATTACAGCACCAAATATCTCGGTGGTCACAGTGACCTTGTGGCTGGATGTTTGACCTTTACCTCTGTTGACCTTTGGAAGACAGTGCTTCATTTTCAGACTACCATGGGAACAACTCTGGTATAACCTTATCCAATTTTTAACAACATTCAGCAGTCAAATAGATAGTCGTCAGGTGTCTAAACTTTAAAGATTTTCATACATAATTTCATTCATTACCTTTCCACTGCATGTTTATCGAGATTAGAAAATTTTGAATTTACTGGGTGACAATAAATAGAAAATCTTACATTTACTGCAAACCGCGCCGGTAAATTCTAAATTTACAATATGTCAATATGCACAATAACAGTTTTTGTCGCTTTTTTCAGTCACCATACGATGCAAGTCTCCTTCTCCGAGGAATCAAAACCCTTCATTTACGCATGGATAAACACAGTTCTAATGCTCAAAAAGTAGCCGAATTCCTGGAAAACCATCCTAAGGTGACAATACACATTTACTCTTAAAAAGAAAATCTAAAAAACTAAAACAAAATAAAATAAATAAACAAAAAATGAGATGTCATTTCGTTTGATTATGTATATTTTTCTTTAGGTTGAGAGGGTGATGTATCCTGGTCTTCCATCACATCCACAACATCAGATTGCCAAGAAACAGATGAAGATGTTCAGCGGAATGATCGCCGCTGAGATTAAGGGAGGAGTGCAGGGAGGGAAGATTCTTGTAGAGGTGGTATCTTACGTCACTTCCTTAATCAGCCATCTTCTAATGAAACATTTAAAAATAATGTTCTATTGTTGGTTTATTTTCCCTAATCTTACATGTAAAACACTTGATAAACAGAATGTGCGCCTAATACAACTAGCAATTTCTTTGGGAGGAGTAGAAAGTCTAATCGAACACCCCGCCACGATGACGCATGGTCCAATGTTGATGACGTCAGAGGACAGACTGAGTGGTGGTATAACTGATGGTCTCGTTAGAATTAGGTAAACGTATATGTGTAATCGTTCGTTTTTTAATGCCTAAGCCATGAGATACACATATAGTGTTAACCCTTTTCTGTCTGTCATTCTGTAACTCCTTCATTCCCTCATAGTTAGTTTTCCGGACTTTTTTACTATGCTTGTAGATAACGAGCTGCTTTTTGGTATGTCTCTAATTAGTCACTGTGTTCCGGACATTTTTTGCTGTAGATAATGAGCTGAGTTTTGGTATGCTTTTGATATGGATAAGTTACAGGTCAAGTTTGAGTTTCATGTTGATTGACCCATTTTTACGAAAGTTATGGCCATAAGACTTTGAAAAAGTCTAATAGTTCACGGTTTTCTGGACTTTTATACTGTGCTTGTGGACAATGAGAAGCTTTTTTTCATGTCTCTTGATATTGCCGAGTTAAGATCAAGTTTGAATTTCATATTGATTGACGCATTTTTACGAAAGTTATGACCCTCTGACTTTAAAAATTTCTAATAGTTGTGTAAATCATTGTTTTTCGGACTTTTTTGCTGTGCCTGTAGATAATGAAATTTTTTGTATCTCTCTTAATATTGATGAGTTAAGATCAAGTTGGAGTTTCATATTGATTGACCCATTTTTACGAAAGTTATGGCCATAAGACTTTGAAAAAGTCTAATAGTTCACGGTTTTCTGGACTTTTATGCTGTGCTTGTGGACAATGAGAAGCTTTTTTTTCATGTCTCTTGATATTGCTGAGTTAAGATCAAGTTTGAATTTCATATTGATTGACGCATTTTTACGAAAGTTATGACCCTCTGACTTTAAAAATTTCTAATAGTTGTGTAAATCATTGTTTTTCAGACTTTTTTGCTGTGCCTGTAGATAATGAAATTTTTTGTATCTCTCTTAATATTGATGAGTTAAGATCAAGTTGGAGTTTCATATTGATTGACCCATTTTTACGAAAGTTATGGCCCTTAGACTTTGAAAATCTTCAATTATATACTGTTTTACGGACTTTTTAGCTGTGCTTGTAAATGATCACAATTTTCACACAGCATAAATATAATTACTATGATATCTTATTTGTGTGCCATTTCCACCCATTTTTATTTTTCACACTCATGGATATTCACATACTAAGTATATATGTAAAACTTGCCTATCATCGGGGTATTCGTGTCACAATGACACGTCTTAGTTTTATTTATTATAAAGTACAAGTAGTTGGTGGCAGTATAGTTGAAATATGTGAAATTATTGATTTTAATTTTTTTTTCTATATTTTTAGTATCGGCATAGAGGACGCAGATGACCTCATCAAAGACCTGAAGCAAGCATTAGATAAAATCCCAGACAGTCTCATAGCCTAAGCGTGTTTGATGCAGCACCTTAAAAAGCATCTAATCGCTTTTATTTGTAGCATATGCCTCAATGTAGATGAAGAAAGTGAACTGTAATTTGTATTCTTTAATCATAATAATAAAACAGGAAATGAAAAGAATTAGAAAACATAATAACCAATTTTCCTTCTATAAAACATTATATAGTTTTAGCTGGATTTTCTCTTCGCCCTTCACTCTATACTAGTATTTAGTTTTTCCCAGAGAAAAATCATTTTTACAGGAACATTTTTTAAAATTAAGATGAACGAATTCTCATCAAATAACGTTTGTACTGCTTTTTTGCTCATGTTCAAATTTGACAATTAAAATCTTATGGTTGCACACACAGCACAAATTTGCCATATTTTTTTTTCTTGTTTTTATTTTGTGTTTTAATTTCAATTTTAAAAGGTAGTGTTCCAAGTAATAATACATGAACATGCTTATATTATTTTTTGTTTTGATGCCCTAACAAGGGTCATTGTCATTCGATTGTATTTACAATCCGAGGTCCCATACAGAAAGGGGTTGCATATAATAGAGACTAAAATAATAAAAAAAATCTTGTACATATTCTCGTTAATTTTCAATCTGAAGTTGAACTTCAAATTAAAAACTATATTAAGATTTAAGTAGGTTCAAAACTGGTCCTGCTAGTATCTTATAGGATATCTTCTGAATTTGTGAATGGTAAATTAATAACTGCGCCGCTTTATGTGCAGATATGAATAAAGAGGATTAAGAGCATGACAATGTCTAAAATAAACTTCTAAACAGGCAAAGTAACAATGTCAAAAGAATGAACTCAAACTTAAAAAAAAAAACTTTTGAAAAAATCATAAAGAGGAAAATAGTCGACGGACACTGATGGTCGCTTACGCCAGAGGCGCTTAATTAATCTGTGCCATTTTTTTTCTCGTTTTACAGTACCTATAGGTTTTCAGAATGTTTATTGCTTAAAAATATTCCCAAAACCCAACTCAAGTCCTTGGCTATGTATGATATCAACAAACTTGAGTATGAGACAGTTTCAGAGAATATTATTTTGAATCATAATAAACTAAATACAGTAAAACTATGGCATGTCAAACGTTGCAATATTTGATCTTTTCCATTTGTATTGTATAACTTTCCATTTGTATTGTATAATTTTTATTTGTATTGTATAATTTTTCATTTGTGTTGTATAATTTTTCATTTGTATTGTATAATTTTCCATTTGTATTGTATAATTTTTATTTGTATTCTATAATTTTCCATTTGGATTTTATAATTTTCCATTTGGATTGTATAATGTTTATTTGTATTCTATATTTTCCATTTGTGTTGTAAAAAAAATAATTTGTATTGTATAATTTTTATTTGTATTGTATAATTTTCCATTTGCATTGTATAATTTCTGATTTGTATTGTATAATTTCTTATTTGTATGCGATAATTTTTCATTTGTATTGTATCCGAGGATTGTTTATTTATTTCGTTACGAAGGATGTCATTGGTCATAAAATTTAGTCTGTATAAAGGTCTCAGGTGCCCATCACAAACTTAGTCTGGTACCCTTCCCACAGTTCCGATCGCGCATTCTCTACAAACACAAACTCGGCTCCTCTATTTGCAGTGCATGCTAAGGGACGACCATTTGATTCTCGGGGGGTGTCGAATCTGATTATTTATTTTCATTCTCTCGCAGGAGAGAATATTTATTTCCAATATGACCAGAGACAAGGAGAAAAACAAAAAGAAGAAAATCCGCCCAAACCCGAAAACTCAGTTTTTTGGGGGTGGGGGTAGGTTCCACCACTCAAGGTCAATTTATTTATTTTCTCAGTCAGCATTTCTAAGGACAGATTATTTATTTGCCATCTACCAGCGCTCCTTTTTTAGAATCCAATGACCGTCTAACATGCACGCAAATACATATATCGCCGAAATATGGCTGAAATATTGCCGACTCGGCGTTAAACAATAATCAATCAATCAAGCAAGCAAATACATATGAGCCCAGTTTGCTTTGAGCATCCGGAACATCTTCAACCCGATACAGGCTGAAACTTGACCAATGAAATCCTTCGTAAAGAAACAAATAAACAGTCCGCGGATACAATATAAATGAAAAATTATCGCATACAAATAAGAAATTTTACAATATAAATAAGAAATTATACAATGCAAATGGAAAATTATACAATACAAATAAAAATTATACAATACAAATGAAAATTATACAATACACATAGAAAATTATAGAATACAAATAAAAATTATACAATACAAATGAAAAATTATACAATACAAATGGAAAATTATACAATACAAATAAAAATTATACAATACAAATGGAAAATTATACAATGCAAATGGAAAAGATCGAATATTGCAACGTTTGACATGCCATATAAAACACGCTTATAATAAATTGACGCTTAAATCGAAGCAATTTGCTGACATCTTCCTTACAAAAACCGTGAAATCACTAATTTTTTGTGGGGATTAATTTTTCGGTATTATCATAGTATGAAGAGACCCACGAATTCATGCCCTCCACAAAATATAAAACTTCAATTACATAACAACTCCACACTTCTTCAATCACGTAATCTAATCCTCATGAATCAATATTTTTTCTTAAAACCAAGAAAATTTACCTACATGAAAATGTGTGATTATACAGTAAATGAACACACAATTTAATTATAATCTACGGGAAAAAAAAATAAATCATGTATTTATACCAGTGAACAAACCTTTCAAAGAGAATTTTTTGCAAACAGAGAGTAAAAATATAAATGATACGACAGTCATTAGTTTAATATGCAATGGTTATCTTTTAGCATCCGAGTAATATTCATATTATCAAAAGACTGGGCGGTCCCACCAGGCAGGAGTGCACGGGGGGGAGGGGGGAAGTGACGAAGTGCACTCGTGACTGAATGACCACTCACTCCTTTAATATATGAATATATGAATTTTACAAGGATGCGGGATGACCGACTTGTTCAATTGGAACAATTCGGAAATTTCCATAAAACTCCAGCAAAACTTGATGATGGCGTGTCAATCTGGAGATATACATGTACTTATAGTTTGCGACTTTCACCAAGATGATACTGATGATTTGTCACTTTTACAACTCGTGAAAAATACGATGTCATTGAAACTGAGGATATTGGTGATATTTCCGTGGATTTTAATTTCATCACGGAGGAAAATCGATTTGCGAAACCCGTTACGGAATTTAAATGAAATGAACGATCACGTGTACGATGACGAAAAAAAGAACATAAGACGGAGCACGGATTGGACGGAAATGGGTGAAATTTCTTCGTAACGTGCCTCATCTTTTACAGTTGTCGAAGTACTATGTCTATTTTGCTTTGTTTGTTTGTTTTTATGTTGTTTAACGCCCCTCTCGAGAATTTTTCACTCATATGGAGACGCCACCACTTGCCTTGGAGAGCTGCAAATTTTGTCCTATACTCGGCACTTACGGCCATTGAGCAGTGAGGGGTCTTTTTCGTGCCAGCACCTACTGCGACACGGGACCTCGGTTTATACGGTCTCATCCAAAGAACCGGTTTCCACGTCCCACAGTGGGATTCGAACCCGCGACTGTTCGTACCTATAAAAGGCCATCAGAATCGCAGGAGCGCTATATCAGTAAACTACCTGACCCGCTGTCGAAGGAAATTAATTGCCATGTTGGAACCGTCAGACCAACAAAACCCAGTATTATTATGATTTCTAATCTCTCAAAGCTAAATGTTGATAACTTCCGTTACTAAATAAGCAGTGCTTTGATAGCTCACTTGAAGAAAATATATGTTTTCTAACTTTTCTGACATTCCACTTTTGTTGAAGATCTGGAGTTAAGAACCAACCATAGTAGGATCAACACATAACCCTGATACGTCGTCAAAACAGAATTTAGTCATGTTCAGTTGAAATCCACGACAGATATCTGCGACAGGATTGGGCTCAACCGAGGTAGACAAGCGAGAGGCGAGATAAGAAAACAGTACGACTTCAAGCAGGAGGATGATACAAGTTAAGGTCAAACATACTCTATCCACTAGCATGGCAATGCTTTTCCAGCTTATTTGATATGAAACTTCGCCTGTCCTTAATGTTTCATCATCTGGGATACTTTGTTCTTCAGTATTTTCTTCCATTGTGTGTTCTTTAGGTAGATTACCATTCTCAACATCGTTAACACGTATTTTGTGGAATCTTTTTAGAATTTCCGTAATTACGCGAGGTATTGCTTTCGTTCCTTCCCTCTGGAAAAATACAGCCGTAAAAAAGCTGGAACATGTTATAAACGCACTTAGCAGAAATTGAGAGACCAAAAAATAAATTATAAGAGGGACTGGGTTTGAAGTTTCCGGAATAAGTCCAGCCACATAAATGAGATACACTGTAAAGGCTAGCAGAAGTGAAATGCAGAACGACAGTCTTTCTCCTGGGATGGCCGGAATAAAGAAGACAACTGTGTTTAAAAGACTAAGTACAAGGAGCGGAACAGCGATATTCACAAAAAGATAGGAGGGCCTTCGAATAACCTTGAATGGAAAAACAAGAACTCGACGGTCTCGGTTAACTTCAAGTCCATATCGACTTGGAGCGAGATTAAGAACACATGGCTCCATTTCGAAATATATCCATTTTGCATTCTCATCAAACACTTCCGGTTTTTGAGGGATGTTGGTTATGACTGTTGAAGTTGCCACAAATTGAATGGTACATTCGTGTTCGTCGAAAGGAAATTGTTTAAGATTCGGCTTACAATAGGTGTTTGTCTTTAGCAAGCCCTCATAAGACAGCAGACCTTCTGGATCAAGAAGAACCTTTTCATCTTGTAGTTCCCTGAATACATTCAATTCATTAAAAGGATTAAAGAGACTGATATCTGGTCTCCAGATATCCTTCAGTTTTACTTGCAAAAAGTCTACATTTATAGAATATCCACCCAGTTCCAGGAAAACAGAGAAGCTTTCAGGATCCCAAGTCAGCCGAACGTCAGCCCAAAAGATAAGAACAGAGGAAAGAATTTGTAGTTCTCCTGTAATCTCGTCAAATTTGTCTAATCTGGAAATGTGCAAACGCAAACCGACACGCGTCATTGGATTGTCTGCTATTTTGTATCCAGAGTTCCGGTTGAAGAGCCAGTTTTGAAGCGAAGAAGAAACGTTCAAAACTTGCAGTTTTTCCATTCCTGCGAGATCAAATTTCTTGAAAATAAGATTATTTTCTTCTTCATATTTGCCTTCTGTGTATATCATTCTCACCACCGTCAAAAACAAAATTATTTCAATACGACACCCTTCCATTTCAAAGCAAAAATACACTGCATTTGTAATCTACATCATCGATGATTTATCAAACTTAATAGCTTAAGGGAAATATTGATATATTTCTTTGAAGCCGTTAAATGTGTTTTTCCCCATCAATTGTATTCTGCAGCATGTAGTTACTCGCCAGTAGCGTACTCAAAGATCTCAAAATCGTCCGATTCCTTTCTTTGTCTTTCGTAATGGACATTCTCTCTGCCATTGTTCTGACAATGTTTTCAGAACAAAAAAAAAGACAAATACAAATTCGAGCATTTGCACAAAACCTGAAAAGTAAAATATGAATCTATATTTTATCCATCCCTTTGTTGTTACTGTTGAATAGAAAAAAGGCAAACCCTTCACACTGGGCGCTATGAGTTTACAAGAGGTCCATGGGTCACAACGCTCACCTGAATCACCTCGGACTTGCTGTTCTTCTTCAGAAGATTTTCATAAAAAATTTTCGCCAAGTATTCCCAGGAATTTTTTCAAAATCTAATATTGTGGCCCTAGTCTAGTCTGAAGGAAAAATTATTTAATTGTACTTGAATTCAGACAACATTGGGAGGCTCTGATATCACTATGACTAACGAGGACCTGCTGATCTGACAAAATATATTACTAGTAAATGATTTTCCATGTAAATTAAGCCCCATCATAACCAAGTGGTCCATGACTTGAAAAAAATACTGCATCAACACAACTTAGTAATTTTTGCATATTAATACGATTAAGTGTGGTGCATCTGCTCTGGAAAATTTGTTCCTACCAATTCCATTGTAAAACTATGATTAACAATTGTAGCCCCATATTGCCCCAGGGAGTCATGATGTGATCAATCATAAATGTACACTATCGTGTTTTCAATATACCCCCATGTTAAACCCGTCTTCGCAAGCCATGTGTTATGTGTCCATTCTATTGTTTGTGGAAATAGAATTAAATGAATGAAAAACCCGAAGCATGTGACTATGATGTTAAACTTTGATGTAAAAAATGTGAAGATAACGAACAGTGATCGATCGTCTTGATCATGTATTGATCATGTATTGATCATGTATTGATCTTGTAGACGGCCTTTGTATTTCGACCCTACCAGGGGCCATGATTTGGTTAAAAAAAATAATGTTCACTGTCTCATAATGCTTGCATAGCAATATGACTAATCATGGCCTAACTGTTTTTACGAAGACTTTTAAAAAGATTTTTTTCTATAGTAGTATGCTCCCAAGTTAAACCTTATCTCCTTTGTGGTCCGAAACTACCCCGGGAGGACATGATTTGATGAAAAATAATGTACACTATCTCAGGATGCTTGCATATTAATATGAGTAACAATAGCCTTGCTGTTCTTTGACAGTAGAAGATTTTCAAAGATTTTTTCTCTTATATGCAGATGTATTCCCATGTTAAACCTTGATCTCCTTTGGTGGCCCCACCCTACCCACAGGGGTAATCATATGAACCAAATTGAAGCCACACTACTTGGGGGTGCTTGAATATTAATACATGTACGAGCAATCATGGCCCTGCTGTTCTTAAGAAGAAATGTTTTGCCCATATCAAATTAATGAATACTCAGTAACATAAAAAGCTGAAAAAATACTTTAATTGAATTTATGCATGCACCACAATCTTTTTTTTTTACCTTAAGTTTTTTACCTATATTTTGTTAACGATTGACTATGTTGTGTGTTATTTCTTCATGCAACAGATGCATATACAGGCACCAATTAATATACGTCATCTGCCTCATCGACAATTGTAAATCTAATATTCGCCTTGCCTACCGCTGTCAAATTGCCAATGTCTTGATTTCAACATAACACCCTCAAATGGTCCTCTTGCCCGCAAACTAATTTCCCGAAGCCGATCGTGGACCTTTTGTGCATGATATGATGGGCTGTTACTGATGGTAATCAGAGAAGTTGCAACAGCGATGGTAGTACTGCCTCTCTTCAAAATGAAATCGAGCGATATGTCTAATATGTCGCCTCGTAATTTCCTGGTGCTTTTGTGGTATGTTTTGTAGTACCTGACGAGTGTTCGTGAAATAAAGAACAATGATGCATTCATTTTTCTCTGTTTACAACGAAAACAATACGATCCACTTTTTATTCAATAGTGACATTACTTAAGTATAAGGGTTTTTTTTTCAATTTTTCTAAAAAGGATTAAGAAAGTAAATGCAGAAATTTTGCTTTTATGTTCATTGAAGACATATTTTTTAATCCACATCTGATTCTATCCTTTTTAGACACCGGTTCTCGTTGTTGTTTCGCGTTTCTGCGATTGAAACAAAGCTTTGATTTTACATCATGTAGATGTTTTAAAAGAACTCTTATTTATAACTAGAGGTACTGTGAGCACTGAGCTCACAAAATGATACCCCCTCCCCATATGAGTATAATTCCAAGGTCCATTTTTTGCTATGGGAGAGCCCAAATATCTGTCCGATCATTTTATTCAGTGGTAAAGGAGGAGTTGCGGTTAAGAAATGGATACCCCTGATATTATAGAAAAAAATGGCAGTGTCCATTTTTTGCTATGGGAAACTTGAAATATGTCCATTCAGAAAGTTTAAATAGGAGGTGCACAATGGCACTGTGTAATAAAGATTCCGTGAAAGTATCATTAAATCTTATTCAGTGGTACAGGAGGAGATAAGAGATGGGTACCCCCGATTTTATAAAAAGAATGGGAGTGTCTATTTTTGCTATAGGAAACCCGAAATATGTGTTCGATCAAAAAGTAGAATAGGAAAAGCACAATGGCAGTATGTAAGAAAGATTCTGTGAAAGTTTCATTAAATTTCTGAGGTATAAGAGGAGTTGCGGATAAGAGATGGGTACCCCACAGCGTGACGGACGGACAGACAGACGGACACCCCTATCACTGTATCCACCCTCCACTTTTCAAGCGAGGGATATAAAAACTGACCCGATTTGTTAGCTTCAATATATATATTGTGTTCGGTAAGAATCCACTTGTTTTCTGAACTTTTGTACCCTAAATATATAATCATATTAATTCCAGTATATATCGGGAGGTTTTTATTACTATCAAAAGGATTACGGATTTGAAAATCTTCAGTTGAGTTTCTACTTCCGGGTTTTGAAGTTTCGCTCTGTTATTGTTACAAGCGTCCCTCTAATTAGATAAGGGTATTTTTTCGAATATCGTATTTAATAAAGAACATGAAATCCTGACATTAATATAAAAACTACATGCAGGAAGAGTATTAGTTTTATGTTAAAAGGAAATACCTTGAGTTTTGTAATAGTAAATGTCCCGTTGAATTAGATCAAATTCTTGGCTTCCTTTTTTCAGAAAATATTAATCTTAATATATTCCATATTTCTCATGTGATGAGTAAGTAATCTTGAAAAATCGTTACCGAGAGGATAGATGTACAAGTTTTTGTGACATAAGTAGATAATTGTTGAAAAGGTTTTCTCCGTTTTTAATGTTTCAGAATTATTTTCTGAATATTGCCCAGTTTCTTTCTACATTATGTTATTTTTCATCTCAACTCCTTGTGATATATCATATACACCCTTTTGATATTTCCTTTCTTTTAAAAACCAGAAATTTCAAACACCTTACAAATAGGCGTCCTTGCTATGGAGTGTATCATTTTTCATCGAGATTGACTTTTTATTCAAAATCTTCGAAAACAAGTTTACACAAAATTGGATTTTTAATAATATCATCTAAATGTTCGAAGCAGGTACTACGTCTTTCTTTATTTCATTTCTCAACGTTTCCCAAAACACCCTTTTCCCGACAGGGTCATCCGGGTACTCTAGGAAATAACCTTTTTTGATGAAGTCACGTGCTTTTCTTGGATACTTAGACTGACAGACATCTGGCATAAGGATTAAAAACACGAAATTCAACGTCTTCCTTGCGCTTATTCCTTCCATCCTGGCCATGTTTAACTCGTAGTCCTGCCAATCAGACTCCAGATAGTTTTTGGAAACCACGCATACAGTTCGCTTACTTCGGCTGATGCAATCCATTATATTTGTGGTTTGAATCTCGCCTGCTAAATCGTCCCTATGCATTATTGCTAGTTTCATATCAGACCGTTCTTCTATGTTGGGGATCATTTCATTTTTCACAAATGCTAAATCTTTAATAGAATATGAAACATAAGCGTCGAATTCGAAACCTTCGCTGCAGCTTGACTGAAGCCGATGATAGCCTCGAAGGCTTTTATTGGCAATATATCGTAGGTACCGTATTTTCCATCTGTTTCTGTAAATTAGATAGCTGAAAGATAAACTGATTACTAAAGAGCAAGAAACGGAACCAACGATATACCAGACGAGAAAAGATTTACAACTAGTCATCAACAAATTTAGAGATAAATGAAGGGGAGATGAATCTTCCAAGCAAGTGTAATTGCCAAAATTTTTAAAATTTGACTTAAATGATCTTAGCCACAATAAGAATTTAATGTCACTGCAGGTGCAAGAGAGTCCGTTGTTTGTCAAGTCCACTGTTAAATTTTTATTGCCATAATTGAACAGATCCTCTAGGTTTTGCATGGCTGGGGATTCAAATCTTGTCAAGCGATTGTCAGAAAGGTCCAGAAAAACCAGCTTCCTCATGTGGTCAATTTTAACATCCCACTTGTACAATCTGTTTTCTTTCAATATCAAATGAGTTATGTTTGCAGCGTTTGCAAAAATTCCGTTATGCAGAATGTAAATGCCATTGTTTGATAAATCTAATACCTCTAAATTTAACTGATTTCTAAATGTCAGTCCCGAGTGATCGAGGGATAAACTTTTGCCAAGGTAGTTTCCTGACATGTTAAAATTCCTGATGTTGGTGAAGTACGTCAAGAATTCTGTAGATATGTTGTTGCAAAAGTTCATCGATAGATCCACTGTTGTTACGTTTTCAAATCCATAGAGGGGACCAATCCAGTTGTACCAAATGTTGTTCTTCATGTAGATCGATCTCAAGGACATTGCTTTTATTCCCATCTTCAATAAACTTCCATATAAACGACTTGATTCCCAATGCATTACCTCAAGTTTAGGTGGCATATAAAATGTAATTAGTAGGTCGGACTTCTTTTCCAGTCGTTCACTTTTTATAAATGGGTTTGACACATGTTCTGTAGAACAACTATGCTTGTCTTGATTTTCGTTGCAGGATTGGAATATTTTAGATACGATACTAGGTGGGTTTAATTGATGACTCAAATCTAATTCTTTTAAACTTGTGAGTAAACGGTACTCAAACGCATACATCCCTGTTGAAAGTTTGTTGTATGCTAATGAAAGTTTCTCGAGGCTCTTTGGTAGCCCATTCAGAACACCCATCTCCATCCATTCCAGTCTATTTCCGGCCAAATTTAACTCCTTTAGAGAAGTCTGCGAAAGTTCCCCCAAGTGCTCCCGACAAAGGGTCGTTCCCGGTCCCATGAAACACCGAATATTGTCCAAATGTAGTGTTTCAATTTTGGTATTTTTCAGATTGAATGTTATGTTTTGTAATGGTTCGAAACCTAGTTCATGATTATAGGAAAGATATAATTCCGTCAAATTTTGAAGCATACTAAAAGATCCATTATCGATATATTTGATCATGCACGAAGAAAGGTCTAAAACCTTCAAATGTATTAAATTTTCAAAGGTTATTTTTTTGATGTGCCTTAAATGACACTTCCCTGTTATTCCAGAGAGGTCCAATGTGTGCAATGACGTCAACAAAGAGAAAGGTTCTCCGAACTCATTTCCACTAGAATCATCCATCCGGAGCACTTCTAAATTTAGCAACTTTCCAAACACTTTATCATTTACAAATCCGTCCCGGTTGCGCTTGAGATTCAGCTGATGCAACGACACCAAAGACGAAAACAAGCTTTCGTTGTAACTGGAAAATTTGATATCGTTGTTTTCTAAATTCAAAACTCGAAGATTATACAGGCAATGGAATGGGTTTTGCGCGATACGTGTTATAGCATTGTTAGATAAATCAAGGTTTATTATTTTATTTGGAGGAATGGAAAGATCGATCTCCGGATTGTTCTTTTTACAAAAATCCGGAATAGATTGTAGTTGAAGACCAGAACAGTTGACACTCACTCCATCTATTAGTTCCGTATTTCTACACTTTGATTGCATATGAGTAGCTCCTGTCTCGCCTTTGACATTCACAAATATGAAAATAATTCCAATGAGGATTTCCATGTCAAGTAAAGCAGACGGATTTGACGTGTCATAAGACCATGGTCAACTAATCATCGCATGAATATCTCACGACTTTTAAAATAGCATTCAAACAAGGAAGTAGTCTCTAAATAAATTCGTTTGCTACCTCTACTAACAATTAAACTTTCCACAACAGTTGTCAATCCAGGGGCTCAATTTCGGGTTGAGAAATCTGTGTATTGTGTTTTCCTGTCTGTCTGAAAATGATGAATAAAATTTTATCCTAATCCCCCTCCATTGATATTAGCAGTTTTAAAAATATCGTATTTTTTAAACCAGCAAGGGGCGACACTCACAATCTTTTCTTGAAGGGCGTTGCTATAAATATATTGAAAGGGAAAAGAAACGCAGGATAACATAATATGCAATTCTTTTAACTGCCAGGACGTAGCATCATTTATGAATGTGTGTGTGTGTGGGGGGGGGGGGGGGATGGGGTGGCAGCCAGAGAATTTCAATTTACCTGGAAATTAAATTGACATGTAAAAAAAAAGGGGGGGGGGATTGTCCAAACTAGAAAATCCTATTTCGCGGGGATGAGGGTGGTGGGTAGGCCCCAACTTCTTTCAGTACCAAATTTAATTCATACACTACTACATTACCCTTATTTAACTATATTGCAACAAAAAGTGGGGGGGGGGGGGGCAACCGGCCTTTTAATGAACATTTTCAATAGTAAACAGTTATGTTTGGGAAAAAAAGGGGACAGCCCCTCCCCCCCCCCCCCCCCCCCGATGCTTCGTGCCTGACTACATGCCCAATAATTATGAAAACTGGTCAGAAGTTATCTTGAAAACTGTGCACTCAAATCGGTTTTCAGAGTTACCCAACCGTGAAATGTTTGACGTCACATAAGGAAAATGGTAAAAAGCCAAAAACAGGCACGTAGCATCAGGGGGGAGGGGGACGAGCCCCCCTTTTTTCCAAACAGAACTTTTTACTATTGAACATGTTCATGAAAGGATGGTCGCCCTCTTTTTTTGTAGCAGTATAGTGAAATAAGGGTAATGTAGTAGTGGACATATAAAATTTGGTACTGAAAGAAGCTGGAACTTAATCCCCCCTCTACGAAATAGGATTTTCGAGTTTGGACAATTTTCTTGTAATACCACTTGATACTCATCATTTTTCGATATTTACAGACGTTTTGAATTTCTTGCACTTAAGGTACGGCTGCCTGAAATTCTATGGGGTCTGGCTATTGCATTGCCTAAGGAAAGAAAAAAGGCAACAACATGCAGGTTGCTGTGCAGTTTGTTGTGAATTTTTCCACCACAGGGCAGAAGGTCTTATCCGAGTCGAAGTCAGAGAGATACTGGAAAGGTTTCCAACCAACCGTGACGATTACGTTCGCGCGTATCGCCGCGTCGAGACTGGGCTATTCATCCTACCACCTGTATATTCGTAGTTAAAATAATCTAACTGTGTCTCGGGACAAGCCCTCACCAGTTAGAATACGTCCCATATACTTGCAATGTAGCAAATCGGGAGTGGATCCACTCCGAAATGATTTTGAAGAATACAAAAGGGGTTGCACTGAAAATAACTACCAAATTAATCATAACAAACCTTTTTGAGATTGTATATGCCTTTTAACCTAAAAAAATATTCCATGTAAGTACGAAAATTCAACTCATTTTCGCAACGTTCTCGTTTCAAATTTAACGCCATGTTAACATTCGGAACTCTCTGGATTGTTCATAGAAAATGCACAGAGTTCAAGTTATCGCCCGTGTTTATTTTGCAACATTGCCAATACACGGAACGAATTCTATCGTTAAACTGGGTCCGTAGGACAATATCATTTTTAAATAGAAAGTTCTATCTAGTATATTCGCCACCTCACTACCACAGAAACTGATGTTAATACAGTAGGCAACCGTGTTCATTACATTTACCCAAAAACTGAAAGAAACCGATTGCGCAAATTTGGCTTGTGAGCTCGTCAACTTTACTTGGTGTTCCTCTCACTCGCGCATATGTGCGTCTTATGCCTATTTTTTTTCAGCATGTTAACCCCAGTCCGTGTGTCAAGAATTTCTCTCAAACATTCACATTAACCCACTAGACTTTTCTCCGTACAATCCATCTTTTTCTCCAGTCGAACATCTGTGGGACTAACTGCATGGACGGCAGGGTTTGAAGGCGTCGGAATGTCCAAGATACTCTCGACAAATAAGGGCTGCCTTGGCGAAAGAGTTGAATACTAGTATATATCCCTATGAGAAAAGTGTAACGTTTTTACGAAATACAAATGATTATTAATTGAGTCGCTTAGGTTTCCTTCCTAAGAATCACGCTTACCGGGTATATTGAATCACAACAAACTTCAGTAATACCAATGACATTAATGGATAGACACGAATAATACTTTTTCCTTGATCCTATCTGGATAATGATTGTCAAACTAAACAATAACGAACTATAACAAAAGAATCACCTATAATCAGATCAATGATCAAATCTATAACCTTATTTCTGTAGCTGCAGACTGAATGGTTTAACTGACAATTCTGTTGTTTCCCGACACAGCCTGCAACTACCTAAAACACCCTATCACAAAAGTCACTGAGACATCTTTATTATTTTACCAAGACACAATCTTAAGTCACCAAGACATTAGTTACCGAGACACTAAGGAACTAGATCCCTGAGCTGAATGGTCTAACTCACAATTCTGTTGTTTCCCGACACAGCCCAAGAACCTTGTCCAAGAGGTGTTACTCAAGCAATGAACAACAACCAAGTAAAAGAATCTAGACGGGTGTCTGTATTTATACCTTTTATCCTATGCCTAATTACCACTGATTGGTTAATAATTGGTAAGCTCTGATTGGCTGTAATGTAAACGTTGATTGGCCAAATATAAAATGATTCGATCGCAATTGGATGATTTCAGGCGCCTTACAATCACCATGATTTTTTATTTCATTACAAAAGATAAATGAACTGAAGCATGCAGATAAATGCAGAGGAGAATCAAGGCTGTTATTGATGGGCGGGGGAGGCATAGGAGATAATAAGAATTTTCGATTTTCACTTTTGGGGGGTACTGTCATTTGAGTTTCAATAACTCAATTATCAGTCAAAATCAAGTAAGCTTTTGGTTACTTGTTGATTAAAGATTAGTTTTAATGTTAGATAACAATACTTGAAAATACGTTCGGAAAAAATATGAAATCACGTCAGAAGTTTACGCGGCGTTTCTTTTTCCTTTCAGTATAATTCAGTATTGTATTCAGGTAATATAACGGGGAAGGCATGCGCGGATCTAGAGGGGAGGGGGGTCGGAGGGGTCCGGACCCCCCTGGAATTTGCAGAGTAATTAAAAGTATATACTGAAGCAAATAAAAAATGACTTTGAACCCCCCCCCCCCCCCGAAAACCTGGACACCACCACCACGAAATAGGTGTTTTTCACGTTTGGGAAAGGGATTTTACTTTTTTTTAAAAATTTTTATATATATATATATATATATATATATATATATATATATATATATATATATATATATATATATATATATATATATATATATATATATATATATATATATATATATATATATATTGCTTGTCAAGAAATTTTCTGGATTTAATACTTTTTTTGTTTTTTTTTGTTTGTTTGTTTTTTTTTTTTTTGCTTCTCAAGGAATTTTTGGGTGGAAATATTTTTGACCGGAGTGGACCCCCTCCCCCCGGAAAAAATCCCTGGATCTGCGCCTGGAAAGTTTTATGAAATTTCTGTCCTGGAGACTAAGCTTTGGGGTGTTGCATGTGCACCTTTTTTTCCTACCAGGGATCGATTGAAGAGCATGTGACTTGTTACAAAGTTTTTACCTTTTATTAAAGAATAATTTAATTTCTAGTATTACAAATAGAATAGTATTTCGCATACCTAGGATATGCATGTGTTTTATCAGGAAAACGGGTATATTTCATATACTATATTTTGAAATATCATACATGTACATTATATGTTTATTATGATTCGTTCAGTGTGTACCTTGGCAACAGTTTTACTTTATGCATATATAGGATTTATAACAATAAAAATCACGACCTTTACTATTGTATAATGTACATATTTACTAAATAATAGTATGTGAAACTTTACCCGCTTTTTTCCCCTGCGGTCAGAACAGTATGGTGGCACAATTGAGGGAGGGAGTGAGAGGGGTTAAGAGCTTAACGTATACTGTAATCATAGCATTTAACCTTAAAAAATCTTCTTCCTTATAAACGGCAATAAAGCTTTTATATGGAAGCTCCCTCTTGTAGTTGTGCTAATATGGTCACGTCGGGGTCAGAATAGGTTTTATCATGCATGTAGTATCGTTTTTTTTTGGGGGGGGGGGGGTCCAACTTGTTTTAATACGTTTACATGGGAAGAATTGATTGTACGTGCATTACAAAAGGGGGGGGGGGGCAACCGGCCTTTCAATGAACATTTTCATACTTAATTAACGGTAGAACATTATGTTTGGAACCCCCCCCCCCCCGATATTACGTGCCTGTTTATATTGGAATATATAGTAGGGTTCCACTAGATATCTATTTCAGAATAGATTAGTATATTTATCTGTCATATGTACATAAAGGCATAAAGGTACACTAATAAAGTATTAATTTAATTTAATTTTTTTTAATCTAGGCTCTCGGCATACAGTGGAGCCCGAACAGAGAACGAACGTTTAAAGTGAAAGTGATACATAATGAAATATCTGTTTTATATATATCTTTTCAGTTACAACAAGGGTGCATTTGGTTTCCAAAGTTTCACATTGGTCAGTATATATTTACATTTCCAATGTCTTTCTATGAGATAAATCTACAAATAAGGTAATGGCTTTATAACCCCATAAATCGATTTGCTCAGCACGTGACAAAACTACATGCTTTTTTGCTGCGTGTTGCTCAGTAATACACCTGGTGGGGATGCTTAGATTTATTATTGATTTTTTAAAATTGAATCAAGGATCAGGTAAAAATGTAAATATAAGGAATAACTGTCTGGTTTTTTGGTTTTATGATGATGATCAATCAATTTGCTCGCGTGATAATTTTACGCATAAACGCCTTCGGCGTTTATGCAAATTATCACGCGAGCAAATTGATTGATCACATCATAAAACCAAAAAACTAGACAGTTATTCCTTAATGAAATACTCCATACAAACTTCTCATAAACAAGGACGCATTTTGTGAAATCAATACGGAAGCATTCTAGATAATGGAGTATAAATTGAACGTGTCAATTTATTATGAAAAGTAGATTAAATTTACTTAATCCAAGATCTGGAAGATAAGGTTGCGTCGACGGGAAGATTTGATATTTAAAGGCGTACAGCTCAACTCTGTATTTTATAACTAGCGCAAGTGAGAATTTTGAAACTCGGGTTGATGTCGGAAGCAAATTGAAAGGGGGGGGGGGGCTAATTGAAAGTGGGGGGGGGGGCTAAACCAACAAATTAAAAAAAACGTTCGGGGACTAAGCCCCAAATTTCAATGCTTATAATATGCCTTTGCAAAAAAAGTAAGGGGGACTAAGCTTCCTCCTAGCCTCCCCCGGTTCCGACGCCTGTGTAATTCTTTAATACATGTATATATACTAATGAATATTTGAATTATTTAAATTTTATTAGATGTGATATTTTTAGAACACTGAGTTATTTCCCATTGTACCCCCCATCCCCCAAAGTGCATCCTTTTTACAAAAGGGTGTAATTATTTTACAGGGGTCGTTTTTCTTCATGAAGTGCATATTTGAAGGGTAATAACACTTTTTCTACAGACCCTGAGGCCAATTTTTCTACGTAGATGGTACTGGGAGACTGCAGCTTGTCCAGAACAGTGCATAGTGGGGACTTCAGAGGCAAAGCCCCTCCCCCATTTCAAGCTCCATACCAGAGAATAAGCTTGTATATGAAATACTTGCAAGGAGGAGAAAGTTGAATGAAGTGGGGGTAGGAGGTTGTGTGGGAGTGCCCGCACCTGAGTCTGTGACTGTGTCTCGCATTTCAGTTAAACTGTATATAGAAAACAAGCAGTTTTAATGACATTCATATGATTTCATCCAAGTTCTTGAAACTGACTGAGTATGGCTGGCGTATATGTTTGTTTTTTTTTTTGTTGTTTTTCTTACGTCTAGCTTGAAAATTGGCTTACTGTAAAATAATGAAAGATGTTGCAGAATTATTTCATTTAGGGTAAATAGGGTAAAAAAGTTTTGAGGGGACTTTTTTTGTTTGTTTGTTTGGGATTTTTTTTAACAGAAGCTGTAAGGAATTTTTCCGTTTCGATTCCAAATAATAAAAGAAGACCCTGTTTTGGAAATGCTTCTTACATGGCTTGCATAAAAAATTACACTTGTGACGTCTAGATTATTATGACGTCACAATTTCCAAAGTCGTAGGCAAGGAGTGTCGGAGCCTTGTGTTGCGTGACAGATCATTAATCGATGAAAACATCCCCAAATCAGGATGAATATTCAAGATAAGGTTTGTAGAATTTAATTTTTGTAATATATACATTTTGAAGAGTACCATTTTTATTCTCTGTAACTTAATATTGTGTCAATGTAAATTTATCAGTAGTAACATGGAAACGTAGGATGCGATTTTTTTTCTTCCTCCACCAACACGCGATTCTTTTATTAGTTTATGTTTTGGATAACTAGAAACGTATCTTTCAAAAATGTCATTGATTTTAACAATAATTTTAACTGTTTTGCCACTAGCTGTTAAAAAAGAATATTGTTTAGGATACTAGTATTCTCTTTGCCGTCAACATTACTTCAGTAGTGTTTTATAGAATGTGAACGCACAAAATTTTCTCTTTTTTCTCCCTTATATTCATTTGTTTAGAGGTTATTACAACCACGATTGCATTACACCATTTAATGTTTCCTCATGAAAGTTTTCTATCAGTACATAATATAAATTGAATTTTAATTATATTATATTATGTCGATGTAATATATTCATTCGTCACAATCATAATAACGTCATAATATCAATTATGACGTCAGTATATTTGACGTTATTGACAAGAAATGGAGGAACATCAATGAAAGTGTGTCCGAAAAAAATATGAATTTTTCTAACCATGTAAGCTGTCAAATTACAAAAGAAATATGCATTCTTCAAACGAGTAGGCAATGAGTTTGAATTCAATTTATATTTTGGAATTAGAATGATAAATCATTTGCTAAAATAATATAGGAAAACCAATTGGTAATTATTGTGGAATTTATAATGCTGCACATACTTTACAATGAATACACATTTTTTTTTATTTATTAGATTTTTTCCCAAAAATATAATTAACAATATAAATGATTTATCGAAGGATGATTTTTTTGGTCAATAATACTTCTCGCCTTTGTAGATCGAAACTGAAATACTGGATTTCGGGGAGGAGCCAGTAAAGAGCGTTGTAAGTGCTACTGTTTATTTAATCCATTAGAATTCACCGAGAAAACAAGAGTAATGTTGAACTTAAGGTTCATTGCATTGATACTCTGATTAGGGCGATAAATCTTAATAGAATAAAAGCTCTATTATTCCTTTTAAAAATTTGCGAAGGTAAAATGTCTTTTTTGTCCAATTTTTCCCCGCAAGCTATGCTAAAATTTTGCATTTTACATATTATAAAAAATACGTCTTTTGGAAAATATTAAGCATAAAAGCAACATTTTATATGTATGAACAGTTAGTTTATGAACCTGAAAATTATATATAGCGGGGGGGGGGGGGGGCGCTGGTACAAACTACACTTGCCTCTTTCCAGTGGTTATTTCCACTTGAGATGTGTAATTTAAGAAGAAACCTATTACGCATAAGTAATTATTGAAAGGATTTTATGATTAAATGTTTTGTTCCAGGATGAGAAATTGGCCATTTTGAAGTTCGATTATAGTTGGGCAGAAATGGTAGAGAGGGAGGAAGAGGAGAAAATGAAGGCGGAGAAGGAGCGGTTCAAGGTAAAATATTTATTATCAAAACAGCATGTATTTTCTTTTTTTTATTTCTTTATATATATATATATATATATATATATATATATATATATATATATATATATATATATATATATATATATATATATATATATATATATATATATATATATATATATATATTCAGTTCCTGATATCCATAGACACAATGGAGTGTACACATATTTCATATTATAATGAAAATAATTTTTTTTTTGCTAAAATGTTTGTTTGATACCGCATTTAATATTTTTTTTACCAACATACATATTAATGGTGTCTTACTTTTGTAGAATAAAGCCCAGTTGGAATTCCTGGAAGATCCTGAGAAGAACGTGGTAGGTACAATTTTACTGAACAATTTTAAATATATGAAGGAGACAATAAAAATGAGGCATCAGATCAAAATTTTGAAATGGAGAGGGTAGTAATACAAACAATCAATCACTATTTAATTTATAAAAAAAACATTTCACTGTATTTAAAGGATATGCAAATGAACACGATAGATGCATTTTTTTTTTTCAGGGAAATAAATTGGTCACCTTTCAATTCAAAGATGCAATTGTTAAGAAAAAGGATAGAAAGTCAAAACCAAAGGGAAAACAAAGAATAGAGACTGATTTGAAGAACTTGAAAGCTAATAGAAAGCCATCATTGAAGGAGAAAGAGGAAAAGGAGGAGGAAAAAATGAGGAAAAAGAGGCTGAAGCTTCAGGTGGAAATGTTGAAAGTGGAGATCCAGAAAAGACTAAAGCCAGATGTAGAAGAAAGAGAAAAGAGATTGCAAAAGGTTAAAGAAAATGAATCCGGATTGAAGGAGATAGTAGGAAAGGACAGGTTGAAAAAGAAAGTGTGGAGAGAAATGAAAGTAGAGAAAGAGGAAGGAAAATCAGAGGAGGAAAAGGTAATGAAGTCCAAGGTGGAAATAGAGGAGACTGGTTTTGAGGAAGACAGAGGGGATAATGAGAAAAGGCAGGCAGTAGAGAGGAAAAGACTGAAGGCAGAAAAGGAGGAACAGAAGGCAGGGAAAGAAAATCAAATATCAAAAAGAGAAGAGAAGGAGGAAAAAATGAAATGTAAAACAGAGGCAAAATTGATGACAAAGAAGGAGGCAGAGGACATACTGCTAACACATATGGAAGGAATATTAGAATCAGAAAGATTGAAGGTTAAAATAGAGTCAGAGATACAATTTAAAGAGAAAGTAGAAGAAAAGAACAAGAAATCAGGGGCAGAAAAAGGCGAAAATCTGGAGGCAAAAGAGAGCATGAAGTCTGAGGAAGAGGAAAAAAGAAAACCAGCAGCAGAGAAGGATATAGAGCATTATTTAAAGATAATTAAGGAAGAAAGATCGAACTCAAAAATTAAACTTAAAACAGCAATGAAGATAGAAAAAGAGGAAAATTTGGAGGAAGAAAAAGCCTTGAAATCAGAAGCTGAGAAGAATGAGAGCACTTCAGAGGAAGAGAGGCAGGAAGAAAAAATTGTAATGATGAATAAGGAGCTTGAAGAAAGACTAAGCTCAGAGAAGAAACTGAAACCAGCAAAGAAGGCAGAAAAATCAGAGAGGGAAAATGAGGAAACTTTGGAGGCCGAAAAGGTCATGAAACCAGAAGCTGAGAAGAATAATAGAACATCAGAAGTAGAGAGTAAAGAAGAGGGAAATGTTAAGATGAATAACAAACTCAAAGAAAGAGTGAGCTCAGATACAAAACTGAAAACAGCAAGGAAGACAGATAAATCAGAGACAGAAAAAGAGGAAAGTTTGAAGGCCGAAAAGGTCATGAAACTAGAAGCTGAGAATAATAGAACATCAGAAGTAGAGGGGGAGGAAGAGAAAAATGGAAAGATAAATATGGAAGAAGGATTAAGCTCAGACACCAAAATGAATATAGAGATGAAAGCAGAAAAATCAGACACCGAAGAAGAGGAAAATTTGGAGACATAAATGCCAGAAGAGAAGAGAAAGAAATCTAAAGCAGAAAAGGAGGAAGAGGAATACTTAAAGATAAATAAAGAGGAAAGACTGAGCTCAGAGACCAAATTAAATACAGTCATGAATGCTGAAAAATCAGAGACAGAAAAGGAGGAATACTTGGAGGCAAAACAGGTCATGAAGTCAGAAGCAAAGAAGAAGAAAGCATCAGAAGTACAGAAGGAGAAAGAAGAAAAGATCAAAATTAATAAGAAGCTCAGGACAAAAATGGGCAAAAGGACCAAACAGAAAAGAGAAAAGAAAAGAGAAAAGTTAAAGAAAGAAAACGAGGAAACTCTGGCATCAGAAAAAGTCTCTAAATCAGAAGCTGAGAAGAATAAGAGCACACCAGAGGTAGAGAAAGAGGAAGAGAAAAGTTTAAGGATGAATAAGGAGCTTGAAGAAAGACTAAGCTCAGAGACGAAACTGAAACCAGTAAAGAAGGCAGAAAAATCAGAGAGGGAAAATGAGGAAACTTTGGAGGTCAAAAAGGTCATGAAACCAGAAGCTGAGAAGAATAATAGAACATCCGAAGTAGAGAGAAAAGAAGAGGGAAATGTTAAGATGAACAACAAACTCAAAGAAAGAGTGAGCTCAGATACAAAACTGAAAACAGCAAGGAAGACAGATAAATCAGAGACAGAAAAAGAGGAACGTTTGAAGTCCGAAAAGGTCATGAAACCAGAAGCTGAGAAGAATAATAGAACATCAGAAGTAGAGGGGGAGGAAGAGAAAAATGGAAAGAAAAATATGGAAGAAAGATTAAGCTCAGACACCAAAATGAATATAGAGATGAAAGCAGAAAAATCAGAGACCAAAGAAGAGGAAAATTTGGAGACAGAAATGCCAGAAGAGAAGAGAAAGAAATCTAAAGCAGAAAAGGAGGAAGAGGAATACTTAAAGATAAATAAAGAGGAAAGACTGAGCTCAGAGACCAAATTAAATACAGTCATGAATGCTGAAAAATCAGAGACAGAAAAGGAGGAATACTTGGAGGCAAAACAGGTCATGAAGTCAGAAGCAAAGAAGAAGAAAGCATCAGAAGTACAGAAGGAGAAAGAAGAAAAGATCAAAATTAATAAGAAGCTCAGGACAAAAATGGGCAAAAGGACCAAACAGAAAAGAGAAAAGAAAAGAGAAAAGTTAAAGAAAGAAAACGAGGAAACTCTGGCATCAGAAAAAGTCTCTAAATTAGAAGCTGAGAAGAATAAGAGCACACCAGAGGTAGAGAAAGAGGAAGAGAAAAGTTTAAGGATGAATAAGGAGCTTGAAGAAAGACTAAGCTCAGAGACGAAACTGAAACCAGTAAAGAAGGCAGAAAAATCAGAGAGGGAAAATGAGGAAACTTTGGAGGTCAAAAAGGTCATGAAACCAGAAGCTGAGAAGAATAATAGAACATCCGAAGTAGAGAGAAAAGAAGAGGGAAATGTTAAGATGAACAACAAACTCAAAGAAAGAGTGAGCTCAGATAAAAAAAATGAAAACAGCAAGGAAGACAGATAAATCAGAGACAGAAAAAGAGGAAACATTGGAAGCAGAAAAGAACATGAAACCAGAAGCTGAGAAAAATAATAGAACATCAGAAGTAATGAGGGAAGAAGAGGAAAATGTTAAGATAAATATGGAGGAAAGATTAAGCTTAGAGACCAAACTTAAAATAGCAACGATAGCAGAAAAATCAGAGACAGAAAAAGAGGAAAATTTCGAGGCAGAAAAGGTCTTTAGATCTGAAGCTGAGAAGAATGAGAGCACATTAGAGGCAGAAAGGGAGAAAGAGAAATTTGTAAGGATGAATAATGAGCTTGAAGAAAGATTTAGCTCTGAGACAAAACTGAAACCAGAAAAAAGGGCAGAAATATCAGAGACGGAAAAAGAGGAATCTTTGAAAGCAGAAAAGGTCATAAAACCAGAAGCTGACAAGAATTATAGAACATCAGAGGCAGAGAGGGAGGAAGAGAAAAATGGAAAGTTAAATATCGAGGAAAGACTAAGCTTAGAGACCAAACTGAAAACAGCAAAGAAAACAGAAAAGTCAGATATAGAATAAAGGGAAAATTTGGAGGCAGACAAGGTCTTAAATTCAGAAGCTGAGAAGGCGAAAGGAAAACCAGAAGGAGAGGGGGAGGAAGGGGAAATTTTAAAGATAAATATGGAAGAAAGACTAAGCTCAGAGACCATACTGAACACAGCAAAGAAAATAGAAAAATCAGAGACTGAAAAAGAGGAAACTCTTGAGGCAGAAAAGGTTAGGAAACAAGAAGCAGAGAAGAAAAAGAGGACATCAGAGATAGAAATGGTGGAAGAGAAAATTGTAAAAATGAATAAGGAATCTGAAGAAAAGCTAATCTCACAGACCAAACTGAAAACAGCAAAAAAGAAAGAAAATTCAGGGACAGAAAAAGAGGAAACTTTAGAGGTTGAAACGGTCATAAAATCAGAAGCTGGGGAAAGTAATAGAGCAACGGAAGAAAAGAGGGGGGAAAAGGAGAATGTACAGAAAAATAAGGTGCTCAAAGAAAGAATGAGCTTTGTGACCAATCTGAAATCAGCAAGGAAGGCAGAAAGTTCTGACATAGAAAAAGAGGACAATTTGGAGGTACAAAAGCTCATGAAATCAGAAGCAGAGAAGAATAAGAGAACATCCGAAGTGGAGAGGGAGGAAGAGGAAAACTTCAAAATAAATATGGAGGAAAGTCTAAGGTCAGATACCGAATTGAAAACAGCAAGGAAAACAGAAAAAATCAGAAGCAGAAAAAGAGGGAACTTTGGAAGCAGAAAAAGCTATAAAATCAAACGTAGAGAAAGTGCATTGGAAATCTGACACAGAAAAGGAAGAAGAGGAAAATTTAAAGATAAATATGGAGGAAAGAGTGAGCTCGGATACCGTGATGAAGGGGGAGAAATCAGAGACTGAAAAAGAGGAAACTTTCGAGGCAAAAAGGTCTTGAAATCAGAGGCAGAGAAGAATAAGGGAATGTCAGAGGTAGAGGGAAAGAAAGAGAAAACTGTAAAGATAAACAAAGAGCTTGAAAAAAGTCTAAGCTCAGAGAACAAACTGAAAACAATAAAGAAGACAGAAAAATCAGAGACAGAAAAAGAGGAAACTTTGGAGGTAGAAAAGATCTTGAAACCAGAAGCTGAGAAAAGTAAGAGAACATCAGGAAAAGATAGGGGAGAAGAGGAAAACTTAAAATTGAATATGGAGAAAAGACTAAACTCAGAAGCCAAACTGAAAACAGCAAGGAGAACAGAGAAATCATAGACAGAAAAATTGGAAAACTTGAAGGCGGGAAAGGTTATAAAATCAAAAGCAGAGAATGTGCAAAGGAAATCTGAAGCAGAAAAGGAGAAAGAGAGAAATGTAAAGATAAATAAAATGGAAAGATTGAGCTCGGAGACCAATATAAATACAGTGTTAAAGGTAGAAAAATCAGAGACAGAAAAGGTCAAGAAGTCCGAAGCGGAGAAGGAAAGAACATCAGAAGTAGAGAGGGGAAAAGAGGAAAATGTAAAAATAAATAAGGAGCTTGAAGAAAGACTTAACTCAGAAATACAACTGAAAACGGCAAAGAAAACAGAAAAAACAGAGACAGAAAATGTGGAAAATTTGGAGACAGAAATGATCGTCCAGTCCAAAGCAGAGATGGTGAAAAAGAAATCTGAAGCAGAAAAGGAGGAAGAAATAAACTTAAATATAAATGAAGAAGAAAGACTCAGCTCAGAGAAGACTAAACTAAGTAGAGTAATGGAGGCGGGAAAATCAGAGACAGAAAAAGGGGAAAATTTGGACAGAGAAGACGTCCTGAAATCAGAAGCAGAAAGGGAAAAAGAGGAAAACTTTAATATAAATATAGAGTTCCATCTAAGCTCAGACACCAAACAAAAAACAGCAAGGAAGACAGAAAAATCAGAGAGAGAAAAAGAGGAAAATTTAAAGGCAGAAATGGTCATGAAGTCAGAAGCAGATGACATCAGTTATACAAATGAAAGACCACCTTTTTGGCAGATTTTCCTTTGTGGGAGATTTTGTTTTTCTGTGAGTACAAATTTCCTTTCCTTTATTGCATTTTTCATCACAAAGTTTGCACTAAGGTGTTTTTCATTTGTCTTTATTCCCAAGACTGAAATTCAAATTCAATTTTTTTTAATTCATGTTTTCAGAAAATTCAAATTCAGTTTTTTAATTCATGATTTCAGAAAAAGGAAAAGAACAAAAAAACAGAGAAAAGGGGAATTTTGGGAAGAATGCGGAAGCTTTTAAGAAGATAATTTATAATGAAATACTTAAATAATGACAGTATTATTTTTTTTTAAAAATATATCTAATCATTCATTTATGTATTTATGTATTTCTTTATCTGTAATAGATTCTTTTCTTTAAAAATCATTTCCTTAACTGTTTTCTAAAGCTTTTTATTTCTATTACCACTTATCTGTTGTGTCACCTTGAGCTTCAAAATTATATATATAATAATTAATATAATAATTATAATTAATAATAATATAATATCATATTTATATAAATAGAGGACATTCAATGTTTTATAGATGAATATGGAATTTATTTCACGAGTGAGACAGGATTTTTTTTATATTTTTCACGAGTGCGAAGCACGAGCTTGTTTGGTGTAGTTGAATATGGAATTTATTTCACAAGAGAGACGGGATTTTTTGATATTTTCACGAGTGCGAAATAAATTCCATATTCATCTACAAAACATTGAATATTCTGTTTATTACATTTTCTTTGATTTTCCCTTTGCCTCTGTCTTTTCTTAACACATTGTCATAGCTAGGCTTGACTTCATAGTTGAGCGGTTGAGGCGTCATAGCTTAGCAGTTGTGAGATTGAAAACATTACATAGCATTGATTTTAGCAACATATTTGGGAAGAAATTTGCAGTTTTAGCTCTGTTAAGATGTTTAGTTAATATCTCTATATTATAACAGGCCAGAAATTATTTTTACTTACTTTGATATCCTTTCACACTGTGAGAGAATATCATTTTGGTATCCTTTCACACTGGGAGAGAATATCACCTTTATTCAATAAATATATCACAGTATTTCACTGTTGAAAATGTAATAAAGATATATACGAATTTGTGGCCTCAATCTACCCCTTGAGGGCCTTAATTTGAACAAAGTTGAATCGGCACAATCTCAGGATTCTTGCAGTGTATTCATGGACCTGTTCTTGAAAAGAACATTTTAAAATACTTCCCCGTCTATTCTTATGTAAAACGTTGATCCCTATTATGGCCCAACTTGTATCTGCACTACCTAAGGATGATTGGATCTTGATATTAAAAATCATGACCTTACTATTCTTGAAAAAAAGACTTTCAAATGGCCTGACCAAATTTTTTACTGTATTTTAATTATCTGCCCTTGAAAGAGGATATGGCCCTTCATTTGAACAAACTTGAATCCCCTTCACCCAAGGATGTTTTGTGGAAAGATTGGTCTAATGGTCCTAAAGAAGATGAAATTGTTTAAGGTCTACAACAAAATAAAAACATCCACAGAGATTTCACTTCCTTAGATTTCTAATCATACATACTAAAAGAGTCATAAAAACTGTTATAAATTGCTGTGGAAAATCACTGTACCGGTAAAGCAAGCATATGGCTTCAGTGTACTAGTCAACAACCACTTGCAGTGTACCAGAAAATCATGCATGTGGTATCAGTGTACCTATAAAGCATGCATATGGTGTCTAATTTGAACAAGCACCCATAGAATATTTGCGACATGCACTCCAATCTCACCAGGATTTCTCCCCTGGAAACACCAGTCTCCAGGATCAATAAAACATTTTAAGCTTAAGTCAAAATCTTTATGTTGTACTAAAATCTTGTAAAGTCAGAGCAAAATTAAAATATTTTACAATTCTGATTTACAAAAGTGTTGTTAACGGAAATTAGAGATAAATTCAATATTTAATAAACAATTTACAGACACAAAGTCTGTTTCATGATCTTGGGGCCAGGTGCCTACGAGGAGAAAGCATACAGTTGACTGGTCACACCTGCTGGGAGCCTTTTGTATCAAGTTTTTGACCTATTTGTAACCTCTTATACATCTCCGGTGTCTTCTTCAAACAGAAAAGTCTCAAACTGCAAAATACTTGGCTTAGAAACTGTTATTTCAGTTTGGTCAAACTGCAAATGGAATGAAGTGTGGGAGGCATCCAAAGTGCATGCTATGGAAATTGAACACTTAACAGTCACACTTAACCACTGCTCATCACAATTTCCTGCGTCCCAACTCTATTTGCTTATGAGTTCAGCATTTTAGAATATGAATACTGTGGTCTGGATAGTGTCCTCTTCAAATAAGCAACAATCTTAGATGTACAATCTTTAATGTATTTTAAATATCACACACATTAGATATAGCCCAACTGCTGTTTGGTATAAAAACATTTGCACTTTATAATAAACTTGCATAAGTGATCCTCTCATATAAATAAATAAACTGATCTGTAAAACAGGCTGAATAGAAATACAAATTCACAATGTCCAACCTCGCATTTCTCAATAACAGAATATTCAAATCTATCAATGAATCGTAACTCTTCCATAAAACAGTAGTAGACAAGATTTCTTCATAAGATCACAATAGCATTCTGATCACAAAAAATTATATATGCAGTACATATTAAAAACCAGTCACCGTTTTTATGAAAGCCATCCTTTAGATGTTTCCATGCACATTCTGTGCATGCATACATACATGCTGATACAATAACATATTATGTACATAATGACAATTTTTGACATTTCTTATATTAGTTGTCCGATTTTTTAATTTTCACATGATGTTGATATTATTAATATCATTTTTATTGACCCAATCAGCAGAGCGGGTGGACTGAGATCAAAAATGTAACCTGACAAAATCAAAGAGATGTAGCATTGCAGCAGAGCATTATGACCTTCTCAAAAATACTCCCACCCTCATAATTGGAATACCGGTATGAAAAAAAAAACATGCGCTCATTAAGGTCTTGATTATTACCGGGTAATTGACCTAATTCTACAATTCAGAACAAAACACACAGAGGCACCATTTGAAAATTATTAAATGATAATAATCTTTAATTCTTATAGTTATAAATAAATTTTTTACTGCTGATCAAAAACAAAGAAAAGAGTTTTCCTTTCATCACATACAGCACATTCAACTTGCTAGGTCATCAAAAATACAGAAACAAAATTCACTAGGTAGTATTCAAACCATTATCTTCTAAATGTCCTCAATTTCACTTTTGTGCTGTTCTTTGACAGAAACAAAAATGGATAAAATGAACAATTTACAGTGAATCTGAGAAGTGTTGCATATAATGATTGTTCATTGACATGCCCGCATCCAGTAGCTAATGACATCTACAAAACTTGGAAATTTTGTCAGGCACTTGCTTGTCTGTTTGTCAGTGGAGATAGTCTGAGAGGTTGGCAAATGCACAGGACCCAATCTTGGCTTTGGACATTAGCTTCATGCACTCAGTAGACTGGGCAATGACCAGCTCTAGTGGAGGTTGTTTAGGCAGACCCTGGGATTCTACAATATGTCATTATTGAAGGTCTTACACAGATTCTCTAATAATTCTACACTACTGAATCCTTAAACTAGGTCTGTGAGAGTTTTGAAAATTGGCTGGAGTTGTGAAATTTGAAAATGAGAACTTTATTAGTACCTTTAAAGCATCAAAATGCAAGCATATATAAATATTTACAAAAACAAGAGATTACTCATTAATTATTGGTTCACAATACTAGACTAGATTTTCCTCATCTTTATCTATCAGAAGGATTTACAAATTACAGTACCTAATATAGCACTGTTTAAGGCAGCACAGATTGATTCTCGTTGCACCGGGTCTAGCTGGTATCCTACCGGACTGTTCCATGGATCAGAGTACGCCAACAAACTAAAGGCATTCTAAATGTAACACAAGAAAGATAATCATATAACTGCTATTCTTTATCATAATGAAAACAAAAGTTGTACAATTCTACTTGGGCATAAAATAAACAAAAATATGCAAGAATTCTGCACACCATTTAAAAGCACAGTAAACTGCACTGGGTCATTGAAGTACTGTTACTCAATTCTCATAAAATGTACCTCATGGGTCCAAAATAATTATAAATCATTTAACTTTCCTCAATCCAAACATAATACGTTAATGATGACGCATCACAGTTCGCACAGATATTTATGCAGATAAACTGAAGTCACCTGTAGTGATCTATTGTTGCTCTCACTTTTCCCGTACTCCCGTTTTAGCCTCTGGTTCATAGACTGGAGTTCTCTTCCAAACAGCAACATTTTCTCAATGGCTGCCTGAGATCCTCCACACAACTGTCTTTTACCTGAGGGGGCATCCACATCTATTGACATAAAAAACATCACTGTAGTACAGATATTTCAGATCCTATATACATGTACATTTCTACAACAGTTAACTTTAAGTGGTGAGATCAGAAGTTCAATATCTGACAGAGAAACTATAAAATTCACATACTAAGTTTTCATCAAGACCCTCCACTCCCTTCAAAACTAAATGTAATGAATGTTGATTGAAATTTGATTATTAAACAAATTAAATACTAGTATTTATAACACTGTAAATAACTTGTGTTTCTTTTGTTTATTCATAAAAAGAATCATTTCAAATAACAACATAAAGTCTGAAGTACATTTTTTGTGAATAAATCGTTTACTAAAAACATGCACATTAAAGTGCAATGAGTGTTAAGCTTCTTTATTGAATTTTTTTTTTTTTACAAGTACATTCTAAGAGTAAACATATGGATCCATGTGTCATAGGAATGTTCTCCTGTGGTGTCATAAGCAAGAAAGGTACCTTAATTTCACTGAAGCAAACTTTGCAACTGGTCACTTCAATTGTTGTTTAAAAAACATCTAATATTTTATCTTTAAAAAAATCACAAATGATTACCCCCTACCAATCGTATATGTGTAAATAATTGAATTTTCAAAATTCCAGGCCCCATGACTTTTCATTTTTCAGTATATTTATATACACATATTAGTCTAAAACATTCATAAGTCTTTGCATGGCATCCAAAAATCTATTTTTATAAATTTAAACCATTAAGCTTCTTAATCCTAGAAACCCAAAAAAGCAATCATTTTTTTAAAAAAATTATTAAATGAAGCCATGATCTTATTGTATAGCCTCAATTTTTCAAATTTTATTTCATATCATAAAATAATTTATAATATATATTATATTTTCTAATACAGTCTTTTTGTAGTCCCTAAATAATCTATATGTATGAATGCAAACAGATCAAAACACTACGTATTCACTGGATTTGAAGCTGTATTCAAAGAGGGGATCAGTTCACATGGAAGGGAGATTGTGACATCACAAATGACACCTCAAACAAGGTTGTAAACAAAGATTGCAATGGTTAGAGCCAGCTGTGTATCTGAACAGAAAAAAAGTTAGGCAAACCTATTGCCTATTTATTATCCAAACATTTCGATGGGAAATGATGTCAAACACACAACGAAAGGAAACTTGTAATCTGAACACTTTTAATCCTTCTCTGACAGAAGTTTGTTAATGAAAATGGTGTAGTCATGCAGCCTTCAGCGTCCTTTTTATTCATACCCACACTATTTAATAAAACAATTATGGACTCTTGAGATTTTGTCTTGGTCAATATTGATATTCTCTGGTGAATATCAAACCATATTCACCACCAAAAGAGTCCATAATTGTATAATATTATATCATACTTTACAATATATTCCTTTTGTAAATGTGACAATGAGATCAAAAATTGAGCCAAGTCATCAAAGTTTTATGGCCATGAAGCCAGATTTGGCACGAATATCATTCCAACCATGTTCTCAAGTTATTACATCAAAACCGAAAACAGACAGATGACCTAATAGGGTCACCCTATATCCTCTACCCCTTTTAAAATAGGAGTCCATAATTACCAGACAATGGTATCATGTTCTATTTACATACCAAGATCAATACCTCAGTAACAAGCACTCTAAGTGCTGTTGCAGAATTAATTACGATGAAAAGTGTTTGAATACACCTATATACATCCCTTCTTCTTCAAAATGTTATAAATTGCATCTTGTTTACCTACCCATGTCCTCTGATTTGCATGTGTGATTATTTCCGTTCATGTAAGCTCCGTCTGAGTTTCCATTTGTGAATGCTTTAGTCTCTGTAACAAGTCCATCCATCATTTCCACATCATCATCCTCAATCATGTGACACTCCGATCCATTCATTGATATATTCGCACGATTCATTTGTTCCTCAGATATCGTCTTTAAATCACCCATATTCTGATTGTTACTTTGTGACACCTGTAAGTTTTGACTTGTTTGTGAAGATGAACCTGAACTATGACCCTTGACACCTATAGGTCGGTTAGGACTATTGCCACGGGATCCTACTGGAGTGTTTTTCTGTGAATATGAATTTGTGTGGTGGACAGGGCTCATATTGGGACTGGAACGGTTAGATCCACTCCCATGTCGTGATTTGGGGCTGCGAATTGCTGGGCCCCTCACCTCTGTGTCAGTTCCATTCACCATCTCAATGAACTGTCTACATTTGAGCATAAACAATAGATTTAGGTTTCTCTCCAATAAACCTGGATACAACTGTTGTGTGGTCTCTATTGCTTCACCCATACGACCTGCTAGGACCAATTTCTGTATTCCTACAATCAAAACACCATTATTTACTGGCATTTGTGTATTCCTATAACCAAAATACCACTACTTACAAGCAATTTTGCATTTCTACAATCAAAACACCATTCTTAATTAGCAATTCTGAAAAATGTTTTTTTAGTTTTGTTGCTGGTTTTACTAATATTGAAATCTTGAAGAACATTCATGTAGAGTAATCAAATTCAAAACTGAACAGAAACCTTGCACGATGTCTAAATTTTACCAAAATTCCAAAAAATCTATACAAAAAAAAATTACTCATATTTGTGAGATGTGTGTATAGATTTACTTTGTCTGTTTTTGATGGATGACATGTCCTCTTCTATGGTCTGGCCGGTCGATCGTGAGAATGCCTCAGCGGTACCACAGTAACCGTGATGTACTAGATATGTAGATACAATCCTACATAAAAAAAATCTGTTGCTTCAACATGGTCAAAAAATTGAAGTTTCATCAAGTTAACATTTAAAAAAAAAATGAATAGATATACATGCACCATATTCATGGTAAAGGAAGGGACGGATTCAATATGATGTTTGAAAATAAATTATGAAAGAACGAATACTTTCATTATTAAACTATAGAAAACAGCAGAATGTGTTAACAGCAAATTGCAATGGACAACTGAAATTGCTTCAAATTGTTTGAAATTTGTTATTTTCTTATACAGTGTTTTTTTTATTTGCTCCCCCCCCCCTTCCCTCTCCCTTAGTAATGAGGGGAAAAACATAACTTTATTGTGAGCATGAATTTTCTATATATCTGTGTTTGACCGTACTATGTTTATGAAGTTTTACAGTTCCCATTAATACGCTCAGTCATACATACTGTTGTAGGGCCGTCTGCCATTCCCCTTTTTTGTCATTAACAGGGAACCTCTCTATAGTCAATTTGGTCTTCATGTGCCACTCCTGTAATACAGAAATTCAACATTATATAAATACTATGTGTAATTGAGTGTAACATTGAAAATCTTCACCACAAGAAAACCACTGTCAACTGAGGCACAGCCGAGATTGACAATGGTTTTCGAGGGGTGGAAATTTTCAAAGTTACACTCAACTACATGCAATATTTATTATATTATACTGAATGTTTTATACAAATACATATTACAGTGAACCTTGCACGCATAAATTCTGCGCAGTCAATATTTTTTTGAATATCACCCATCGTCAAGCAATGTTGACTGTTGCTAGGCTGGAGGGCATGGCTTCATTATTCAGCAGGTAATAGTGTTTTTTAACAAATGTTTCTTAAGAATCAGATTCAACTAATTTACATGAAAGTATAATATAATAAAATGTTTTAATATAGCAATGTTATCATAAAATTTCTTTATTTCAGAAGGAAAATTAGCTCAGTGTTTCTATTTTTTTACACGATACATTCCATATAATACTTAGTGACTACACATATAAAGCGGTTTAGTTTTACATTCTCAGTTCACTGATTGCAGAGAATTTCACACTGTTTTGCAATATTAAAGAGTAGCCAAAGTTATCCTAGCCCTTCCTACTTCAATTAGCACTATATATACTGTTTAATCCTACAGAGGTATATATGTACCTTCATGTAGTCCTCTATGTCAAACACAAAGGGGGTCTGTCCAAAGTTGGCCTCGACCACCTCCCCTGGAGTCTGGAGGCCCACAGTGGGGTAAAGATTTGACTGAAAAAAAAAATAACAGCATTCACTGAACAGCAAGGCAAGAGCAATTTAACTTTTTTTTTTAAATCCAACATTAGCATTTGTCATTAAGACATGATTTATAAATAAATTTTAAACTTATTTAAATGCAAGATGTGTTTTTGCATTCTAAATAATATTTAGCTTTTTTATGTGGTTTATTTAGTTGTTGCTGTAAACAGAACTATCTGTAAAATTATTTCAAATTACTAAACACAACACATAATCCATAATATATATTTACATAAAGGTGATTATAGATTTAAATGTGTATAGTATGTATAGGGTTGAGGTACCCTACAATACAAGAGGCCTTTTAAGTCACACTGCTCACTAGCAATATGTTGCTTTTTCAAGACGCCTTCAAGACTGGCCCATACTTAGTCAGAACCCTTATTTAGAAATGATTGCATGCATGTATTCATTTGAAAAGGACTGTTCCAGATTTGTGTGTATCTGGGGTGGAGATGGGGGTAAGGGGAAGGGTCAGGTGGCATTTTCATTCATATTTTTAATGTACGTTGGGGATGAAGTTTTCTTTTTTTAGGTGGGTGGGTGGTGTTGGCAGAAATTAAAATTGATTCATGGTTGGTCCAAAGAGAATTGAAAACAAAATTTTGTGGATATAATATTTATATTTACTGCATTTTGGTGAAACCAAAAGACATAAGCAAATGAATTCAAGAAAGCCACTTCATTGGCAATCACTGTCAACGTTTCCTCGAGTTTTGAGACTGAAAGGGAGGTAACAAAAAAAAAAGATTTAGGAGGTCTCGTGGGATCTTTGTCATCAAAACAGAAATGGCTAAGCCGTGGAATATTCTGAATGTATTGAATTTCTTGTCTGAAAATGGCCCTGAAAGCCTTTGTATCGACATTTAAAGGTGCGAGACTAAATAATGGTAAAAATGAAGGTCTGCTTCCAACGTGAAGTAGATGGTGATTTAACAATTTATAACATATATTTTACTATGGATAAAATAAAGTGATAAATATAAAGTAATAAATAAAGGGGGGGGGAGGGAAAAAATATTTTGTGGGCAGTGAAAAAAAGTGCCGTCTGACACCCCTCACACACAATTAATTCTGGAATAGCCCTAAATTCATGAAATTATAACCAAGTTTTTATTCAAATCTGTACATATTTCTTCTGGCTTGACACCTGGAAATATTAGTGATAAATAGAACAAATTATGACTTTGCAAAAATTAGGTTGGTTCCTTCTGAGTTACTCATAACACAGTAAATCAATAGATCTAATCTGAATTTAGATATGCCAGCTTTCATGCAAGTTTTGTCTTTTCTGGATCAGTTCTTGAAGATTTTTCCTAATGATTCCAATCTACCCTATTTTCAGATGTATTTTTTTCTTAAATTATTTCCCCTTGGATAAAGAGACTTTGAACAAATTTTAATTCCCTTCACCTAAAGATGCTTTGAGACAAGTCTGGTTAAAAACCCATGGTTTTGAAGGAGAAGATAAAAATGTTATACCTGGCATACACCTATACAATAATAGTGCTTAAGATTATTACATTTGTGAAACACTTACTGGTAAGTCTGTAAATGCAACACCTGAAACAAGATAAAAAGTTAATTACTTAAAAAAGTTATCTGAGTTTTAGAACTTGTTTCAGATATATACTTTGTCTCTTATTTTCCTTTGATTCTGTGTATACAAACCTAAATTGATTCCATTTTTGGTGTAGAAACAGGAATTGTCTATGAGGTTGACACAGCAGCCTATCACATCTCCTGTTGTAAATGTTGGACCATACGGCTGACCAGTGCCAGAGGAACAGAATGAATGACCATCATCTCCATGGTAACCATAGGAATGCTTATCCCATCCTACAAATAAGATCTCATCTTATAATCGTCCATTTTTCCTTTGACTTATTGAATGGCAAATTAGTTATTTTGGACCTGTCATAAACACTTTTCATATTCTAGCTAAGAAGAAAAAAAATTCATATTCAATGACAGAAATTGAGTCTCACTTAAGAAACTTGCTAATACTGTCAAAAGTTAAAGCATAAAATATATTTTGGACATCAATAATAGATGTTTGCCTGACTAATGGTTTGTTAGATTAATTTTTCCCCTCCCATTTACATGTTTGTTCAAATCATGCCGCATTTATTTCATACTCTGCAATAAAAGAATTTTCAAGGGATTTCACTACCTAATCAAAAACATAATAAAAATGCACAGCTGGAATACATAAAACACCCATCTGGAACTATAATAATGCATATCCATTTATGTGTAGTCAAAGTCACAAGCTGTGACCCTGTCATTTGCAACTTCTTTGGAATAAAGTTACTGTAATATACCAGAAGTGTTATCTATTATATTATTTACAGAGACACACAAAAGAATTTTCTTTATAACCAATTAAATAAGTCAAAGAAAATAATTTTAAAAAATCATGCGGCTTGAGAGTGTGAAAGATATGACCTGGATATGATATTACTTTGGATAGCTATGAAATTCAAAATGAGGTCACAATGACCTACTTTTGGGTCATATGATATACTTTCCCCATCCAAAGCAGTTTGATGATGCTAGGTCTCATATCCAAAGAATTTTAATTCCATGAATGTGTATTTAAGCTAAATTGAAGCAAGTATTGATAATTAAAAGGCCATCATTCAATGAATGAGAACATGACACAGGCATCTTGTACTTCAAACATTACTTCAGGCAGAGGTGTCTATTCAAAATATGACAGACCAAAATTAGGCTCTTGATCTTCTGCAGTAGGCAAGATATAAATCCCAAAAGACTCAAAAATATCTTGTATTCCTTCTGGGCCTATAATGGAAAACTTTCAGAATCTCTTCTTTTTTCCTCCTATGTTAATAGAAATCTATTCCTATCACCCCATCCCTCGTCAGGATGAAATTCAGTCCTAACATTACTTGGTATTAAAATAGGTCTTGCTAGTTGATAAACATCATACCAAATCATACCAAACATCATACCAAATCTAAACATGAAATATAATCATGGAGGTGATTACAAATTTTTGTGGAGTCCTTGTAAAGAATTAGATATATCCTTTATCTATACTGTACAGACTTTTTATTATTATTATTATTCTTTATTTGCTTAAAACATACGTATTAACACAATTTTATAACATTATACACAGAAAAAGTCAGAATGGTATGGTACAACGGTTCTGTACATGAAAAGCAGCACATGTATTAGAGAACAAATTCTTCAATCAAGAAATTTCAAAGATTTTTCAATCTAGCAAACATTGTAATTTAATATTAAATGCACTTGGTATTAAAGGGACAATTCTTGCACACACACACATAAAAAAGTAATTCTAATTCATTGATCTATAGCTAACATTGACCACCTATATGAAATTCCAATCTATTTTTACTTTGATTTTATATGTAAACAGATTACAGAATCTAGATTATTTCATAGATTAGTTAATCTTTTCTTACCTGGTAATCGATTCATGTTGACTCCTTGTGCAGAGAGACCAATCCCCATATATCTGAATTGAAATAAATATATACATGTATCAACAAAATTGATCCTGAGCATGCAAAGATGATAGAATGTTTTCATTCACAACTTTAAAAGGAATTACAAGAAATATGATATGGAGTCAATTTTTATTCAAGTAATAATGGAGAAAATCTATTGCTCTAGAATTTTACAAATCTTACAGATTACAGATAATGCAGCCTGCCTGATACTATGAAAAGGGGCTTTTAGGCCATGTAAATTTAAATTTTAGATTCTCATCCTAATTTGCTTGAAAATTGGGGCGGGTGGTGGATAGGGCTGTGCAGTGCACCGAAAATTTTGGTGCATCACGGTTCATACTGTTCGATTCGGTGCACCGATCCAAAATTCCGGAATTCGGTTAGGTTTGGTTCAAAATTTACATAACACGTGTAAACAAAATTGGCCGAAGTCAGTGATTTATTTTTTTTTAATTCCACAAATGTCTTTTCCTTTTACAATAGAGGTTAGTTTACATTGGTATGGGCTAGTAAATAGACCGACGGGCTAGTGAAAAAGTAGCAGGTATTTTCCAAGTTTTGCTTTTAAATCCCAAATCAATAAAAAAAAAAAATCAAAGAAGTGTGGTTCTGACTTGTTCATAAATCTCATCTATCTAATTCTTTTAGCATTTCTACATTACATGTATTTATTTCTAAAGACCATGAAAAGGATCGTCTTTTTTTTTTTTAGTAATCCGAATTTCCTCCATCCCAATTTTATGGAAAATACATGAAGGTATCACATTAATTGATTAAAATATTTCCAACTACTCAACCGGTTCACTGAAGAGTAAATATTTACAAGGGTTATAAAAATAAATTAACATTGCATTTGATAATTTGAATTAAAAAAAATAAATCACTAGCTTTCACTTCATTTTGGAAAAGGATCGAAGTCCAATGAGCAGAAAAAAATGTATACTGCTATGTTACAAGGTATCCAAAACATGATTGTTCATTCTATTAAATTCTGCATTAAATAATTTCATTGATTATTTATTTATTAATGATGCAGAAGAAAATGCAAATAGAGAAATAAGCAGAAGAAAAATGAAAAGAAGAGTAATTCACTATGAAATGTAGATGGAATAAAATAATACAACAAAATTTTCAAATTTTATTATGTTTTTGGGCTAGTAGAAATTTTACTTTTGCCAATAAAAATATCAAATCTACTAGCCCCACTTGTTAGTGTCTCCAAAAAGTTTTTGTGAGGACTGAAGTAAAGGGGTTTAATCAGTTTATAAAGCAGAGATTATTATTTTTCATTAATGATGAGAAATATTTGGACTGTTTAAGGTTAAATCGAACCGAATCGAAAAAAAAACTGAACCGTATCATTCTGAACCGAAACCAAACCGAATTGATTGAACCCTGAATTGTCCCAGCCCTAGTGGTGGATTTTATTTTTTAATTTTTACTCTGGAACATATCTATGCATAACGTTCTTCTTATACAAAATATTCATAATCATTTTTCTAAATGAATTCAATGTAAATAGCACATCTATTTATTCAGAGCAAATCATTCTCCTGCAAACCATCTGAGGATGAAACAGAATTGGAGCGAACTATCTCAGGGCTAACCATGCATTGGCGTGAAACATCCTGATACCATTCAAATACATTGTACACGGTCAATCACGGTGCACTGTTGCTGTAAGAGCTTTTTTTCTAAAATGTTCCATTCAGTTTGACCAACAACTTCTTATGTTTTGTCTAAAAATATCGTAGTTTTCCATTATCCTTTATAAAGTCCTATTTTAATTTTCATTCTTGACTTGTACATTCAATAAATTGTCAACATTTTGCAAAACAGGATGTCTAATATATTTATTATAATAATCTCTGCTGAACTGTTCTTATACATTTACTGTTTTCTGTAGCACTAATCATTCAGTATGCCAATTTTAAAATATGATTGCTACGAGATGCTGTGATTTTCTTCATCTCAAATGCTATATTTTTACTTTTTTCAGATCTCTTAAAAAATATGTACCTACATGTAGATTTATCAAAGCTTAATATAGCTATTATTTTGTTTTTTTCTGCCTTCTCTATACAGGTATATTAATTTTTTAAAAAACGTGACAAGGGCATTTTGAGAGGGGCGGGCGGGGATGAGAACCTAAACTAAAATTTTATTTGGCCTTAATGGTAAATGTTTTCAGTAACTGTCCAAGTGTATTAGCTTATTGAATCAACCCATTTAGTGAAGCATGCACAATGCTTCGAAATTACAAAGAAAGATGCACTGCTCTAATTTACCTAAACCTCACTAACTGCCTTTCATCATTATTGAATTTCCTGAACCTCCCAAGAATCATGTGTCAATTATACAATATGGTGCCCCTTTACCATTGATTTTTTAGAGCATGTATGAAAATTGGTGCAGCTAAATGGCAAAATTCAGAGAGTGGCATTAACAAATCCATTTTCATTCACAATAATCGACTTTGACAAGATACACTCTTGTTGGCTCTTAAGTGATATAAAATTGTATGTTGTCAGGAAAGAAAAAAACAACTAAAATTGTATAGGATCCATTGTAGCTGACCTTTGGTTAGGAGGTCACTGACCAGATCACATGACCCCTCTACTGTCAGACACTGGCCAATCGACCTAGATCTGAGCACAGCCCAGTGTTTACACACTGACCTATCAGTACATTTACACACCACAGTCAATAAACACTAAGCACGATTAACAACACATCAATACAAAAGCTTTTGCTTTCCTAGATTTTTTTTCATGTAATTTATAAACAACTCCTTATAGCCTGAGAAGCACCAGACATCTGATTCTAATGTATGAAGTTTCTATAATTGTGTGGTATAAATACAACCACTCTTAAGAAACAGAAGTATGCCAACAACCTTGCTCTACATTTATAAAACCAAAACAAATATATACACTAAATCCTTAACCTTGAAGGAGAGGTGAAAATTCTCGAGACACATGTGACATTCAAAGGTGCACCTCCCATATAATTAGGACTTAAAAGAGTCTTTACATAGGTTTTATGGTACATGTTCTAGATCATTCACTAGAAGCAATAATCTACTGTATGTAAACATCCCTGGTGCATATCACTGTTATTTCTATCTGCAGTCAGACAGAATAACTGTACAACAGACATGTATAAGAGCCTGGAGATATCCCTATGGTGCCAGCTAAGACCTATGATTGAAACTGTCATATCACACACTGAGCTGCTGGAATGATAACAAATATCATTCCAAACACCATACGAACACACAGACAGATGAAAGTCTGTTTTTACTCCATATTCTTGAACATAGCATTACTTTTTTGGAAGGTCATGAAATTAAGACTATATCTTTTAACTTCTAGAATTGAGGTAAATGTGTTTAACGATCATATAGGTACACATAAATGTTAGACCAAAGGTGTGTATATACAGAGGCTACGTTTTGCTTGTCTCTAACAGGTTTCTGGAAGGTCTAGAACAAGTATGAATAAATCCTTTATTTACTGGTATACTACACCTACAGCCAGATCATTATCATTAATTAACCTCTTGAGCTAACTTGCATGTCTACAACTGTAAGTACAGAATCTGAATATATGTGCCTTATGTAAGGACTAAACTGATGCGTGTCATAAAAATGTACAATAAGCCAACAGGCCTTGGTACTGGAATTCTAGATTCTTATGAGATCATTTTAATACCTTGGTATAGAACTCCTTCAAGATTCATTATTATCCTTGATAAAGTACCAATTTTACAATATATATGAAAAACTTTACCATAGTCTGGCCAGTTGGGTCTGAACACTGGGGGTCACAAATTTTATGATTTTTTGAAGAAGTGTACTGTTAATCAAGCAAACCCTTTGCCTCCTAAATGTCCAGCAGTAATGAAGAGGGCATGAACTTTAAAGGTCCTGACCCCATTCCTTAGGTCCCAGGACCCAGGATTTTGCATCGAGATGGGGGTAGGAAGGGGGGGGGGTTAGATGGCTAAGGGTCTGATGACTGCAGAGGGCCCTAGTGGATTCATGCCAGTGCACAGTGGATGGCTTTTAGGGGCAAAGCCTCCTCAGAATTAGATAACCTCATTTTGACACAGAATGTAATTTCTTGATGCTATTTGTCCCCACTGAATTGATAAACAGCCAATCTTCTCCTCCTCTACCTTTTTGAGGATGGGGTGGGGGGGGGGGGGGTTCATTTCAGGTGCCCCAGTCTGAACCTGCATCTGAAACTGATTCAGCAATTTCAGAGATTCAGAGGAGAAAATGAAATGTTCAACAGTTTATAAACAATACATGATTAAGTCAGGAGCAGACCACCATAGGACATAACATTGACTTGGGTGACCTAAAAATTGTGACTTCATGGAAAAAATATGATGATGATTTAGTTGAATCAATGCCTTACATGTCTGTAGTACTATAAATGCATTCAGCACAAACAGAAAATGAGCTTAGTTTCAGCTTACCCATCTCTCCCTTTGCTGATGATTTTGACTTCAAAATAATAAATTCCACAGGAAGGGGGGATTGGATGTGTGGCCCTCACACTGGCGGCATCTTTGTGGTTCTTCCCAACACCTGAAATAGTGATAAATGTAATGTATATACTGTATCTATACAATGTTGAGGCATTTTAATTTTCTCTAAGCAACCCTTAAGATCAACCCTTAAGGTGCCTTGAAATTTAAATTACAGTGCTTGGCCAAAAAAAAAAAAAAAAAAAAAAAAAAAAAAGAAAAAAAAAAGCAGAAATTAAAATAGTTCATGTGTACAAGCATCTTCGCTAGCCAAGGGTTTCTGATTCGCAACTCTCCTCATAAACCCTTGGCATACGGTGCTGACAAAAGACGGGATTGTTTTTGTCACGTGATCATGATTCTTACCAGGTTCGCACAGATTGCGTCATCGACAGAGCTAAAAAGCATATTTAAAAAAATTTTGTTTTTAAAGAATAATTAACAAGAAGGTATCGAGTTATGTTGATTTGTTATTTAAACATGTAAAAGTGCAAATTTACATCTTCAGTATATATTCTTAATCACATAGTTTGCACGTAGCTTTATATTGGATGACACCATATAGCTATTCATAGAATGGCATGTTATCTTACGGATCATTGTTTACTTGCGTTTTACATTACCGATATTAAAGAGTCAAGATATATCCCGAACGCATATATCGTCATTTACAAAAAACAATTGCTGATTGGTCGAACGATGTCGATCAACTCCAATCACAACTTGAGAAAAAAATCCCAACTTTTTTTAACACCGTATGCCAAGGGCTTATGAGGAGAGTAGTGTATCAGAAACCCTTGGCTAGCGAAGATGGTGTACAAGATCAATGTATGACAGTGAAATACACTGTAATCAGCAATTGTAACACTATGTTTCACAAAGTCTGACATTAATTTTAAAACTTTACACAATAATGTAAACTGATACTTTTTTCCCTTTTACAACTAAATGACATATTTTTAAAAATACATCCTGTTTATTCATCTTTCCTCCAAGATGAATAAAACATGCATTAACTTAAAAGTGTTTATAGTGGTGTACAAAACCCATTGACAACCTTCTAGTCAGCTTGTCTTATCTTTTAAAATTAACATAGAAATTACAGGTATTAAAGAATTCCTTTAAAAATTGACAGCTTTGCTGAAAAGTCACTAGTCTCAGGCATACAAACAGACAAATTTTGTACACTAGTATATAGATCTATTCATTTACTTATTAAGTTTCTTTAATTAGTAAAAAGAAAAAAAACATTAACTTTCTGTTTGCAATAACATTCATATAACCAAACAACATTTTTAATATTCTATTCTAATAGCAGTCAAAGAAGCAATTTGATGATGTTCTTTAACACCTTTATTTGTATTCAGTGTACATCAAGTCTTAGTTTTATCTTTTAAATTTTCGTTAAAAACAAAATTCTAAAAGAGTGATTTAATAATTTTGTTTGAATTTCCTGTCATTGTGAAACCATTCAAAAGGAACGCAAAAATCCAGATCTTAGCTCTAAATGAACTAACTTCATCAATTAGTAATCGACTGAACCCGTTGTTACATCATTTCAATTACGTACTCTGAAGTACCTGCACTTTATTCAAGATCTGTTTCACTGCAAGTTGAACCCGTCAATTATTTTCAATGATTCAAACTTCCTGCATCGATCTCATTCTACCTCCTTTACTCTCTGAGGAAAATACGTCAGTGAAATGTCGAATATCTGAGGCTGTGTTCCATTTGTTTTCTTTGTAGATGATGAATGTACTTGTTGCTAATATCTAACTTCACATATAACACCATAATATCCTGCTCAATGTACACGATTCTCTCATTTCTTTACAAGTGGCTGAGATAGTTATAAGTAACCAAAAAAAAAAAACCCCAAAATAGTGTTAAATCCAGACCCTAAAAAGGGCATGGTAATCCAATTATCAAAAGGGCACTTTATGCCGCGACAAGTTTTCATGAGGGCACTTTTTTAACGTTTTTGAAATTATTAATATTTTCTTTATCATGTTTATGTACTTAAATTATTATTTAATACTGAAATCTTTAGTTATACAAGTATCTAAAAGAAAAATTTATAAATCTGTCAGCTTAATTCATTTAATACACACTGAGAGGGCAATTATTGCCAAAATTTAAATTCAAATTTTTTAATCAGGAAATTAGTATGGTTATCAAGGTTATGCTTAAAAAGTAATAGGTGTGAATCTTTTTGTCACTTGCTCAAAAATCATTTTAGTTTGGGGTATGAATTTTTTTTCCCTTGCTTTAATATTGTTATTTATGTATGAGGTAAATAACAGAACAAAATTGCAAGGGGGGGGGGGGCTACTTGGATAATAAATGTAGAGGGCATTCTCTTTATTTTTAAAATAATCTACCAACAAAATCAACTGAAAACTGATCATACCAAAACATTAAACTTGAAATAATATAAAATTTGGTTAAAACTTTTTTTTCTGGCCTAGAAACATTGAGCCTCTGGGTGTCAACTCAAAAAGTTAGAACACAGAAACTAACTTCATACTTTGTTGTTTCCTAACCCATTTTACACATATAATATTCAGTTTTTTGGTACTGTACATTGTAAGTTGTCTTAATTCATCAGCAGTTTTATTTTTCACATTTCTTCATCAACTATGTTTTTTCTACTTTCAATTTAAAAAAAAAACGATCCTGATTTAAAATGTGTAACATTTTAATTTACAAATTAATCTATCTGTGACATTGGGCTAATTCTTGCATAATCAATGCAATCAAATGATATTTTCTCGTGTTATCTCTTATACCCTGACAGCCTGAGGCATGTTACCTGGCCAGGTGGCTGTGTGCGTTCAAGCGAGAAGTGATTTCCTGTCCTGAATTCACACCTTTGCGTGCATTAAATAAACAAAGGGGCTAATCAGCATGCACTGAATAAACAAAGCCGCTAGTCCATCTTGCCTCTGCTAGGCATATTTATTTATTTTTGCAAGGAAAAAAGGGCATGGCGCTGGAAAAAAGGGCATGGCGCCAAGGGAGAAGGGCATGGCGCCGCGCCATGCTAGTTTGCTTTAGATTTAACACTACCCCAAAAACTAACAACACTGCTAGGGCATGAAATTAGGAAAATGGGGTTCTTCGTATATTTAAAAAAATATTTTCTCTGAAAACAATGAAACTGCAAAGTGGTTTTCTCATTCAGCTTGTGACTTTTTTCATCACTCCTACACTGATATGAACCCAATATAGCCATAGGGAGGAAAAGGACTGTGACCTTGTAAACAAATATAACCTATCGTTGGGTCAAATTTTTGCTGACATATGTTTCATTCCAAATGTTAGGGCTTTGTTATTGTACTAAATTTGACTATGGAATGTTCTACTTTATCAATACATAGGGCACACGGTGGATGTGACCGGTCAACAAGGAATGCTTACTACTCCTAGGCACGTGATCCCACCTCTGGAATTTCCAGGGGGTCTGTGTTTTATGCTCTGTCCACAAATTTGTATTGTTTGTAGATTTTTTGATATCGATCACTGTTTGTCATGTATATATAATCAAACTTTATTTGTTTTAATCATGTTTATAATCATAGGAAAAAGAAAAAGATTTTTTTTTTTTGGTCTTTTTTCCCTAATGCATCAAAATTTCTACAACTGGAACACACTAAAACATGCAGATCTTTTGTCTAAGAGTACGTATACTTCAGCCTTGAGAATTAATCCACACTAAACTGGTATTTGTCATCACACTGTGCAAAAAAAATTATTTAGTATTATATATCTCCCTTGATGAAATATTGATTCTATCATTGACAACATGAAATGACATAGTAGTGATGTTAGTTACAAAAATCTACAGCTAACATCATAGTTTAATTCCTAGCTTTACCTAGAAAAAATTAACCCTGCATGAACTCTTACTGCATACACAATGAGCTAAACCAAATGTTTTCTTTATCATCTTGAATTTGTCTGAAAAATTCCAATTTAAGTGGTTACAAAACAGGTAAATACAGAGTCTCAATTAACTTTAGCTGTACATATTAGAGTATGAATTTTAAGACACATTTAAAGTTGCCTTTTATTATTTAGATTTGATATTGTTATACCATAAAATAATTCTATAGTAATTTTGATTGAGATACTCTGACAGATTCAACACTTACAGGGACAATTTATTTGGTCTTAAAATATCACTGTTGCATTATTTTCACTATCTCGAAAAAATGTCAGGTTTAACAAACTTACAAGGAAATTTTATTTACATCAAAATAGCAAATATTTCATTTCCTAAAAGATACTTATATTAGTTATTTCAATTTATCAGCATCAAAGGTGAGAAATGAATTCATGAGAATGACAAACTTCCCTGTTGGTTTACTGTGCTTTGATAATGTGTACATTCAACTTTCTTATCTCAACTTCTTAACATGCTTAAAGTTGAAACACTATGGAAAATTTTGGTAAAGATAAAATCATGATTTCTGCTCATGGACCATAATTAATGTATAGTGACCAGAATATTTTAAGAATATTTCACAGTATAAATAGAATTATTAGTTCCTTTCACACATTTTATTGATATATATCTTGTTGCATGATTATGTTGTCAACACACTGGCAGAATTAGCTATTATAAGGATGCAAGGATTTATAGCTGTAGTCACATTTACATGGAATCTTCATTCTATAGCAATATCCCACTTGTGTACATTGATCATCATATTGATTATTCCATTTGTTCTTTTTAGGTTTCTAAATTTAATAAGAATTCTGACAAGAAAAGTCAAATTGGTTGCTATAAGAATAAAGAGAATATTTTTTCATTAGTTCTTTCACTTAATACTCTGCTTAGGCCAAAAAAAATATGGTTACCCGACCCACCCTATTTTTTTAGCCAAATTCCCGACTCTAAACTTTTTTCCCCAGAAAATTTAAAGTTTCCGAGACCGCCTCTTTTTTTTATGAAATCGTAATGGCAGTGCACTTGTTGGTTGCACAAAGTCTGTCTGTTGCTGTTTCATGTTGATATATAATCATAAAATAATCCTTTTCAAATTATTTAGAGAGGAAAATGTAATGAATTGTCCCCCCGTAAAGCTGTTTTCACAGTAGCAATCCTGAAAATATCAGCTGGAATCAACATTGGATCCTATCAAATTAGTGATCAATGCAACATACATGTGATAAATGATCACCAATGTTTTGAAATTAATTATCAAATTATTTTCATGCCATTTAAGACATCTAAATGCTATAATAATATTGAAAACAATTACAGATATCATGAAATTGTCAATGAGCTTACTGTTTATACATGTATCATGGACATAGATATGGGCCACACTAATATCAGTAAAATGTCATCCAGTCATTTTTTTCAAAATTCTATCAATAACGTAGACTTAGTATTTATATCAGTCTTTGTTTTATTTAATGTTACTAATCAAAAACATTTAAGAAAATAATTATTTTTTCACAAAAATATGTCTGCCAAACTTTTTTTTTTGGTAATAAATCTAAAGAATGTTGAGCTATACAGTTTGCTACATACTGATCTTTCTTTGGGTAGATTTGAATTAGAATTTTTAGAATTACAAAAATTTAAATTCATATGGATTAATAATTGATGTTTTTTAATGTTTTAAATTAGGGGGAAGTAAAAGTAGTTAATCATAAGTGTATCAAACCCAACCCCCTTAATTTTTTAAACTTCTCCCTGTTTTGCTTTGAGCATGTTGAGGTAGAGGTGAAGACTCCCTAAATTTTAGGCCTAGAATAGACCTTGATTTCTAGACCTAGATTTATTTCTCATTCATTACATTCATTAGATATTGAATCTCCAGGGGCTTAAAAAAATGCACCTACGTACCCTATTTTAAAATTCCATGTAATAGGAAACACCCTTTTTTTGGCCTTACCCAGTTAACTACAGCCAACAATTTTACATTGTTGATTACAACCACTCATGAATGAGATTGCATATTAAACATTATTAGCAGTAGAGGAGTGCAGAAAAAAGTGTTAAAACATGTATTTAAGCCTAATTTCTCCTTCCTGTTTCTTGTAATGAGCTTAACACGACTTTCAATATCAGGTTGAAAGAGAGCTGATCTTGTGTAAACAGTCACACGTAGACTGCCCCTCACTCTAAGCATTCTATCTTTTAATTAATATTTCAAATTATCCAAAATTACTCATCATGATCATATTTTGGTCCATTCACATGATCAAGGTGTGTTTCAGATTTTAAAAATTCTATTTTCTGTTGTCTTAGAATTACAGAATTTCATTATTCTCACATGATTTTCGATATACAGTAGTTGACAATGTGTACTCCATGATAAAGCAACATTGAAATACAAAAAATATTTGCAAAATTTTTAATGCGTTTAATTAATGAAATTTATAATTGAAAATTAGAATCAAGAGAGACATAAAATTGATTTTATAAATTATTAATTTATCAATAATCCACCAATCGATCATGGATGACATTTTAGGATAATCAGATGCATGTTCTTAAAACACTGACAAATGTAAAGGAAATCAGCTTGAAACTTCACCATGATGAAAGTTGATATCAATAATATTAGTACAAAGTTACTTGACTTGAAGAATGTCACCCTAAATGGAACATTAACTAAGTCTCAAACATGACCTCATTTCCACTATTGTTCACAGTAGCTCTAGCTTCTTTAGAATAAAAACACTGAATAATTCATGAGATAAGGCTTATATTTAAAAGAATAAATGAAAATGGCCTAATTTGTGCACTTTTTGGAAAACTGACTTCAATGGTAATTTTGTTAACCACAATGGCTTATGCACATCAATTAAACCATTGAACTGTCATTCTTTAAGCTAGAAAACGGCATTGCCGTTTGGGGTTTGTATCTAACAAATCAGCTGTTTAATGGGTCAGCGATTCTACGATTACTGCTGTTCTAAAAATAAACCAAAACAAAGAAGTTCGCCTGACAACTAGATATTTCTAGGATATGAATAGACAATCACCAACTCGATCTGATATAATAAATACTTGGGGGTCAGTATGATGTATACCTGAAATCCCATCCCTGGACTTAAATAGAATAAATTGCGTTTGTTTACATATGTCGAAATAAAAATTTACCTTTGTAATGCACACGCAAATTATTTTGGGATAATCCAATAAAATTGTACTTGTCTTTAGAACTCCATGCTCTTGGTAGTGGAGTTTCTTCTTCATTTACTGCTGGATAGAGCTGCTTCAGAGGGTCAGGAATTTCTTGAATACTGGTATTGAGCGATTCAGTGGAGCTAAATCCACTTGTCGCTGCCATTTTTCTGTTACTTCCACCAATGCCCGTATGTAGATTATGAGGCAGTCAATGTTGCTTGAAACACAATTTTTTATTTGATGATGAAAATAATTTCATCCAATTAAATTTCTTGTTACATTATGTGATCATCCATTAGCTAGGTTCCTAGTTGATTCGTTCTTCTTATATGTAGATATTGTTCCAAATAAATAAAATAAAAAATAATAATAATAAAAGAATAACAATCTCTCAACTTAACAAGATTTCAAATGCTTCGGGGATATTCTATTGAAATAAAAACAAAACAAAGTTAAAAAGAGGTGTATGTGAAGCACTGATGCCCCCGTATGGCAGCTCAAAACCAAGGTTAAAGTTTTTCAAATGTAGGTTAAGAGTTCACAAATGTTGATACCCAAAGAAAGGTCTTGTCATAAGGAAAATACACGTGAAATATAATAACCATAGTACCAAATATTCAGAAAATATATTTCCAAAGTTTAAGTTTTCCAAAAATGTCATACTCCAATCCAATGTCAATATCAGAAGACAAAAAATAATGGTACAAAAGGAAAGGTTTTATCACAAGAAATGCATATGTAATATGAAAGCCCTAGCAGCAATTGTTCGAAAGTTATAGGCAAGATTACTGGGTTTTTTTTTTCAAATATAGGTTACTTTTAAGGACATGAGGTCAAAAATGTTGGTACCCAAAGAAAGGTCTTGTCACAAAGAATACACACGTAATATATGAAAGTCCTAGCCTCACCAATCAAAAGTTAAGTTTTTTCAAAACTCCAAGGTCAAGGTCGAAAGGTAAAAAATGTTGGTACCCAAGGAAACGTCTGGACACGTGTAATCTGAGCGTTTGTCTGTTTTTCCGAAAAAACTTTATCCTTGCCCATAACTTTTGAATGATTTGACCTAGGGCTTGTTCTTCTTGTGATAAGACTTTTCATTGGGTAATACTTGACCTTGACCCTGGAGTTTGACCTGCTTAAATTATACAAAATTTTACCGAACTTTAACCTTGACCATAACTATTGAACCGTTGGTGCTAGGCTTTTATATTTCACATTTGTATTCCATGTGACCAAACCTTCCTTTGGGTACTGAAATTTTTTACCTTTTGAACTCCTCACTCACCTGTCATTAAATCGTGACTATTCTAAGCTTATAATAAATAGCTTTTCAAGGTGTCGATTTTAGATTTCTGAAGGTATACTAGTATTTAGAAGTGTGTAGTCTGTGGCGTGGATTCAAGGTTGTTCAAATATTATTGCCCTTGTGGGTGGGGGCAAAAGTATGGGATTAGAGTTTTACATAATACATAAAAAAACAATCTTAAAGAGTAATTCTCTTTTAAAAGTACAATATCTTCAGTGTCACTATGTTATGAGGATTCAAGTTTGGTCAAGTAACCCTCCCTCAAAACTTTGAGCGCTGGGAGGGGGGTGGGGGTGTCCCGACCCCCCAACCCCCCTGAATTCGCCACTGAAATGGCCCATGGTTGGGCTACATTTAGTGGGTTAAAATATTTAGGAATAAGTCATTTTCTAAAGAATGACAAGACTTAGGTGACTGAGCATTCTGTCCCATGGGCCTCTTGTTTTCAATGCATATGGACCGAAACAGTAAGGGTTCGAAATGAAGTAGTACCTCAACATCAACAATTTACGACATGCTCGTAATGTTAATTTTATCCAGTTGATAAATTTATCAAGTTTAAAGTAAAGAAGAGTTTAAAATATGTTTTCCGATTAAAAGGTAACAATATACATTTGTTTATTTTTCTGGTATCAGAAATCGGTACTTAGCTTATTGTTGCCTTGACTACGGCGCCATTTTTACTGTACAATGGCTGAACTTGGTTAGATATATTTTGCCAGAAGAATACACATCGAACTCCAAAAATGGAAGGGCGAATGGTAGCCATACTTCCTCCTATTGAAAGGTACGCACAGAATGCGAAATCAATTTAAATACGCCAATCCTTTGTGAGAGTTATTGTCCTAAATAGGGCTTTACAGCTTTAATTAGTTTAACAATTTAGTTTGGCCCAATGTTTGCAATGAAGACACAGAATGGAATGCTCAGTGTGACCCTCTGATGAAACTTGCACAAACTGCTGTTGGAAAAATAATATGTTGACGGTGTGACCGTTAGGGCGAGCGTAGTTAGAATAATCTAACTGTGTCTCGGGACAGGCCCTCACCACAGTTAGAATGCCTCCCATATACCCGTAATGTAGCAGAAAATTGCAGAATCGCTCCGAAACGATTTTGGAGAAAATTAATGAAGTTGCATTGAAAATAGCAGTCAAATTAATCATAACAAACCTTTTTGAGACTGTAAATACCTTTCATCTAAAAATTTAATCCATATAATGGAAGAATTCAACCCTTTTTCATCAACGTTTTTTTCTCGTTTCAAATTTACACACCAAGTTGACATTCGGAACTCTTGGGATTTTTCATAGTAAATGCACTGAGTTAGAGTTATCTCCCGTATTTTCTTTGCTACATAGACAATACACGGAATGCATTCTATCGTTAAATCGGGTCCGTAGGACATTTATCATTTAATGATAGAACATTCTATCAAGGGCAAGCGCAGATACTTTTATAAACTGTATTTAGACCCATTTCTTCAAACCGCACGTGACATATTGTACGTATAGACTCTGACATCACAGGACGTCATATGTAAGTTGCATTACCAAACCAAAGTCTGAACGCTAGCATGTTTTAATTAAGAACTTTTTATATACTATTTATCGACAATATATCCATTAAATCAAGACCAGTTTATTTTTTGTTGAACTTTTGTTGTCATTCTTGCGAGAACGTACTTAAATAAGCGATGCATTGTGGGTCCAAAGTTACTGCGGAAAAAAATTCTGTTGAATGAATGTGCAGTTACGTAGTCTGAATTTTCTCTTCGCCCAGGCGTTGTCGTTAGAGCTGGCAGTGACGAGCTGCGCTTTGCGCCGCTTGCTTTTTTTTATGTTTAGGAAGATAACCATTCTTAATGAATCAGTAAAGATATATGCAGTAATCTGGTAATCAATGGATGCTTGCAACATGATTTAGGCTAAAACACATTAATATTATTGGTATTAATATAGCTTCACTCTCAAATTTGCAGTCCATATTATTCTTTTTGAATTTAAACATACAGGATGTTTAAATAATTGTATGTTTAACATGTCGACGGTGCGACCGTTAGGACGAGCACATGTGTGTATTACTGGATATCTATTCAGTTTTAAGTTAGATCCACCTCTTCAAACAGCACGAGACATTTGGTACGTCTAGACTGTGATGTCAAATGATTTTGGATATTAGTAACATTACCATAACAAAATCTGAAAATGGCAAATTTCAACAAAGAATGTTTAATTTACCATTTATCTCTGAAATATTTATTAAAACAAAGTGAGATTATTATTTGTGGACTTTTGTTGCTACCCCAAGAACATGGTAAGCAGCGAGATGCATTTGAGTTGCATTGTGGGTTTTGATGTTACTGCGGAAAAAATTCATTTGGATCAATGAGCAAAGTCCGAATTTTCTCCTTACCCAGGCATTGTCGTTAGAGTTTGCAGTGCGAGTGGCACTTTGTGCTGCTTGCTGCGCTCATTATTAGTAGTAATAATAATTAATAACAGTTGCTTGTGATTTCTATATATTCCTGGTGCTTGTGTTAAATATAATTATCATAATTAATTAATTAATTTTTTTCAGGAATATTTCTCCAAGAGCTGGTCAGCAATTTGAAGGACTAACAGGACCTTCATACAAGATTGAGGATAAATCATATCCCTTACCAAATCCTAAAACTTTAAGGGTGAGATCATTTATTTGATTAGTATGCACATTATAAAATCAGCATATTTCTTACTGTCCTTTCATAAGCACCAGTTTTTAAAGTGCTCCTTTTTCGAAAAACTGTTAATGTATTGTATACTGAATTTGAATGTTATACATGTAACTACACCAAAGAGAATGTAGAAGTAATTTTTTCTGTGTGGCATTAATTTACACTATGGGCGCGGTCACATATTTTCTGCGAAAATTTATCCCAGTGTACTTAAAAGTACATTTAGGGCATATAGTGGCTATCTAAGAAATCCGTGTAATTTTCTACCCAGGGATTAAACAGAAATTGTGTTTCCGTGGAATTTTGACCCCGTGAAAAAAAGTGTGTTTAAATAATCACTAATAGTGACATGATTTTGTTTCCCTTACAGCCTTATGTTGACACAAGATCAGGAGATGTGGACACATGGCCAGCTCACGCCAGTGGCCAAGCAGGGGGTTCCACAACTTTGATGTTGTCCAAATCTAAAAGTCTCATTCTCTATGATGAAGAGGCTATGGGGAAACCCAAAATGATCCCCAAACCCAGATTTCTGGAACAACTGGAGAGTTACTTGAAAAAAGAGTTACGGGCCTTGGGAGTCACAGATGTTAATGCTAATGAACTCAGACTACAGGTGATTTTATCTTGTAGTTAGGAAATCATATAGTTATAGTATTAGACAGTAACTGTTGTAGTACTGAAATGCAAAGAAATCATGAAAAGGGGTGAATAAAATGTAAAAAAAATTTAAAAAGAAAATGTACAATTTTTAAATGTAAAAATTAATTCAATGGATTCTTTATTATTTTTACAGGCACACAGAGAGGTTTTTGAATACTTGATTGAGGACTTTAAAACTTACAAGCCTCTCTTATCAGCAATAAAAAATGAGTATGAAATGATGCTGGCATATCAGAGACAGGTCATAAGAGAACTGGAACCATTAAAGGTACACAAACACAGGTTTTATTTATTGATTACAAATGTACCCTCTGAATTTATCCACAGTTTGGAGTACATAGCTGATTTTCAAATGGAGATTATACAGACATGATATTTACTGATATTTGAATTTTGTAGCAAATGTTAGTGACAGTATCAGAACAGTGTGATCAGAAAATAATGGCCATAAGAGAAGAAGAGAAGCAAGGTAAAGTACAGACTTTATGCTAAATTAGTTAAGTTTAAAAGTGTTAGCCTTATTTTGTGCTGTGTTTAAAATTTCAAATTCTTCATTCAGAGATAAAGGATTTGAAAGCTGAAAACAAGAGATTGCTAGAGAAAATCCAAAACATGCAGAATGAGCGGTTAGATCTGGTAGCAGAAGTGAAAAAGCTGGAAGATGATTTAGCGGAAACTTACAAAAATTACAGAGATGAATTAGACTCTAAAAAATTATTATTACAAGAAATGAATGACATGAGAGACCAGAAGGATGATTTAATGGCTTCTAAAGAGGCAGCTGAAATGGAGGCTCAAGATGACCCAGTTACCCTCAAAATAGCTCTCAGGTAAAATCACTCAATAAACAATCCCAGTCATAAAGAGATTTATTCACTGAATACAGCTATCTGTGCCACTATCTGAGTATCAGTCTTGTTAATTGATACATACATGTATTTGGGTATTTCAAACTTGAGGACTCCAGGGGAGGGGGATTTGTGCACATGTAAAGGGATATAACCTGGGTATTGCACATACTTCCATGGATTAATATAACTTTGTGCACATGTAAAGGGACATAACCTGGGTACTGCACATACTGCCATGGATCAATATAACTTTGTGCACATGTAAAGGGTCATAACCTGGGTACTGCACATACTTCCACAGATCAATATAACTTCTTTTTAAGGAGAACATCAGTCTGAATTATTAGGCAGAGGTTTCAAAATTTTGGAATAAGTGAATCACACACATAATGAATCTCCAGAGACAGTCAAAATCAGTTCCATAAATCAGTAATTCATTTAACATGTATCCAATAAATTATTATTTTCTATCAATGAATAAAACTGTATATACTTGTTATGCGTGTATTTGTTTATAGGTTTATTGTTGATATTGTTTATCTGTAGATCACTGATTAATAATTTATGTTTATTTATGAAAGAAATTCTTATGCATATTCCAACTGGTAAACTTTTTTTTTTCTAAATTTCAGACAAGCCAGAGAAGATGAAAAGAATGCCACAAAACGTCTGAATGACATGATAACAAACTACTATGATGTCATTCCAAGAAGAGACTTTGAGAATTTAGAGGCTAAATATAACGTAAGTTGTCAATTTCTGTTGCATGTATGTATTAGTAGAATTTGTAATACTAGTAGTAATAAATATGGTATTTGCTAAGTATCACAAAAGTTTGTGATAGAAAACAAGTTTTTATCAGTTAATCCAGAACATTTGTCTAATATTTTAAATTTCTTGATTAGAAGGTTTTACTGACCAGATCATGTTTTTCTTTCAGAAATTGGTTGAATCCAATGACACACTGAAGGATGATTTTGATAAATTGAAAGCAGAACATGAGTAAGTAGTATTTAAAAAGAGATTCTGTGAAATTTTGATAAGCATGTACATATCGTTTTTTCCCCCTCAGATTTCTAAAAAATCTGTGAATTTTTCGCTTCTTGAAGAATATACATACATGTAAATTAATAACCATTTTCAGCGTTGATTAACTGCAACAAATTTTATTTTGATGAGTTTTACCGTTTATAAAGTCCTACAAGATATGAGCTGCCGACAACTTTTCCCTCACCGATACCTGTGTAATTTTCTTGTAGTACACTTCTGGATATTCAGAAACAAGTAACAAAACAGAGAGATGAATTCTATGTAGAATTAGAACAAATGAAGAGGGCATCCACTCCAAGGTAATTCTATATTGATAAAGTATCAGTTGTAGTTGTGTTTTGTGAAGGTGAGAGGTGAAATTTTATAAATTGTATCAATGTACATGAACTTTTATCCTACTGTAAATTATTATTTAGTACATATATACCGAAACAATCAAAACTGTTAGTTTGTAAATAACAGGTATCTAAAAAGAAATATGTGTTCATCAGATTTAAAAGTACAATCTTTGGTAAATTAGAACTACTGGGTAAATGTAAAAAGCTGTTTATATAGGGGAACTTAAACCCATGTTTTATTTCAGTTGTCTACCTTCATCCTCATTTGGCAATATCAGAACAGGGCTAATTTAACAAAATGTTTTCAGACAAATTGCAATAGGGAGATGTTTTACCCTAAAGTATTGTAAATCACTTATGTATTGCATTACTTTCATTACTTCAGAAAATACATGTAGCACTTAATTTAACAAAAGTTTTAGAATAACAAAGTTATTTCTCCTTAAGAGTGAAATAATGAGGTTTTATGTCTAGAGGATCATACAAAAAATGAAGTTCTCCCAAATTTGTGATTTATAGTACATTTTGTTGGAAACAACAAAGAACAAAAATTTTACAGATAGTAGCAGTTGCTTGAAATCTTTTATATTCCTCAGACCTGACTGGGAGAAATGTGCTGATTTCATATCTGGAGGTGTTGTGCGATGGAAGGAACTCTCTGATGGCAAGTCCTCCAATGAACTTGTGGACGTTTTGTTGGCAGAAGTCCAAGCAGGCGGACCTGTGGACTCGGGAGGGGCTGAGTACTTTGATGGACAGGTACTGCACAATTTTTATACAAAAACCTGGAGGAAATGGGTTTGAAAGTTAATCTAGATATGAATAAAAAATTTTAATTATCTAAATTTTGCTTTAAAAAATATTTTTCAAAAGTTATGAAGTATGATTCTTTAAGTAAGTAATTAGAGGTAATTAAGATTTCATAGACATAACTTGTAGTCAGGAGAAGAAAATTGCTTGAAGGATTTTTACTGATTTTAAAAAAACAATTGAACTTTTTTTTCAATTTGCATTTACTAGAATTTTACTGAAATGTTTGTTTTTTAGGGAACTGGGCCATCAGTTCCAAAATACCTAAGATATGATGGTCCTGTGAGGAATCGTCGTCTTGGAAAAAGAGATTGTCTTCTCCTCATTCGAGACATCTGGAGGGAGAAAGCTGCCCATGATGCATCTGTATGTACAATAGTACTATTCAGTCATGTTTTACAGGAAAATTCTAGAGTAATGTAAACATACTTTCCTATGGGTAAAAACTCCATTGGGCCATGTTTTCCATTCAATCAGCCTCTAGAAAACTATGCAGATTTCTTGGATTGTCTTTGTATGTCTTAAATGCTCTTTAAGTATGCTGTGACAAATTTCCTGGAAAATTAGTGACCTTGTACATGTTGTAAATTAGTCCCACATGAAAAAAAGGTGTACAATAGAGAGGTTGAGATTTCATACGTGTACGTGTACGGGTACGTCTAGTGGGGGAATTCCCTAAATTTCTTGCGTATTACGTCATCAGATTTGGTGTTGATAAGTTTTCTTCACGTTCCTACAACTTGTAAAAAGGCATCTACACGTAGGTGTAAACTTGTAGCTTTTTCAATAAAAACTAGTCAATTTATGTTTGAAACTGTTATTGTTGTTAATTATTTAGGATGTTAAGTTTCATGAACACTTATTTTATCCATGTTTTGTTCACTAACTAAAGTCAAACTAATGTCACAAAACTACTAAATAGTTGAAGTTACAGAGACACCGATTACAGTCTAAACGTTCATGTTACACGTCATTAAATCTCAACAGACAAATCATGAAAAACGTGTACGTCAAAATTTGTGCACACGTACACGTACGCGTACAAGTTTAAAATCTCAACCTCTCTAATATGTCTTTTTTCTAGATTAAAAAACTAAAATTTGGTTTGTTAAAAAACTGAGGAAGTGATAACCTTTTTTCATCTTCTATAAATTTTTTCAACAGAAAGGTGATGGGGAGAGGAGGGATACCATGGCTGACTTCCTGGATATATACCTCAGTAGACGATTTGCAATGGAGCAGATGAAGGTAGAATGGGGATATAACCTTCATGATGCCTGTCAAAAATATGCCAGTGATGATCTTGTCGGAATGTTTTGGGGAATTCTGGAAGACAATGTAAGAAAACAAATGTTTTGTTCTTTGGACCATTATTTATGTCTTTCACTTTTGGGGTTCTGATACATCATTTGCTTCAGAGCTATTAATTTAACATGTTACTCTGTTATTTTACTGAATTGACATTTCCTGTTTAGAGCCTTCTCACATGGATTCATTAGAAGTCATTCAAAAACAAACCAAACACTTTTTTCAGATTGATGAAGAAATTTACCATGATCAGATGGCCAAAATAGAACAGCTTTTAAATCAGCTGACGTCCATTGATGTAGAAAAAGGAAATCCTGGAAAGATCACAAAGGATGAACTGAGAACTGGAATCCGGACAGTGCTTCCAGCTGTGGATGAGGAGTCCATGGCAGCACTCATCAAGGCTGCTGAGCTGGAACTGGATGCTCAGAATACAGAAGATATTGACTACAAAGAAATGTTCAAAGAGGTTAATATAACTATTATGATTGTCTGTTAGTTTTGATTTTTTTTTTTTTAATAGAAAGCAATTATTTACTCTGTTAACTTGATATATTAGATTCTTTAAATGTGGGTTGAATTTTTTTTTTCACTTAACTATAAGACCACTGAACATTAACTGGGAAGATTGGAAAATGTACCTTTCATCAGTTCCCTCTGTTACAGTCAAAACAATGAATTGGGCGTACAATTCAGGGGGAACCTCCAAGAAAACTTTCGATTGAAATGATAGTTTTGGAAGTGAATTACAATTCACTCACCTATTCTCAGGTGCATATACAGTAAAACTCATTTAGTGCAAGCATGGATATAGTGAACTTACTGTTATAGCAAATTTTTCAGGGATCCCTGGCAAAATTCTTAACAATTCCTTTAACAATAGTTGAAGATTAACAAAGAATTTATAAAGATTAGTTTAAATTGTATTTAATACATGTACTCTGAACGTAATTGTTAGTCACATTTTAAGGAAAATATGTATATTGCGAATTTGCTATATACATGTATACATAAAGATTTTGTTATACATATATAACATTATGGATATATAATGAAGTAAATCCACAGATTCCTAGGACTTCGCTGTAACCAGTTTTACAGAAGAAATGCAACATCATTTTTTTTTTGAGAAAAAGTATTAAAAAATATATATATTGTTTTTCTGGATTAATCTTTAATAATCTAAGTAGAAGAATCTCAAATGTCCTCTCTGAGCCATAACCCAACCCCCTTCCTTCCCATTGCATTGTTTATCATCAAACAATTTGACTGATACATGGATGGAAATGAAGTAAACTGGATATTTCCAATCTTGCCAGTTAATGCAGTTTAAAATTTCTGATAAGAAATTAATTTTTTTTATGAAATTTTTTATTAAAATGTTTTCAAATTGTTATGAATAAGTTCTGATTTCTGATGTGTTTCATACGAGTTTTATCAACCTGTACAATTTTTAATGTCTACTTCAGGATGACGAGGGCAGGTTTGGGCCTTTCCTTGATGAAGTTCTAAAATGGATAAAACAAGACAGAATAAATTTTGGAGAGGAAGTTAAACAGAAGCTAGGAGAGAGCACGTAAGTTTTCTATTATTTTAGAATTTTTAAAAATAATTACTACATAATTTACATTTGGCTTTATGTTCAATAGAATTCCAAGCAAAAATCACATTAATTATAGCATATGTCTCTATTTAGTCATTATAAACTATATCATGAATTTTATATCAATACATGTAATTCAACACTGCAACTCTTCATCACTGATTTTTTAATAATTACAACATTACTTCACAGCAAAGTAGAAGTTGATGAAATGAAACAGCTGATCATGGGGGCGGCTCCAAACTTGGACACTCCCCAATTACTGAAGATTTTGGCCTGGGTGTTTGAGACGATCCCAGAAAATGTACCTAGTGCTGAAGGCATTGAACTTTCTCGAGCCATTGAGAGGCTACAAAACTGCCATGTTCCACGATCATAGAGTCAATTCTTAGTGATCCTGGGTTTAAATGAGTGTATCTGGTGATTTGAATGAAAGGGAGAATGAGAGGAGACAATGCAGACTTAAGGGATCATAAGCTATTTCTGTGATAACATTTTAACTGGATAGTACATATTTATTTTACGTACATATGCTGAGTATATGTACATGTATGCATTGTTAATGTATTTTTAATGTGTGAAGTTGTGACGATAGAACATTTCTGTACCCTGGTCTGTGATACCTTATTTTTCAATGAAGTACATTAACATGTACTGTATGTCTAGTATACATCTATATGTATGGAAATAAAACAATTAATAATACTCTACTAAGTCTTGATATCCAATTTACATGTAAATCTGTACTAAAGAGGATTATTGGTATGTAGTTTGGAATGAAACTTGCTGTACTAAACTATTAGTTCCTTCATGGAAAAAAAAATGCCCTTGTCCATTTATTCCCAATTTTAATTTTTTTTAAAAATATGAATGGTACACTTGCAAATCAATTGCAACTTCTTGAGCCTTTTCAACATGTAGAAAAAACAATGTTGAATGTGTTACATAGGTGTCCATGACAACCCCTCTTTTCATAAACATTGAGGTAAATGTTGGGAGATCTTATATGGGTAAAGTTTGGAGCAAAACATATATATAACCTAAAATACACTACAGAAGGGAAATCAACTCTGTCTATCCAATATTTTAATGAATAGTAATTGACTCCATTTTGTATAAACGTTTAACATCCAGTGAAGTAAATACATTCAAGGCCCCTTTTACAAAAGAACTTGTACGACAAAGACCAAAATTTGATTCTGCTTATTGCTTTCTATTTTACATTTATTTGAAAATGGTTTTAATCTTTCTAAAATGAATTTAACAAGATATTTTTATGCTACATATTTCAAACAGAATCATCAATTTTGCAAAATTTTACAATCAACTGAAGTTTTTGATCTTAGTCGTAAGTTCTTTTGTAAAACGGGCCCAAGGTGTTTTTCTGGCCTGCCAGAAAGATCTGGCAGAGAAGAAGCAATCTTGCAATTTTTTTTTTATGGGAAAGGAAAGAATTGAGAGGACTAAGACTCAGGCTCAGGTTCTTTAATGAAACAGATATCCTATATGTAAACATCAAATACAAGTATATAATTGAAATTCAGCTACTAAAAATGAAGCATTCTGTTGAGTGGAGCTAAAGAAAAACTTTACATAAGATAATGTTACATCACATAACCTCTTAACCATCAAGAAAATACCTGTGATATAGCCAAGGGCTAAAGAGCTAAACTGAATTCACATAGTACATGTACAAACAAGGTATATACTAGCACTAGTTATAGTAAACATCTTGTGTGATCCTGATGATGAGTAATATCTATATTTATGTGCAGTTGAATTAAGAACATGTGAATATATAGATAAAAGAGAACATGGTATGTAGAAAATATTTAAGGGTGTATGCCACACCAAAAATTATTTTTTGGATGTATAAAGTATCTTTTGTGAGATACCATTTCAAATTTTCAATGTTAAGGGGCCAATATAAGATCTTAATTATTTTATATGAACTTTTTTTTGTATGTTTTCATAGAAAATGGAAAAGCTGTTTTTTAGTTGCAAATAAGACATTATGGACCTTGAAATTTGCTGTCAATTAATGCATACTATACATAAAATATTTTGTTGTGGCATACCTCTTTAAAAATCTGAAATTTAAATTTTAAAGTCAACTGCTACCATAGCTATATTCAGTAGACAGATTCATACACGCAATCAAAAATTGGCACAGTTTTTAAGTCTCAACACAATTTCCCCAACATGAACTAGCTAGCATAAATTGATTAGATTGTATTATTTTTATACAAACATATATTCAAGTGTAAGGTGAGTACATAAATTAAGATCTATTATCTATTAGCTAACAATAAAAGTGCTAAAAATGGTGCAAGTGCACAGTCTTTATATAATTTATAAAGAAGTAAAGGATTAAGATTGAATTGTATTAAAGTGTTTTAATTCTTACTGTTTTTTTAGCTACTGTGTCTATTTCTAATGGAAATAGCAACACAAATTCTTGGTCAAGGTGTGTTCATCAATCCAGTCAATATTAATGGCTCAGTGAAGGTAGAATTTGTCGAGTTTGAACAGCCATTGGATTTTGACATCCATGACGAGTCCATGTTTGCTACCTCAGATCCTAGGTTTGAGTTTCCCCTGACAGAGGCAGATGTCACATGGCTGAACTCTCTGTTCACGCTGCCAGAGCAAGGCGAGACAAGAGTGAGGAAGGAATATCGTCTTCTGACTGAGGAGGAGAGGAATAACTTCCATACTGCCATAAATATGCTGAAGAATGACTCTGTGAGTACCATACAAATTAAACTCTGCCACTTGTCATCACTTGCTGTGTCTGTCTTGTTGGAATGAAAATGACCTTAAACTTTCAAAGATGTCAGAGTCAAAATGTTAATTCATTGCTTTTTAAATTTTCTGCAGACGGTGAGCCTGAATAAGTATGACCTGCTGGCCAATATTCATTCCAGATCCTCCAGTAACACAGCCGCTCATGGAGGACCTGGATTCCTAGGCTGGCACAGGGTCTTCCTATTATTGTAAGCGAATTTATTTACATGCTTATTACCACATCATTTTTTAACATATAAAAAAATCATTGCTTTATGTCCATAAATGGTGTGAACCTTCATGTTTGCAATTTCCTAAGATTTTGTAATTTCAGATTTGAGAATGCCTTGAGACAGAAGATTCGAACAGTAACTTTACCTTACTGGGACTGCACCTTAGATCAGCCCCTCCCCCACCCGTCACAGTCTGTGATTTGGTCCCACTTATTTCTTGGTAATGGAAATGGACAAGTTAAAACTGGACCCTTCAGAAACTGGGACACTCAGTTTGGTTTTGGCCTGCTACATCGTCAAGTGTCTTCCCTCAGGCATCTCATGAGTGCTAATGATCTGAAAAACATCCTAGAGGAAGAGTACCTTGGAAATATCAGTTATCCTGACACAAAGTCAAGCAAAAATCTTGAACAGCTACATAATAATGTTCATGTTTGGGTTGGTGGACTGATGAGGAAGATAGAAATAGGTGCATTTGATCCAGTTTTCTATGTCCTTCATAGCTTTGTTGACAAAGTGTGGGAAGATTTTCGAATACACCAGAGGTCAAAGGGCATTGACCCCACAAAAGATTACCCAGAATTCTATGGTAGGAGGAACCATGCCCCATTTGCTCCAATGGGATTAGGAAACATTATGGTGATTGATGGAATTAGCAACATTTGGAATGAAAATATTATGCATCTTCAACCTTCATGTGGAAATAATTCTACAAATGCATGTGGATCTAAGTTTTTGAAGTGTGGCCTTTCAATTGAGAGATGTGTATCTAAAACAATAGATGAAATGCTGGAATATAAAGACATTGATAAAATCAAAGATTCAGTTGAGGCTAAACCAGAAACAAAATTCATCAGCTCTTCTACATTTAAATCAAATAATCTTTACAGACAAACCTTTTTACAGAGCAATCATCTCAGCCAAATCTATGATAATTTCTCTCTATACAATGATGGAAATCAAATGGATTTGTATAGTGATACCTTATATCTGCATTTATTCCCAGACATAGAACACAGTGCTATTCAAAAAGCCAAAGAAATATACACACAACATTTGAAATCAACTTGAAGTCCAGTCAATCAGTGAAATTGTTAAATTTTGACATCTCAAACACCAGTCTATACAAAACCAGGGATTCTACATTCCCAACTCTACTGTGAATTGGAACCTGAATTTCATTTTCTCTAACCGTCACATATCTCTCAGTTTTCAGTCACCTGTTGGATGAATACATTGAGATATCAATGTTTGCCTGTTTTTACCCAATCTACAAGTACTTTGTACCAGTACATGAACATGCTTTTTCTCTAAATTGCAAATATGAAAATTTCATCCCATTATTAAGTCATATTGTCGGGGTTCTAGGAAACCATAAACCACAGATCAAGTCTAGCATGATTTATTTTTTGCATTGGCAGGTACATGATTGATCATAAATACATGTAAGTATAATTAGAAATACAAATACATAATCTTATTATGCACTCATTTTACTTATGTCTGAAACTTTGGAAAATATGGATGGAAAAGAAAAAAAAAATTACATACCACAAACAACCTAATAAGTAGAAAACTACATATTTCTGTAACAGGATTAGATTGGATTAAAAAATAATGGACTCTTTTTATATGTAGAATAAAAAAATTCCACAACTGTGGACTCTTTTTATATGTAGAATAAAAAAATTCCACAACTGTGTGTACTTCAACAAGCTACACTCATATAACCGGTTCCTCAGTCAAAATAATATTTATTTTATTTAATACTTTACATATAAATCATCTTATTGCTTAAATACTTTTTTTTAATCATCAACAGGTTAAAATGTATCATGAACTTTTGATGAGTATGTTAGGATAGCAGACCTTTCAACAAAAAATTACTACATATAGTTACTGTCTAGCAGCAATTTGCGTGAAAATTTCAGTACTTTACAAGACCGTTAGTAGTTATATTCAATTTTGTTGTTTTTTTTTTTATCAGCGCCCTATTGAAATACCCCTTTTTTATAAGGTAGAGGAGCTTTTTATATATGAAATTGATATATCAGAACCTAAGGAGTACAAAATAAAATATATCAATTACAGACTTAAAGCCCCAAACCAACCATTATTCATTATTCCTCCGTATTGTCAGTGGAATTTTTTTTTTATTACTTTAATGAAATGTACAGTGAAACCTAATTCACATAACATCGATAGGATTTTCATTCAACAAGCAATTTTAAAAGAACAAAAAGATCATGTACAATTGTTAAATACATGTATATGGAATTCAATCATCTTCACAAGTAAAACTGTTAAAACATACTTCCTTAATGAAATATATGACAATAAAATTAACTTAACAGTTGTTGTAAATTCAAAACAAAATAAAAACATGGAAAACAATGTAAGACGTAAGTGTGTATACAATGACATTGCTCAATCTGTGGCCTTCCATTAGACTGAATACATATGAACAATAAAAATGTTAGACTTACATTGTATGTTTACTGATGGTATCTTAATTTACATGTATATCCATATCTGACATCATTAAATTACATCATCAAACTACCCCAAAGATACATACATGTAATTTAGTCTACATACAACCCAGTGCAAGTCTGAGGAAGTTAATTTGCACATGTTGTAAAAGTGTTTTAATATAAAACATTTCAGAAAAAGCACTTTTACACATCAATTTCAAGAAATAATATGGAAAGACTGAAGCCACCTGAAAATAATGCTGAGAAGCACCAAGTTAGCAAGGTGATGACACAAGAGGGGTCAAAGGTGAGGGAGCATGCCTAGTCCTTGTACTCTAGTTCTGGTGCACTGAAAAGCTCTTGAGCCACCTCTGTATTCTGACGTACAAACAGTGTGATGCCTGCCTTGTAGGCTGCTGGGATTGCGATGTGAGAAGTCAGCTGGGCACGGTAATGGGTGGGCTGTTGGTACATGGCAGTACAGGCCTCTCGCAACACATTCACTACCTGACCTAGAATAATTATAATTGAATAAGGACACCATTAGTATATTGACAAATTATACTCTTAAAGTGACCATGTCATAATATCATGTTGAAGTTACATTTATACATGTATTTACATCCACTGGATATTTTCTCCTTTATTTCTTGTGAAAAGCGATAGCCTTTAAAAATATACTATTCAGGACTGTTTTTCTTTTAAAATCCATCCAATAGATTTTTAAAGAATTTAACTCTTCCATTATGTTATGTACTTTCACCCATTTTATACAAATAATCTATGCTTATTTAACAAAGATGTTTGTGAAACACTTATGCCCCCCCCCCCCCCCCCCCCCAATAATTGGAATTTTTATAAGTCCAAGGGGCATAGCTCTGTCAAAAATTGCTCGATTGTACCCAAAACAGAATATGAACTAAATATTTTTATGATAAATCTGTATACCAAATTTCATATCAATATGTGCAATCTCTGCAAAGAAAATGAGCGGAAACTGCAAATAATTGGAATTTTTCTATGTCCAAGGTGCATAACTCTGTCAAAAATTGCTCTATTGTACCCAAAACATAACTTCACCTAGATATACTTCTGATAAATCTGTACACCAAATTTCATTTCAATATTTGCAACCTCTGTGAAGAAAATGAACGAAAACTGCAAATAATTGGAATTTTTCTAAGTCCAAGGGGCATAACTCTGTCAAAAATTGCTCTATTGTACCCAAAACAGAAGTTGATCTAGATATTCTTATGATAAATCTGTATACCAAATTTCATTTTAATATGTGCAACCTCTGCGAAGAAAATGAAAGGCAACTGTTGGTGGACTGACAGACAGACAAACAGCAGCAAAGCAATATGCCCTCCCTTCGAGGGGGGCATAAATATAATTCTTAGTTTGTTAATGCAGGGATATTGCTTCCGAGGGCTATATATTTTTTCTGCAATGTTGCAACCGTTATCCCCGCAACCAAGCAGAACATTTTAAATTCAAATCAATAAGTACCTAAAACATTCATTTCATTCCATCTCTTGTCAATCTTGGTAATAAGATCATTTAGTGGTGACCAGTCACGGAATCTATTGACCACATCTTGCCGTCGAATTAAGAGGATGGAGTCACTTGTTAGCTGTTCCATAATCGTCTCTTCAGAAACTATTTCTAATGGATTTGTCAAATACACACCTAAAAAAAGAGTAAAAATGCTCTGAAATCAATTTTTTTTTTAGAAAAGAAATGAATGCTGTTTTCTAAAAATAGTAAAGTGCATTTGCAAAGGAACATGTAAGTAATATTTAAAATGAAAAATCTGATATAATACATGTATAAATTTTTATATAACTGGTTTGCTGAGAAACAGCTAAGAGATTCTATCTCTAAACCTTTTGTACCTTTGGAGCTGACACCGTAAATCATCTGGTGATGCCAGGCATCAGGAATGGTCCAACCAGGTTTCACTCCCCTCTGTAAATTCAATGTTGCTATGGGAACAGCACCTAATAGAAATTAAGTATGGATATTTATACAGAGATCTTCATGCATGTTCATGTATGATGTGAAGTATGATCAACATTTTTGTAGTTGTTTTTTTTTCAGTTTAGTACTTACAATTACACATACAAGCAAATTTCTAATTAAATTGCTTAAAATTGAGTGGCATGATGGCGACAATATAAATTTCACATTACCTTTCTTTATCCAACCTCCCAGCCACTTGAGGAGTTCCACTTTCCTGGCTGGAAAAAAGTGGAAAAATCGACCCTGTATGGTACCCCTTGTCAGATTGTGAACACCATCAATCAACTGTAGTGCAGTTGTACCTAAAAATATTACAAATAAAAATAAATAATTCAACTTCTATTTCATTTCTTAAAACATCTCTACTGAAGCAAAATACATGCAACTTTTTCTCCTTAGTCTGATTTTCTATTCCATTATTTATTTGTTTACTTGAAGATTGCTTAAATCAAACAAGAAGTATAAAAGTGTACACATACTTTAAAGTCAACAGATTTTGTTAATAATAATCTCAATGTACTTTCAATTTATATCTTGTTATTGTCAATTAATTACTTTCATAGCAGAATCTTGAAAGACACTTATACATGTAAATGATTTTACCTGCCACAGATCTAGAAAACAAATAGTAGCTGATAGGAGCTGTTTCCATTCTGGTGTTGGTAACAATCTTTTTACTAACTTCCTCCTTATCAACTTGATAATCAAAGGCTTTCTGTAAATGAAAGGTTGAAAAGAACTCTCACCTTAGTAATGAATAACTCAATTTTTTTTACCTCCTTTTGAAGAGTTCCACTTTATACATTTCTACGTATTTTTGACAAATTTAGGACTTTTTCGAAATTTTCCATAGAATAAAATATTCAATAAAATCTATTTAACAACATGATGTGCTCAAAGCAATTGATGTTTCAAAAGAATTCAAGAAATTACTAAATGTCTTTTCACAGAAAAGCACGGAAAAGAAATCTCCAGCAAACACTTATAATTTGCTTGACATGATTCAGTTTGTGTTGTTTTTTTTTATTTTAATATGTTTTGCATATTTCTTCCCATACATGTAGTTCACAGCAATATTTGAAAACAAAAAAATTCAAATACGCTTTATCTATCCATCTATCCGTAATATACATCCATTCAAATATACATGTACATACACTTAAGTATCAAGGCAGTGAAGCGATCTCTAGTTTCCTTTGGTAATCTTCTAGAAGCAAAATTTCTTGCTTACATATATACGTATCCTTAAATCTAGATCATTAAACTAATTTTTTTTTTAATTTTTCTCCAAAACAACCCATTTTTTCCATTTTTAAGTTCACATAACATGCTGTATCCTCCTCTTCAGTGTGTAATGTATTGGTACATGTGTACCAGTATTTATGATTTACTCACCAGAACCGTTAACACTGCTGTAGGTCCACACGCTGATGTTCCGATCTGTTTCACCTGTAGCAGGTAGGCCTCGTACTCGTGCCATATCATCACCTTTTCCACATCAACTGGCCGACGTCCACGTCTACGTCGCCTGTCAAACTTACACATCACCTACAACAAACATAAACTAAACCTTAATTCATTTTTGTCAGTCAACATCTTCTTAACGTTTAACAATAAATTATTTTTGATAATCACTTAACATAGTGCAAATGGACAAAATAAAAATTATCATGAGGAGATTTGGCCCAAGTGCTCACCTGAGCTGCCTTGATCATTTAAAGAAAAAAAAATCTCTAACCCTATTAATCTCTAAAATATGAGTCCCTAATAAAGATCTAATAGTCTACAGATGTTCACAAATCCAATTCTCAATTTGAAAAATTAGAGCTTTCTGTTCATCAAGGGAAAAATACATGTATTTTGATACCTTTCTCTATTCTATTCCTTTAAAATATTTGAATCTATACGTATAACAAAAAACAAGGTTTACAATTCAGATTTGTTTTATGTCATCTCCTGTGGTTTTATAAAATGAGGTACTGAGTCATTTCACTATATTATCATTATTTCATACCAAGTTGATGCATAGCAAATTGATGCAAAACTCCACTTTTTAAAACATTAAATGCAGACTTCATCTGTCCAATGACTTTCTAAGTGATTTTTTTCAAATAGATCATTCCAGTAGTTTAAAGGATGCCAAAAAAGTGGAAATTGTGGCTTATTTACATGTACTTTTACCAGATATACTCTGTTGGGCTATTAAACCCTTCTTTGTTGAAAACTTTATCAAGTTAGATTTTTCACCTTAGAATTATTATCACAGGAGTTTTCTTCTTGTACTGCATGTAGGTTATCTAAGCATGACAAAGATGTCTCCAGACTGTCTATATCTTCATAGATAGGATCCTCTGAGCTCTCCCTACAATTATAGCAGATAATGAAATATTTGCATAATAATCAAGATTAAACAAGGAAACATGAATCCATATTACATATTTGTGTAGTGTATATAATTAAATTTTGTGATTATTTTAAATACATTTCATAAATACAATGTTATGATCAATGAATATAGTGCATCTGGTAACAGGGATGGGGTAATCGTAATCGAGTAATGGTAATCGATTGTAATGATTACTTTTTTTCAAGTAATCGACAGTAATCTGTAATCGAAGAGATTTTCAATTACTTGTAATCGTAATTTAATCGATTACAGCTAAAATTTTCAATGTAATTATAATTACTTTTTCGATTACCTTCAATTATTTTTTAACATAAATAGATGTTATTTTGGAGAACTCTTTCCAGTCAGTCCCACATAAATATCAAATATAAACCACCTAGTGTAATGTTTGGATTTCCTAACTTTTATTATCACAAGTTTAATAATTTTCTCAATAAAATTTGCATTATAGACCTTCTGGTCTAGTATTAAATAATTCAGAAGTGTATTTCAACCATTTATTAATAAAATATACAGATTTTTCATGTGCATTTTACATTTGACCCATTGTCCTCTTCCTGCATGTCCTTTTTCATATTTCAGATGTTGAAAAACTTTGTCTTGTAATAGAAAATTATAAATAGCAAAAACAGATTTAAGTGTTGTATTAAATATAAATAATTTGGTGAATAAACTACATTGTACTCGAAAAAAAAAGAAGATGGAAATACTTATTCATATCTGAAAATGTTTAAACAACTTCAAACTTGTGTTTTACTAACTTTAAAATTTGCAAAATCATTCTCATGTTTTCATTCAAAATTGTAAGGTTGCTTTTATATCAGTGAGAGGTTATAAGTGTCTGTAAGAGAGGGAGAGTGTCACTGTGTTTGCTCATCTTAATTGGCTAATTAATTGACTGAGACACCTTGATTTGCAGATAATGAGGTGTAAACTGTGAACTACCTAGTGTTTAACTTTCATTCCATTGAAGACAAACAGTATTATTAAAACAATTAATAGCTCTCAAAACACTTATTTCAATACAGAATGAAATTGTTTGAAAAAGACACGTACAGGAATGTTTCATGTGTACTGTCAACATACGGGCAGCCCAAATACTTCCAATGAAGTAATTCACAATAAAATATTAAATATTTTTTGCAACAAGTCAATAAATATGGAAGTTCAGATCCAAAGTTGAAAGGAATAATTAATTCCTTGGCATATCATGTCTCCACTTTCCATGGTACAGAATCCCTCAATTGGGCATTTAGTGAAAATGTTAGCCAGAATAAAACCTTAAAAGAATCTGCTCTGAAACTTCAGGAACACATTCAAACTTCAGTGGATAACATCAACATGTACCATTTAAATATTGCTTTGATATTTGAAGGGATAAAAACTTGGAAGTAATCGATTATTAATTGATTACATCTTCGAAAGTAATCGATTACAGGACAAAAATGAGTGTAATTGATTAATAATCGATTACACAAAATTCCTCAAAGTAATCGATTATTAATCGATTACATTTTTCAGTAATCGTGCTCATCCCTGTCTGGTAATTTGTCTTACCCAGGGCTCGAGCTGTGATTTGCCATTTGCGCCAATTGCGAATTTTTTCCAAAAGTGGCGAAAAGAAATTCAAAAGTGGCGAAAATGGATATTTTTTTTTAGATATACCATACAAAAGTGTGTGTACTCCTGGCTATCTCCTTTGTTTATTCAATGTATACAGATTATCCCCTTTGTTTATTTAATGCAAGCAAACGTGTGAATTCAGGGTGTGAAAACTCCATGAAACTTACAAAACAATGTACAGGTAGGAAATCATGTCTCACTTGAATGCACACAGCTGACTAGGTTAATTTAGCCTGGAGCAGTGAGGGGATACAAAATTACTTGAAATAATATAAGATGGATTAAACAAGGAAAGACAAAGTGTTTTTGGGAGATGAAGTCAGTTAATAAAAGATTTTTATCAATAAAATCTGGATCTATATAGATTGTTTTTTAAAACAGAAAGTAGGAAAACATGACGAAAATTGCAGAGCATGGCTGCTAATTTTACCTGATTAAAGACTTAAAAGTCAAAATAGTGTGTTCATTATACCATAAACTGACAAAGAGTGAAAGATACTGGCTTGGAAACAATACAATACTTTTGTCAAATACGCTGAATTATTTTCAGTTATATGAATTTACATGCATACACCAAGTGTCCAAACTGTTAAAGTAAGCCAAGTTTTAAACCTGATTTTCATTACCTCTTTTCACACTAAATTGTTGATATGATTAAAATTTTCAATTACATTATTTTTTTTCAATTTAAAAAAATGTCATATATCTTACTAAGTCTGTAACCCCCCTCCCAGGGCTAAAAAAATGTTATGAACAAGAGGGCATCTACTTTCAAGAGTTGGCTAATATCAGTATCAAATTAAATGTATAAATAATTCCTAATATATTAGTTTTGTAAGTGGATAAAACGTTAAATTTTATAATTTTAAAACAATGCCTGTGATATAAACAAATTGAAATAGTGCTATTAGTGGAGTGTTTAGCATGTATACACTTGTCGAGACGAGATGTAAGAATGCGATTCCTTTCATCGCGAAAAGTGGCGAAAAATATTTTCGCTCCAGTGGGAGCTCTGGTCTTACCCTGAGGATTCATCCAGTTTATTTGGTAAAGGCATGATGACTGCATTTCTAACAGCATGTGTTGGATTCTCCAAATCTTCAAGTACCATACAATGTCCATTTTCGAGAGGATAATGTCCTAACTGCACATTACCTAGATGTTCTCGTCTGAGACGGAAACTTAAGTTTTCCTCCTCATCAGATGAATCACAGTGAGCCGTAGACCTATTTTCTTTTTCCAATGCTTTAAAAAACACCTTCTCTTGCCTATTGCTCTCAGAATTCTGAAAGTTGGCTTGCAAGACTTTTTCATGCTTATATGTATCCAGGTAGTTAAAATGTTCATTATCATCCACACAGAGATGAGGATCATAAGACTCCATATTGCACTCTACATCATCAAACTCAAATGAATGTCTTCTCATGCTCAGATCATTTGTCATTCCTCCTTCAGCACCACGTAAGTCATTCGAAGCATAATCCAGTGGATCGTACATACAAAACTCCGATGAATTCCTCTCACCATTTCTTTGGTGTAAAATACTAGGACTGTCTAGATCTTGACTGAAGCGGAACATTGGTTGCAAACTTGTTGCAGATGTTGGCACATCTGATTCAACAGAATCCAAAAAATCAGTTTCCGGTGAGTACATGAAAGAAGAATCTGAGCCAGGCTTCTCACTGCTGTCTCCACCATTTTTAGCAATATATTTGGGTCTACAGACATGTGCATTATTATATGATTGGTTTTCCATGTCATACATGTATCTTAAATTTGCAGTAATATCAGCAAAGGAGTCTGAGTGAGGTGTTTCTACATCATCACATGGAGGGGCAGGTGAGACAGCAGGGATACTTTGTTTTCTGAACTCCTGGAGGTTCTGGCAAGATAGTGGACTATGGATGTCATTTTCTTGGTGTACTCCATTTTCTTGGTTATGATGAGATGGACTTGAGGGAGTCCCTTTTGCTTCTGCATCATGAGAATCTTTTTCTTGATTCACACCATAACCCTCATCTTCCTCACTGGATGTAGAAGAATGTTCTGAACTAGATGCAAACATGTGACGACTAGCCCGAGATGGAAAATCTGTTTCTATGTAGTCTCCAATCTCATCTAAACTTTCAGAACTAGATGGTGCTGTTGCCTCCTCTACCAATATATCACCTCTGTTTTCCTGGATTTCTGAGGAATTGTCTTCATCTGCAATTTCTTCAAGACTTTCTGAACTAGATAAATGTGTAAAAACTTCTTCTACTTGTTCCTCTACTTCGAGCATGTCTTCTCCTATTATACCTTGTTCATCATCACTAGTTTTGTTTTCATGCTGACTTTCATTAGCAGTTGTCTGATTTTCTGTAGTCACTGTCGCAGTTTCTTTATCATTTAAATCACAACCAGAATTTTGGGAAGACCCATCACTGTCTTCTGGCACTGCTAAAGGGGCAGATATTGTTATGTCTTCAAACCTAGCAGGCAAATTGATATTTTGAACTTGTTCATGATGTCCATTTGTGAAACAAACTTGTTCATTTGTTGTGCAGGGTACATTTGGCTGAGAATGAAAGCTCCTATTTCTAGATGAGTATTCCTTGTCATCACCATCAGATTCTGTAGAAGATCCAACATCATGTCTATGGAATTCTAATTTATCTGGAGAGCTAAAGCAATCACAGGAATCATCTGAACTTGAACCAAGTTCTGGATAAATGTATTTTTCTCTCTTTGAATTTGATCCTGCTTTCTTCTCTTGCTCTCTTCGATCTCGTCTCTGTTTGACAACACGACTCCATGACATAGACTTGGGTCTGTTTGCCTTAGGTGAATTTTTCCTGTTCTGTAAACCATTTACTAGCAGTGGTTTGACATATTCACTACAGTGATTACAGTTTACGACTACTTCAGGACGAGCTAGAGCACTGACCTCCCCTTGGCAGCTAATATTAGCAAGAGATGATCTTGAGTTTTCCGTGTCTTCATGCAAAAATCCATTTATAGGTCCATTTAAATTGGGACTACTACCATTGACTAAATTAATTCGACCCTCTCTGTAAAGACCTGAGCCATTATTTTTTTCTTTTTGGTTTTCAGATGAATCTGGAGATGACTTTTCATTTTCACTGGAGTGCTGACTCACTGGACTCTGTGCTCCATTCTGGCATGTATATTCTGAAGATTTCTTATTAGTTGTTGGCATGTTGTTTTCTTTCCGAACATCATGTCTACTTTTACTCATATTTGGGGATACATCCTATCAATCCTTTACCTGCTTTTACTATCAGCGCCATCATCCTAAAATACGGAGAAACTAAAATATTACATTTCTAATATGATTATTTAATTGTTAGAACTTCGTTGGGATACAACGAATATAATACAAAAGAAAACCACAAAAAAACATGACAAAAATAATAAAATGTCAAACTTTGACGTTTTCAGAAAATGGGGTGGGATTTCTTATCCAAAGATATGGAATATAGAATGTAATTTTTATAGATCTAATTTCTCTGGTAAATATTCTTAACCTTCCGCTTGAAAAGAAATTCATTATAATCCTTACCTGTTACTCAGGTGCGAAAAATTTAACTCTTTTCTGTTTGTTTCATCTGGGACAACTTTCTTCCGCCATATTGAATCAAAATACACTTTAAACTCCTCTAGTTTCGAGTATACAACTAAGTGGAATAACTTGAAGGAGTTCCGAATTCATAATTTTATGGAATCCCAAAAATGGGCCAATCAGCATTCTCGTAACAAAGGCGATTGACAGATATTATCCACAATGTGATGTGTGAAAGCTGCAATCTCTTCCTAAACTGAAAGAAATCACTTATCATGTTGGGTACTGTAAGTTTAAGATCATATTGTTGGATAATTATTCCCAAATCGCTATACATTTTCTTTGAACAGTGCGCTTCCGACTGTTAATTTACAAATAATTACTCCATTTTGATAACAATCCCTAGCTTTGTAGCTCTTGGTAAGCTATATATAGCTTGATATGGCGAAATGTTTTTATAAAAGGCTATTCAAAAATTGATTGATTAAGCGATTTAAATGCAGTTTTCTCACATGTGTACTTTAAAAAACTATAAAGTAGAAACTTAGAATACAGAAGTTGAAAATACTTGAGTATTCACTTGATCAACTTTGTACTTTGAAGTTGAACTATGCCAAAAGAAAAAAAGGAAAAGAAAATTAAGTCACATATACTTTAATCACAGGGTCAAAAGTTCCTTTACCTAGGTTGTTCCTGGCTAAGTTTTGATAGAGATCAACTGACTGATAGATTATCAAAGACATAAATATAAACATTTACCGCCATTAATATATATTTACAAAAGTTTATGTGAAAATCCCAGCATTACATCCTAAAAATTACTCTGTAGTGGTTATGTATTTTGATCTAAAGGTAAATAAATATTATTTTCATTATGTCTTGGGGTATGATTTGTTAAATTTTGAAATTAAATATTGATTATTAAAATCAAACTATAGGCAAATTTATGAAGTCAAATGAATGTTCAACTTCGCAAAATCTCTGATGACCATGAAACACGTGTTTCTCCTTTGTTGTCATATTAAATAGGGAAACTTATGAAAATCTAACATTCTGAATAGTTTGTTAATATAAATTAAAAGGTTTTATTACCTTGATAATATTAAAGATTAATGGGATTTTAATTATGCAAGATTTGAAAAAAATTAAACAATAGGGACCTTGAGGCCTCACAAAATTTTGAACAGTTGTGAATCTCTGTTACTTATGTTTCTAATATTATAAAGCATCCAAGGCTTTCAATAATTTTGAAATGAAGAGGTGAGTTTATCCATTTGAAGAGGCTGTTATAGAATTATTTCCAATGAATTATTTATCTTATTTAGTGGCCGTTTTCCTATAAGCATCTCCTGAAACCTTTTTTGGTTCACTTACAATAAGGCCTCCCTTCCAGATTATGGCTTACCGTATAATTTCAGAGTTCCCAAAATGCACAAGTCTACAGGACTTCCCAGGTTAGCTTTGAAAGGGGCTGGTAAAAATCTGAATTTTATTTGTCAAAATGTCTGACTGTTTACACAGACTGGATAAAAAATGAGACAGAAAGTCTTAACAGAATTATTTGATTGAATTACAAGAGGTAAATATTTTACTAAAAACCAAAACATATGAATAAGATGTTTATGTCCCAAAATATCAATGTGAGCGAGTAAAACTTGTAGAGTTAGGGGCCTACATCATGCACTTGGCCCCTATGGTTTTAAATGTTATTTGCAACCCTGATGTATCACATGTAAAAAAAAAAAAAATCATCTACAGTATGGCTAAATGTGCCTATCAGATTAATGACTGAACGTAAAGTATTGGTACTGGTATACATATTTCCCTTGTCATGTAGGTCATGTAGTTGGGACAAGCATTAAACAAATCATAAACTATTAATGCTTTATTTTCAAACATATTTTTATTTTCCAGATTTGGAGAATAGGAAACTTCTTATCCCTAAATGAGAAAATAAGATAACTAGGGATGTCAGAACCAAATGAAATTTCAAAGTATTGTCATCATGGTCATGTATGCAGAATGTGAAATCTTTGATGTTTAAAGTTTAAACCATGTTTCCATGGTTAACTGGACGTTTCTATAGACACACAGTAATGTTACTGACATTACTTATATTGTATTTATGTGAGACATCAGGAGAAAGTACATTGGTGTATGTAGACACTGGTTGTAATAAGTCTCAGGTGCAGAAAGTCCAGGTTGATTACTCAAGTACAGTCATTGATCATGGTAAGTATTTGTTTTATATCTGCAGTATGTGTCATGGGAATTTTACATGTGATATAAAGTTCTAATGAATTTCATGTCTAGCATTGATATTACATTGAAGATTAAACAGTTTGATCATGTATTTTAATCAAGCATTCTCTTAAAATCTAGGTCTGCACAAGAAAGCTGACTTTGGGAGAATGCTTTTAACATACTAGCACATGTATTTAAAATAAAGTAAAAAAGGTCTAGAGAAATATGTTTTAATTTACCATGCATTAGAACATCAAATATACAATGACATTTGATTTGACGAATGAATTGTTTTTTAAGAATACATTGTCTCATTTAATGGATACTACAAACCCCAAGCCAGGAAGCGATTTCTAACCTCGGCTCTTCATGACTCAGGAGTCTTGTCTTGGAAAATCATTCCCAGAGAGAATCTGGCTTTTGAGTATCCAAGTGACTTTGATGTTGTAAAGGTAATATTAACATCATTTCACTTCTTGTACCCCTGAGCACACTTTTGCCAATACAATAATTACTAAAGATGTAAATGAGTATTTGAAAAATATTGAAGTTTCTGAAGAAACATTGACTCTAATTGTACATGTGTTCGAGTGTGAAATATTCATGTACATGTGCTCTATGTAGATAATGTGTTGATACATGTGTTTCTGTTTGAACAGCTGAATGATGGCAGACTTGAGGGCATTGAAGCATTGGAGAGTCACCCAATCATCAAAAGAATAACCCCTCATAAGAAGTTATCTAGGTCACTTAAGTTTGTCAAAGGTAACTTAGTGTACCAGTATATTGGAGTGCCATTACCTGCTTCATGAATTTATGTCTATTGTTGTATGGATGAATTCTTTATAATTTCATGTTTATTCATGTTAAGATAAATTCTTTATAAATTTATGTTTGTTCATCATAGAATAAATTCTTTATAAATTTATGTCTATTCTTGAAAGGATAAATTCTTTGTATGTATTCAAAGTTTGCAATGTAAGTACAGATTGGGATTGCATTTCTCCCCGTGTAGTTTTTTATATATAGTAAGTACAGTACCACCTAGGAAATTGTTGTGTTCTTTGGTTGTATGACTGAACATTGAAACATAGATGGTGTGTCAACAAGGCTTGCTTGAATTTCTTGAATTTATTTGGAATGACCAATGAGTGTTTATTTTGTAATAATGAGGGGGTGGGTGGGGGATGCACAATTGTTATTGGCAAGTATTTTGTAGATACTGAACAGGTAGGTTTTCACAATAAAGATGTCTTGATGTGATTTGATCTGTAGATGTGGAGCAGCAGGAAGTCGTAGACAAGGAGTGTAACGAGACGACCTCAAATATGTGTCCTCAAACCTTTCATTCCTCAAGATCACACAACCGCAAAAGTCTCTCCCTGGTCAGTAAGATTACTTCAAGTCTATAAACCTTAATGAAAAACTGGGACAACAGCTTTTTAAATGTAGAGTCATTATACTGAAAATACTGAAATGTCAAATTACAATGTACATGTATGTCTGTGATGGGGAAAATACAATGTGGAGCGATTCTCAAAATTTGAGTAAACATGTTCATATACAACCAGATACAATTTTACAATCAATTCAATAATAATTATGAGTTACCGTATTTTTCTTCTTTTATTTTAATTAGGGTGCAACATATTGGCATTCACCTGCAAGGTTTAAAGGAAGGCGACTTCTGAGGGCTGTACCTAAACAGGTGAACAATTGCATGACTTTGGAATGAATCCATTCAATTTAACTTACATGTTTTATTTCCAAGTAGTCCATGCACATGCCACTTTGCACATGTTCTTTTTTTTTCAGATTGTGAGTGCTTTACAAGCCGAGATTCTCTGGAATATGGGATTCACAGGTATAATTTAATGTGTATCGACTTTCATACAGTGTACTTATGTTTCACATTTAATGTAAAATGGCACAATGCCTTCAAGTAAACTTGTATGTTTAGAAACCTTCCTCCTTAGAAGGATGGTTCGCCTTTTGTTACACTTGTTAAAATTTTGTTCTACATGTATTAAGTCATGGTATAATATTCGTTTCTATGACTTATTACTCAGTTCTACATGTAGAGGGTTATGTTCAACATTAAGTACAATATACAGTGTACACATACTCTTTACAGGGACTGGTGTGAAAGTAGCCATTTTTGACACTGGTCTCTCAGAGGACCATCCACACTTCAAAAAGGGCAGGATCAAGGACAGGACTAACTGGACCAATGAAAAGACACTGGACGATGGTAACAGTATAATATATATCACAGAAATTTATCTTTGTAAAATTTAAAACTATCTGATCTGGATTCGGTTGTATCAACGGTTAATTAACTTTAATGAGTTATTAAGCCTAATGAATCATTAAATTCCTAATGATGCATTAGTTAATGAAGGCATTAAAACGTGTTGTACAAAACCTTTGTTAGAGTCTTATTAGTTAATGAATCATTAAACATTTAAGAATTCATTAAAGGTCTATTAACATTAGGAGAATATCCCTCAATGCAATGCGTTTCGACTTCCGGGGGCGTTTCCGTGGGCGTTTCCTTTGTTTAACATATACACGTACCAATTATTTAATAAATGAGCTTATAAGACCAATTAAAAGTCCGCCAAAATGGTCGCGGTTTTTAATTATGACGCAAAAAAATAAATTACGTCATTTTATGAAGTCTGTGAGCGTCTTGAAGGTTATAACATAAAGAAACGTCATTTCATAAAAAATTGTGCTACAATGACCGAAGGAATTCAATTTAAATGTAATAGAAATCGGGGGAAAAATTTTGATTTTAGCGAAATTCAACTTTTAGCCGAACTGGTTGAGAGAAATATTAACATCATTAATAGCAAACTAACCAATAGTGTTACCAATGAGAAAAAGAAAAAAAGTATGGGATAATATAACAGCGCAAATAAATGCGTTAGGAGTTTCAAGTCGCACTACTAAAGAGATTAAAACCAAATGGACCAATATGCATCAGACGGCAAAAAAGGAATTCAGCTACAACAAACTTTCACAGAGAAAAACAGGGGGAGGACCCTGCGCAAAACCTCTTTCGACAGTCAGCGAAAAGATCGTTGATATCTACAAAGATTCTCCAACTTTTAATGGATTATCCGGATTCGAGACTCAGGCACCTGGTAAGTGAAAGTTCTCAATTTGCAAGAAATATAAAATACAAATTACTTATATTAAATATTATATGGACCAGATACAAGGATTGATAAATAAGGGTTTGATTTTTTTTTAATTTTCGGGGGGGGGGGGGGGGGGGGGGGTATATAAGTTTATCGGAATCAAGTTGCAAAATCATCTATATGTCATAAGAAATATTGTGTAAAGTAATAGTAAACATTTACCGGTAATATAATTCTGCGAAGAGGTTCTGAAAGGGTCAGGCAGTATAGACAAACAAATTGGAGTTTTCTTCCTTTGCTTACAGTAGTTTTCACAGGTGTGCAAATGACAACGATTGACTTGATTAGAATTGGTAAGAGCAAAAATTAATTTATGCGGGCATCAAATTCATTTTTACTCTCATTATAATTTATTTAATTTGTTTTGTTGAATTAAAATTTAGAACGCAAAATTAACATGAAGTTGGGGAGAGGGGCTGTTTGAGCGTCTTTTCTTCGCTTCTCAAGCTTCATATATATACATGTATGACTCTTCCAAAGAACTTCAAAGGGGTCTGGACCCCCCCCCCCCCAGGTCTGCGCATGGCAATGAGGGTGGTTTGAAATGATGTCAATCTAAAACCTTTATGGTATACTGTAGTACTAGTATTATCTCTTTTCTTTTTTTACTTGTAACCAAAGATGAAAGCAACATCAATTTGATTGGCTCGCCAAATACCGTCTCAATTCTTACTGATCTGCTGATTCCACTTGACCACCAGCAAAATGAATTAAAACTTCAGCCAGAACAAGTCACACCAATCCAGGAGACTCATTGCTCGCCCGATCAGATGGTGGAAGAAATAACCAGCATAGAAAATAAAACTAGTACTGCAGCCACAAGCATGGAGACATGTGTGGAGTCAAGCATGTAATAAAACTTAGAAAATTAGTAATTTAAATGAACAGTTCAACCGTAGAAAATACAATAACTTGCTCACCATTTCATGGTTTAATCATAAAATTACCCCAAATTTATTATGTTTTTTTTTTTAATTTTTTTTCTTCAAATGTACATTATAATGCATAGACGTGTATCAATATATGAACTAATACACAATAGATTTATTTAGTTTGGTAAGATCTTCATAAGCTACTCTTAATCATAAAAAGGTAAATTTACATACATACGTTAACGCTGAATTTCAATCCCGCATGCACAATCACAACTGTAAAAGTTTACCCTTGTGCATTGTAGGTCAAAAAAAGTGGGAACTCCAAATGATCGAGGTCAACGTAAGAGAATAAGGCCCGAAGATGTTACAAGAATGCAGTACGAAGTTTTGGTAGAACAAAAGAAAAAGATACAGGAGCAAACAATTTATTACCAATTAATGAATAAAAAATTGCGATTGGAGTTAAATTTATCCAATGAAGATTAATAAATATATGAATCATGTTATCAAATAGTTCTTTTTTTTTAAAGAATTCTAAGCATCAATTTCATAAATTAACTGAAGACTTCGTGTTCATGTTCATGTATTTTCCCGATTCAGTGCGCGCTCGACAGTGATTTCTTTCAATCAATACATCGTAGGCTTTGAACATTTTTCCTGGTTGTATATGGCTAGACTACTACCCTGTATTGAAAATGATATAAAAATAAAACTCAGTATTTACACCTTTATACGATATAATATTCTTGGTGTCCAAAAACATTATTATCAGTGTATAGTCTAGAGGGTCCTTAACTTGTTCTGTAGTGAAGGTTCTTCAAATTTTAAAATCCTGTTTAAAATTCTGTTTAGAGAGATAAAAACACGTCAGTAGAATGGGAGTATTTAGCCAATGAAGTACTGTCCTATCTAGAAATAATGTTGTGTGATGTAATTCCTGATGTTCTTTCCATCCTCGGGTCCATTGTAATTTCCCTGTATATTTCCATTAACAGTTATATCTTCATCCATCGGTGGCTCGTTGTACATTATAGCCAGGTTATGCAAAACTGCACAAGCACCTAAAGTGTAGTTATGGAAACAAATGCATACATAAATTCTAAAGTTTTTAATTTTTTGATTTAAACTTCATTGTCAAGCTATATTTAAACGCATTTCATATAAGATTATGATGTACATGTAATCCTATTCGTCTGTCAATTTTTCTCTCTGTCACAAATACACTTATACTATAACATAATCTTTAATATGCTCAAAACTTTTAAATGAAAGAGGATAAGGTTCAATATTTCACCTGTGCATACTTTGACCTTTGACTTATGATCTTTACCTTGAAATTTGACCTACAACTCTCTGAATTGCTTCCTTCTCTCTGTACCAGGCGCATGGTTAATTATAAATGACAGTATATTAACGAATTATATATTTACCAATAATTGTGCACACTCTCTCTGGCTTCATTCTGATTTCAGAATGAAGGACGTGGAACCGTCGTTTCCACCAGCCAAATGTCCTCTCAATGGCCACGCGTGTTTTAGAATGCGCTGTATTAAAGCGCTCCTCGGCCTGAGAGGAGGGTCGGAGGTATGGTGTCATAAGGTATGGTTTACAGGCATACCCAATATCGCCCAATATGATGCCATCATTGATAGAGCGGAAGTTCCGCTCAATATCTTGCTTTATTCCACTCATGTTAAATATGTGGCTATCATGTGTGCTACCTGGCCATCTTGCCACGATGTTGGTAAATTTACCTGTATCAAAAAGGCACAATAACTACAGTTAACCAGTGCTAGGGCGGATCCATGAATTTCACTGTAAGGGGTAAGGGGTCGTGTTAAAAATGTCGAGTAAAAATAATATTGATCAGACAAAAAAAAAAAAGACTATCCAAACGCGAAACAGCTAGGAAGGGTTGCATACTTCTTAACAAGGTACTCTCCATCATCTTTATCTGACCAACTCATGAGAGGTGCGCGTTTCCCAGGGAGGATGGGGGGGGGTTATTCCAAGGTTATTTTTGGTTACTTTTACTGTACAAAATGTTTCCGAAAAACTCACAATCATAACTGTATCATAATATGCTTCGGTTCTTAAAAAAGTACTCACTAATATTCAATTTTTATCCTATGTAATGATATTAAAACAATTTTTATATTATTATGTAAATGCAATAACAAAGAATCTCACTCTAGCTTACGTAAAAAGAAGTATATATTTCATATCAAATCTCATTTTTGCATACCAGCATTATCACAGATAGCTTGAACATTGATTGAGTGGTAGCCTTTCCTATTCACAAATGCTGGTTCATTCTCTGACGGTCCTTGGATCCTCACATGAGTGCCGTCGATACAGCCTATAACACCTGGAAAGCCTGCTAATTTAAAAAATTCACTCTTGATGCTGGTTAGCTCCTCGTCTGCTGGCCATTTAATAAATCTGGGCGCAAGAGATACCAGTGACTGCAACACTTTCAGAACGATTCGAGAGACTGTTGACTTGTCGACCCCAGTTGTGTCACCAAGAACTTGAAGAAAACTTCCACTGGCATAAAATCTCAAGGCAATCAGAATCTAAATTTGAAAAAAAAATTTAAAATTTGTAGACTTATTTATGCGCAATTTATAATCTGCAAACTGGTTTCATGTTTACTTTTCTGCGGAAAAAATACATAGGTCTACACGCATTATGTTAGATAAGTTAAATTAAAATAAGTTAAAATTATTTATAAAATAATATCCAACAAAATTCCAATTTACACTACTTTATTTTGGTGTGGGTCTAAGAAAAAAAATGGATTTACTACTTTATGCTTATGAAAAATAGGGTCGGTTTTAGGCATAAGTTTGTTTTTATTTATTTATTTATTTTTCAAATAAAGGCATAACTTTGAAATGTAATTTTTTGAAAATGGTTTGAAGTTCTTTTATTTTACCCACAATATATATTTTTTCTCTCAGTGCGTTGAATTATTGATAATATCAAAACAATGGATATAAATTTTATATAATGTTCAATCTCTGAAATGATTTTTTTCTCGAGTGTTTCTTGTAAAATGTAAGAAGTATCAGGCATGTAGCATCATTTTTTTTTTCAAAAAGGAGTAGGGGTGGGGACTACAGAAAATTATTTACGAGTAAAAAAAAAACTTTAACAATAAAAAAAAGCAATCCACGTAAATATATTGCGTGGTGGTGGGCGGGAAAGGGGGGGGTTACAGTCTATAGATCTTTAACGTATCATATATATATATATATATATATATATATATATATATATATATATATATATATATATATATATATATATATATATATATATATATATATATATAATTTGTGATTTTATTGAGACCTATACATGTAGTCCTAATATTTATTATTTGTGATTTTATTGAGACCTATACATGTAGTCCTAATATTTATTAGGAAACTGTAACCAACTGTATTTATTTATTGATAAAACTTATTTAGATCTGTCCCGCTTTGCTGCTTTTATCAACAGTACATGTATACAATATTAGATCCGCCTCATAGATGATGACGAAAGAAATGACGTCACAAATTGAACAAAGTCTATTTTGGATTCAGTGAATGATTATGCATTGACGCAGTGGGAATTTCTAATTTGTTTTTTTATCCATAATTTGATTTTTTACGGAAATAAGCATGTTTATACCTGTAATTCTGTTGACAAAGAGTGCGATCTATTTGTGGAATGCCTTAGTGAAGGTTCCAGTAATGTGACAAGCCGTCCAATATTTTCTTTACGGAAACGGTATCGTTTCCGAATTTCCTCATCGTCCATAGTGTGCAGTGAAAAACGCTCACGAAAGACTCTGTCATTTCTCCGTCTGCCTAGCTGGCAAAACATAAGGCTGGCTGCCATACTTAATGACCACTTAATGAAGCCCCCTTACCTTCATTAAAGTTGAGGAGTTTAATGAAGCTTTAATGCACCGATTCGTTCATTAAAAGATTGATACAACGGAATTTAATGACACATTAAAAATGATCAGTTTAATGAAGCTTTAATCACTCATTAAATATTGATACAACCGGATCCAGAATGGCAATTGATAACAAGTAGGTGGTTTAACTTAATGGTTGCTTGTCTTTGAAGGTCTAGGTCATGGTACATTTGTGGCTGGAGTCATTGCCAGTTATAAGGACTGTCTGGGATTTGCTCCTGATGCTGACATTCATGTCTACAGAGTGTTCACAAACAATCAGGTTTGTTTGGTTTGTTTTTTTTTTTCTTTTCATCTCCAGAATACTGCTCAGTGCTCACAAACAGTCATGATTGTGTGGTTATGTGTTTTTTTTTTACTAGGAGTCAGGTTTGTATGCTTTTATGTATAGAGTGTTCACAAATAATCAGGTTTGTACTTGGATAGTTTTGGTTTTAAACATAGACCAGGACAGTACAATACATGCATGTTTTTATTCATTGCAAGTACCCTCAGCTGGTCTTCCTGCACAAATCTCTTGTCATATTATGATATTAATATATATGTGACACTATTAGTGCAGTGGACTAGGAAATCTGTACCTGTGCTGTGTTTTATTCGCAGGTGTCGTACACTTCATGGTTCTTGGATGCCTTTAATTATGCTATCCTGAAGAAAATCAATGTACTCAATCTCAGCATTGGCGGACCAGATTTTATGGATCACCCCTTTGTTGACAAGGTAAGTATTCTGTTGTATTGTACATTTACCTGTAGATAGGAGAAGATTCAAATCTGAACAAGAGTTTTATGACTGCTTTTTTGTTGTGGGAAGTTTGAGGTCCTCTGAGGTAAAATCAGAATTTCTGTAAGCTGGGGTCCTCTGAGGGAAACTCAAGAGTTTCCATCACACATTAAAGGCTTGCATGGTAAACTTGAGTTTCTCTAGCTTGATTTGCACAGAGTTAAATCCCTAGTTTCTCAAGATTTTTTTTTTCTTAGTCATTTTTGCTTAAGATCTTGGTCAATCAAATGAAAGAATTTGATGATATTTTGGGGTTGGGTTGGTGGTGTGTGTTTGGGGGTGGGTGGGTGGGTTTATAATCAGATGAAATGCACATACTTGATTCATAGTATAGTACTCAAAGCATGACATTATGATTTCAGGTTTGGGAACTGACAGCCAACAAAGTGATCATGATCTCTGCTATTGGAAATGATGGGCCTCTGTATGGGTAGGTTATAAAACCATATGTTGAACTCTCAACTGTTTTGGATTTAAAAATATGTTATCACTCATGAGTAGAAGTACTAGATAGTTGAATTACATGTACTGGAAAAATAGAAAGTATATATATAGTTTTGACATGATTTTTGGAAGCACTCTTAACAACCCAGCTGACCAGATGGATGTCATAGGAGTGGGAGGGATCAACTTTGATAACCAGATAGCCAGGTTCTCCTCCAGAGGAATGACCACATGGGTAAATGGACAATCTACTCATTTGTCTCTTCATGTTGATGAATGTACATGTACTTGCTTTATCTACATGTAGATATAGATGGGATTTAAGATGCATGCACAAATTGAACTTTCACTTTAAGGAAGAATGTTGTTAAACCATTTTTTGCATCTCTATAGAAATCAGAAATGAATTTTTTACTTTCAGATTTTTGAAAATTACTTGTAAATTAGAAATTAATTGGGTTCTCCTTATTTTACAGGAACTTCCTCATGGTTATGGAAGATTAAAACCAGACATTGTCACATATGGATCAGCTGTTCGTGGATCAGCCCTCAAGTAAGTGTTAATATTTTGTAAGTGAAGTTGTAGTAATCAAAATAAGGAAATAAACATTTTTTTGTATGATTTGAGTATTTATATTCATTGAAATTTATGGAACCATATTATTGACATGGAGTATTTGGGGTGGTGTTTTAGGGGTGGATGTAGGTCTCTGTCTGGAACCAGTGTTGCCTCCCCTGTGGTTGCTGGAGCTGTTACCCTACTGTACAGGTCAGAGGAAAATTATTGAATTATTTTTGCTTAAAGGCATTATTTTACATACATTTATTAGTGTTAAAACATTATATTTTGATTAAAAGAATCCTTTAAAAGGGAAGAGTTTTGTCCAAATTTTGGTGAAGTTAGGCCATTCATGCAGTCTTGTCAAAATCCTTTCACTGTTATATTTCAGTGCTGTGTTAGACAGAGCCAATATTATTAACCCTGCCAGTATGAAGCAGGCTCTGATGGCTTCAGCCAGGAGGTTACCAGAGGTCAACATGTTTGAGCAGGGTCATGGCAAGCTGGACCTTATCAGAGCTTATCAAACCCTCAGGACCTATAAACCACAAGCCAGGTACTGTGACAATTAACTATACAAACTTTTGAGGTCAAGGAATATAGTGTACAATTTTCCACTGTGCAGGATAGCTCTTTTATCAAACCCACGTCAGGAACTATTCCCCCAGAGCTTGTTCGAGGGGAATAGTTCCTGTCAAGGTTTGATGAAAGAGTTATCCCACTCACAGCCAGTGGATAAGCGTTTTTTTTAATACTGATCTATATTATAATTTCTGAGGATTGGATTTTATACCCCGGGTATAGCTTGGCTATTCTTGAAAATTTTCAGACTATAAAAATAGTTATTTTACCTTCTAAACTTTATGTATAGGAATTATTTTAACAGAAGTATAATAAACTGCATTATTCTGAATAATATTAAGATTTTATTTACCTTTTGTAGTTTGAGTCCCAGTTATATTGATCTCACAGAATGCCCATACATGTGGCCTTACTGTTCTCAGCCCATCTTCTACGGTGCCATGCCTGTAGTAGTCAATGTAAGTCAGATATCAACTCAATCAGTGTGGAAACATTTATCTATGGATGATATATTTCTTGAAAGAATTTTAATTTATACTTTTAGATCATAAACAGATGAAAACAGTGTGTTCATGTTTACATGTAATTTTTCAGTGTATCTACATGGGGAACATAAGCTGTAGTTTAATTTATATATACATTGTACTTGTAATTATTTTAGGTAACGATTTTAAATGGAATGGGAGTATCAGGAAAATTACTTGACAAAGTAAGATTTAATATACATGTATGTAATTAGATGTTTAAGACTACAAGTAAATCAGTGTGTGGCATGTGTAACTTTTCTCAAGTAAAAAACTTTTTAATAAATTATTTAAAAGAATTTTTCCTTTGATTCTTTAGCCTCGTTGGGAACCCTACATTCCACATCATGGAAACTACATAGATGTGGCATTCTCCTACTCTAAAACTCTGTGGCCATGGTCAGGGTACTTGGCTGTCTTCATTTCTGTTGCCAAATCAGGAGCAAATTATGAGGGCATAGCTCAGGGACAGGTCACTCTAACTGTGGAATCACCCCCAGAGGTGGGTATAGATAATCCAGTACTTAAATGTAGTCAACAAGCTATTTGCTGTTGTTGTGTTTACACTTTAAAAATTATAAATGTCTAAAACCATTCAATAAATGATGTCATTTATTTTTTGATGGTTAGGGTGAAGAAACAACACCAAGGCAGACAACTCTTAAGCTACCAATTAAAGTCCACATTATTTCAACTCCACCTCGAAGGTAACACCATTTCAAAAATGTCCAAAATCAAAATTTGATGTTTCTTTTTATGATGAATTACTTCCATCCCAGTTAGATTTTCTACTTTTTCAAAAGACAATTTTTTTATGGTTCTTTTCTTTGCCTACTGCAGCAAGAGAATATTGTGGGATCAGTACCACAATCTAAGATATCCACCTGGCTACTTCCCACGAGATAACCTGAGGATGAAAAATGATCCATTAGACTGGTAAGGTTCACACAATAATAAGTCACTTTCTGTTGCTTTATACATGTATTTGAAATCTTGTGAGATACAGTAAAGAAGATTATCTGTTTCTTAAGGAATGGAGACCATATCCACACAAATTTTAAAGACATGTACCATCATATTAGAACATCAGGGTATTTTGTTGAAGTCTTGGGTAAATACAAACTTATTTGTTAATAAAAAATAAAATCTTGGTATCAATGAAATAAGTGAGAAATTACAGAAAAAAATAACGATTTTTTTTTAAATTTTGAATTTTATAATTGGTAACATCTAAATTATCATAAAAGAACTTTAGAGAAGGGAAATTATAAAAATGCACTGCAGGTAAATGCACTTGGCTAAATTTAAATTTTTGATATCTCAGGTGCCCCTTTGACCTGCTTTGATGCCAGTCAGTATGGGAACCTACTGATTGTGGATGCTGAGGAGGAGTATTTCCCAGAGGAAGTGACAAAGCTTAAGAGAGACATAGATAATGGTTTGTCAGTTGTCATCTTTGCCGACTGGTACAATGTGACGGTCATGAAGAAAGTGAAGTTCTATGATGAAAATACAAGGTGAATTTGGATAAACAACCATACTTATGGACCATACAGGGTCATTTTATGATTCGTCATGACTTTTCAGGGTTTTTTTTCAAGATAAGTTTGGCTTTCATAACTCATAAACAAAGAAATGTCTTTCCTATGTTATAAACCTGTTCACCATATGACACATTATGTGTATCTATGAAGGGGATTTTCTGTAAAAGTACATATATTGTACATGTACATGCATTGAAAATTTATGTAGTGCTTTATATAAAAAAATAAAATACAATTTGTACCTTGTACTTGTGTACAATTACCTCTGTATTCATGCTATTTACAATTACTTAACAATTTTTCACTTGGGATCCAGACAATGGTGGATGCCAGACACTGGAGGAGTCAACATCCCTGCCACAAACGATCTTTTAGCACCTCTGGGTATGGCATTCAGGTGGGTACCATATTTTGCTATAATCTATACCAGAACAAATAGCAGAAGCATTTTTAGCCAAAATAGTTTGTCTTGTGCAGTCTTACAGGGTATGATGAATGTGTATGCTTTTTTCAGTGACAGAGTGTATGAGGGAGATTTTACCCTGGGTGACCATGAAAGTGAGTCTAGAGAGAGTTTTTCCAATAATTGATTCTAACACTTAAATTTGTATTTATGACATCATATCTTGATATCCTCTAATCTTTGCTTCAGTTTAGATGTCCATCACATGTATGTTATCTTGTAATAATAATTTTGCCTTGTTTTCAGTGTATTATGCATCTGGAGCCAGTCTTGCTAAATTTCCAGATGATGGCATCATAGTTACCCAGACACTAAAAGACCAAGGTCAGTGTTTAAGCCATTTCTTGAAATAGTAGTAAAAATTTGACTCTTTTATAGCAACTCTGAATTTCTTGAAAATGCAGTTTATACATTTTGAATAATGCAAGAGTGACATATAACATCTATCTGTTGCAGGTCATGAGGTTTTAAAGGGGTCATCTGTCATGAAAGAGAATGTTCCTATTTTGGGTCTTTATCAGACAATAGCTCAACCGAATGGTGGGAGAGTGGCTCTGTATGGAGATTCCAACTGTCTTGATAACAGCCACATGCAAAAAGGTAATGAGCCAGATAATCACAACTGATGTGGATAAGTATAATGTCCATATCTCCTCTCAGAGTTTGATTTAATTTCTCTTTAAATATTGCTCAGTCTTAAAATTGTTTTAAAACCAATTCAGTTCAAAAATCATTTTGAAATATGCATATTGTTCACATACTGTACATGTACTACTTGATCCACTGTGAGTGGGTTTGCATGTAAGACCATTAGATTGTTCACATATTCAATTATTTTTAGGAAGATTTTTGTTTTCAAGAGTATTCATACGATTTCTCTTAAAGCTAATGTTTAAAATATACAGTTGAACTTTGATATCTCAAACGCTGATATCTCGAATACCATGGATATGTCAAAGTGAGTTGGAAGTTCCAACCACATATTCCTGAAGTATTTTACGGTTAATATCTCAAATCTTCATATATCTCGAAGTTTTTTCTCAGACCCATCAAGATAACGAGGTTTGACTTTATAATGCTTTAAAAGTTAAAACTTTAAATGTGTCTTATACTTTATGCTGCAGATTGTTTCTGGATGCTGAGTGCTATCCTAGAATACACAGCTTACAATAACTTAGTACAGGTGTTCTCAAATCAGGACAAGGTCGTCCTTCCTCCAATGGACCTACCAAACAGAATGGAAGGTAAGGGCAGTGCCATACACTGTTATATAAAAAATGATACATTTATCTCTGTAGATATGCCATTTTTTAAGTAGAATTTGTAGCAGGTTAATGGGATGACTTTTTCTTTACCTTTTTAGGAAACCATTTACATCGATACTCAAAAGTGCTTGAAGGTCATCTTGGTACATCAAGGTCCAGAATTTTACCAACATGTCCAAGAGTCATCTATGCAGCAAGCCACCCAATAAATAAGTCTGCTCCATCGTAAGTGGCCATAGCTAACTGTGTGTTTAATTCTAATAATTGTACACCTCTCCCCTATTTTATGTTTGACCTTTTGTTCTGTATTTTAATCTGTTGTCCCTTTCATCAATACAATTTTTCAGACACACAGAGAGTAAGTATGAAGAGTTAAGTGAATTTTAACATGCAATATTTCAATTACCTTCATGTATATGTCAATTTATGCAATCCCCCATTATCTCCAACTCAGTCATATCTCCCTTCACAAAATGGCATGTATAAATTCTGAAAATTATTACCAGAACAAGAAATATGAGGTAACTATTTGATCTTTGAATATTTTCCACACAGACATTTATAAACATTCCTAATCTCTTTTTACATGTATGTACTTTTCACACAGATGTTTGTTTTGCATGTATATGTCTTACTTTAAAGTTTATTTTATTATTTGGAAACATTTTATGTTCTTGGACTGCTAAATTTGTTATTTAAATATTATGTGTACAAAGACTAAGTATATAATACATCTATGGTTTAAAAAATCAACATGTAGTACTTATAAGCAACAAAAAGAGTTTTAAGAGAATAGTATCAAACTAGCTACATGTAGTTAGTGTACATTTGTTTGATTACAGTTTGAAAATGTATTTGTGTTTACATAAGAGCACATAACTTGATTTGCAATTGCTTCATTATTAAAAACCCTGTCATGTTTGTAAAATCACCCAATCACTAGAGGCAATTTAAAGATAAAAACGAGTTTCTACAGGAAGATTTCTCATAATTCTCAAATTTCAAAAAATATAGGAGTTGATGTTTATTATCTTTGACTGTATGCATAAATTAGGTGCTAGCTTTCACAGCATGGCGAGAGGAGGGGGTTTACCGGTTATCACTCTTAGCATGATGGTACAGGAAGTTCATAAATTCAAGGAGGTCAGGAGTTGGAATTGTCATGTGACTTTGGTTTTTGTTTTGCAGGAATCTTTTCCAGCAGCAGAAGTTGCTCTCCATTGGACTAGACGAGTCAGTGCCACTGGGAAGGCGGCATGTGGTGGAGGATTTAATAGAATCAGTGGAAGCCAAGGAGAATTTTGGCAATGGCGCGGCACCTCACATTCAGGGAGGAGGGGCCATGCAAGATATTGACTCCAATAGTGTGTTCCCAGTGCTGGCCTTTATAGGCACTGGTCTCGTACTGTTGTTTCTGTTAAATCAGTACTACAGGGGGCGCTCTAAGCCTCGGAGGAAAAAGCCAAGATTAAAAAAGTTTCACACAATGTTATATGGTACAAAGGGACCAAGTGTTTAATAGAAGTGACTCCTAGTTGCCAAAGATATTCAGAGGAACTCATTGATCATATCAGATGTATATTATTCCTTCCTTTAAAATCCTTAAAAAAAATAAAGGAAGTAAATAAGTAGAAGTAGCTCTAATTTTGTTCACAATTGAAAGAAGTGTTCTTTTGATTGGTACATTATACATGTATAGCACTAAAGCCTAAAAAAAAAGATGGGCTGTTAATTACAAATGTTAAAGAGGCATTTGCTGTAAAAGTGATGGCAACCAATTTTCTTGCAAAATTTGTCAATTGCTAAGGCATGTATATTAATGAACAATGAAAAAACATTTTGTTCATACAAAAACAACAGAAACCTAGTAATACTACATTAAATAACCATTTTTAGTGTAAATAAATACATGAGGAACAAATTTTGGCATGCAAGCCAATTATTGTTTAAACAAAGATACATATACAGGGTTGTCCCTAAGCCCCGGGGAATTTCCTTGCCTATAATGACGGAATCCCCCGCATTCTCTGGTATTCTCCCTCATCACCCTGTTAATGGAGAAACCCTAGACCCCTTTCTACATTTTAAATGTCCCACGCTATTTTAATTCTTAGGGACAACTCTGCATATATATATTCTTTGAAAGTAAAAAAAGTGTTTGAAATCATTAAATGCTGTTTTCATTAAAGAAATACATGTACATGAACATAAAATAAAGCAATTTTCAATGAAGTGAATATTTCTGAGAAAAAAACCCAGCTAATGCCTCTTTAATTGATTTTAATATAAACCTACGTGTAGTTATTTTCTTCACTGTTACAATAGATTACACACAATAATGTTTTTTTAAATGTCAATTTGATGATGAACTGTTTTGATCTTGTGTCAAATATGTAACTCCATTATTATATCTTAGTGTGTATGTGTGTACTTTATGGTATTTTGTCATTCCATTTTAGACTGTGTGTGTGTGAAAATCATAGTGAGAGAGTCATTCAGGAATGTTTGTTTCATTGATTAATTGTTGAATTATGGTATTAATGGATAAACTAGTCAAAAATTTTATATCTGCATACAATGTATATCATTTTCAATTATTTAGTATTCTTAAAAATAGTGCATTTTTATACCAGCTTAATTTTTTCTTTTTTTAATCTTTGTGTTGGAGAATAGCTGGATTGTGATTTGCCATCAGACATTTTCATACACTTTCAGTCTTTCATATTTCCATGTATCTGCTATTGAGTTTTGTACTGAGTTCAGTTATATTATGCACTGGACTTTAATTCTAAAAGGAATGAATTTTTTTTTTGTGGCATTATCGCACAAAGACTTGAACTGAGTAAGATAGGGATATAATAGGATGATATTTAGTTTGTTTGATGTAATTTTTTTTTTACACTAGAATTTTGAAGTAGATGATTGAAACCAGTTTGTATTGTGTATGTGTGTCTGTGTGTGTGGGTGATAATTATGCATCAGTAGGTTTTAATTTATTAGGTATGTTTTAAGTGTGTTTGTCTAATTTTGAATATCTTAGATTGCAGTACAATGGCATAATAAAATCAGTGCTGATTCTTTAGTGATCTTTTCTTTATGTCAACATAAACTGAACCATCACTTCTAGTTCTTATTTCACCAGTGGCCAGATAATTCAGTTGATGGAGCACCTGACTAGAGATTCAAGGGTCCTGGGTTCAAATCCCAGTCTAGTCCATCACATTTTTCTCCACTCCTGGTACATTTTGTGACATGACCTTGCCCTGGAAATGACAGGTGCAAGACCTGCCAGGGAAGAGCCTGGATTGGTGTTTTTGGGGACAAATACCCTTAAGGAGGGAGGAATATGGTGATCTGTGGGGTTTGATCGCTGGTGCCCAGATAGCTCAATTGGTAGAGCACTTGACTAGAGATTCAGAGGGGCCCACGTTTGAATGCTGGTCTGGTCCGTCGCATTTTTCTCTTCTCCTGTTACATATGTATTCTGTGGTGGGTGACAGAGTGATTACTCCTAGAAATTCACCCCACAGGTGCTGGCACTCCAAAAGAGATGATGTCTCACTCTTTGGAGGGGGACAATGTGGTAGTGTAAGTTACTCAATGGCATCCTACTAGCTTGGACCATTGGGCTAACCCTTTAGCTCACTGTAGAGCACTGGAGTCAGGACTGGCATGCCAAAGATCCCAGAGTTCAAATGCATGCAGTGGCTCAATACTGTCTCTGCTGAGTGTGTCATAATTTCCTGTACATGTATGAGTGACCAGTTTGAAGGTTTTGGAGCAAGTTAATTTAGAGAGGATTAAGTAAAACATATTTTGACATATACAAAGTACATAACTTACACTTTCTAGATGAGTTCTTTGTCCTACAACATTTTCTTATATTTTTCACTGTTTTGGTTAGTTTTAACAAGTTTTTTTGTGTTGTCATTTAAAGACATTAAGTTGAAAATTTGATCAAGATATGATTCATTACATAGCAGCATAAACAAAGTAAATTAATTGATCTCTTTGTGTTAATCTCTCTTTCAATATTGAAGATGTTTAATGAAATGTAAGTAAAACTTTCTTAAATTGAAATGTCAACATTCATTTCTCTTCTTAGTTAAACATTGTCTTACTCAGTACACTTCAACATATTGATATACTATTACAGCCTAGCTATATTTGCCAAATTCTTGTATTGATCGATTGCAATTAATGGTTTCTTTCCTTAACATTGATTGATAAATTGTTTACTTGAATGCATCAATACCAAAGGTCAAATATGTTCTAACAGAGATGAATCTACAGTAATTGTGGACCTGATTACTAGCAGAAGGCTGGTATATCTACCATCATCCAGTTAGACCTTAACTGAGTATTCTGGAGCGATGCAGTATATGTTTATTGATTTTAGCATGTTTCCCTAGTGCACAAATGGAATTAGTCATCAATGTCTATAGTTTATTATATATAAAACGAGAGAGAGAGGGAGAAAAAGAACACATTTTGTTTTAAACAGAAGCATGCATGCAACCTTGAGGTATATCTGAAATTTGTATATTTACATGTCATAGTTTTACAGTTGATTGTATGATGATGTGGTGTATGGAAACAAGTTGGTCATATTCAAAACCAAACAATTGATGATTTTAATGAATGAAAAAAAAAAAAGTGAAATACTTTCCAATAATATTACAGTTTCAAATTAATTAAATTCTACTTGTGCCTGAAAGATATGGATGATTAAAAATATTTAATAACATAGGATGAAAAAAAACCCTATGAGCTGGTCATGTTCCACTAAATATGTAATATAGTATTTAATTAGATTTTTGTGTATTTTGGGCCTTGTTTAAACATAAGAGGGAAAAGAACATTTTACAAAATGTTCACATTAACTTAGATCCGCCCAATATTTCTTGTATATGAGTTATCCCCCTTTTCCGGAAATGTGACCAAGCGCATGTTCAACAAGCAAAGATGGCAGCTGAGGAGAATCCTTGGTTCATAAATTACGAAATTGATTGATGCATTATCTCTAAATCTTTATTCTTTTTAAAAGAGCCATGGCTCAGTGTAAACAGACAGCCCAAGAGTTTATCCAGAACACATTCAGCCCAGCTGTAGCTGTCCTGTGCAGTCCAGATGCCGAGGTTTTGTGTCAAAAGAACAACCTGACATTCGTGGAGTTAGTCCAACCATTCTGTCGTTTGACAACAGAAGGTATTGTTCTATTGTCGAGATTTACCGAGAAATAGAATATCTGTGCAGGATTTAAGAAAGGAGTTAGTGTATTCTAATAATCTAATCCAATAGCAGTACATCTGGTAGCCTCGCAAAGTGGGCGGACCCCGTAAATGACCCCCTCAGACTTGTGTTGTTTTAACCCTCCATCTGATGATCAGATCATAACATCCTGTAATCCCATACTATTACTCTGATAGATTTATTAAACATTAGTTACAAATTTGACTTTGTCATCAGAGACAATAACACAAAATCTTAAATGAATTTCATCATTAAATTAGCATCCCAGTTTGTTTTGATGCAGATTATTCTTGTTTCAGTGTCACACAGGATTTTGCTACTAGGTTTGGTTTGAATCCAGACAAGTTCATTGCATTTCTCTTTTAAATTGTAGATGTGCATAGTATTATGTAGGGTATATGGGAAAAAGCTGGTCATAAATACTAAAAGTAATCTGGAAACTTTCCTACTTAGTGAGAATTATATTCAAATTTGATTATTCTGATGAATATACTTTAAGATTATTGAAATCATAGACCTTAAATTAATGGCCACAGTTAGCATGATTAGGTGTTTGTTTGTTCATCTGGAAGAGAAATGTGTTTCAAGTGAGCTAAGTTTTATGAATCTCTTTTACATTAGAGAAGACTTATCATAATGAAGGACACATAGCTTAAAAATATTCTTTTTAGACTCAAGGTCCTTAAATCCATAAATTCTGATACACCTGTATTGGTATATAATTATGTGAATACTATACAACTATAAACCAGAAATTGATTGGACTTTTTTACACCAAAACACCATCAGTTTTCAATCTTCCACCGAGACCAAGCAGAGTTTCATTTCTGTTTTATTCCGATTGAATGTACTGACATCTCATTGTACAGGGTGTCCCAAAATATATACCATTTGAAGTACCTACCACAATCACATCCCTTGACCAATTTCTTTGATAAATATCTCTAAAAATATCTAAATAAGTACAATTTTATAGCAACAAAATATTCCCAAAAAATTCTCACACTTATGAAATTGCAACATAACAAATTTACATCAAACTTTTGCAAAAAAACTGTAATTTCAATCAAAATAGATTATCAAAAGTATGAAAAGAGCTAGCTACCCTCATTTTGTAACTTAATTATCAATCCTAGTCTTAAGTTACTGCTGCTAAACCCAGACCAAAATCCTTAACAAAATGTAACGATCGCTCCCCCCTTTTTTTCATGTGTTATAATGTGTTGAATGTCAAGCATCGTTATGTTATATAATTACACGTTTGTTGATGGTTTACTTGTACATACATAGTTGTAAAGTTGTACAGTAATTTATGATTACCTCCTGATTACCTTAATTGTCGTGTGATCGATGTTTTTAGTGTTCTCGAGCACACATGTGCATGTTTTACTGAAAGTTCTGCCGCCGCCATACTTTATTTACTTGTGTATTTTCCCATGATGCTTCACGGTGTATTGATCTATTTTTACCGTAGTTATTTTGGCGGAAGATTTGATTGTAGATTCTGTTTAATTAAATGTTAAATGTGCTTTTAAAGTGTAAACTTATATTTTATTAATTTATTTACGTACTGTAATAATTTTACATACGATGTACGAGAGTGAGATTTCGTTACGGGATGATAATTATGTATGATTGGCTAATTATTTATTACGGGATGGAATTATTAATTATGATTGGTTATTAATTATTGCGGGTTTTGGAAGTTCTATAAATACACAGACGCTGAGTATCGGGTGCTCTCTCGTTTCCTTTGTGTCCTAAAGAAAGGTCGCCAGTTTTTATTCAGATTAAGGTGTGTACTATTTCAGTATATATGTGACTGAAGTACATATGTTGTGCTAGGCTAAATTAATATTACTAGTCATTGTGCTAGTTTCATTTATTATTACTAGTTAAGAACTAGTTATTTCTATTTTCTGTAAGAGTTAGGAAATATTTCTGCTGCGTGCTAGTAGTTGAACTAGTAGCGGGAATATTTATTTGTAAATTTAGTCATTTATAGAGAGCCTTTAAGTTTTAGTTTGGTCGGGGGAATTTATACATAAATGTTATACTGGAAATAGTGCCAGTTTATATCCGTCCGTATCAGTAGTTGTGCTGATTTTTGTCTTTTGTCCCAAGGGTTGAGACTTGTCAATTTTACACACTGTTACTCATTTTCGCTGTTGAACTACCTCAATAAATTATAAACTTTATTTAGCGACTTGGTTTTTATTCCTAGCATTTGCGGGAGTGTTTGACATCCGAAGCGTTACAATATATAAAAGGTTTACCTCTGATGAAAATCAAGAAGTTACTACCGAGACAGGTGCTGTTGTCTCAAGTTAAGGAATGTTGTGCAATGTCTAGACATTATCATTCCACTGATAGAACGTCACTTAGAGGTCATCATTTAAAAACCATAGCATTTTTCAAAGTGAACTCATTTTGTTGTTTTCTTTTTAATGACTGTCAAATCATGTGAATAAAATTGGACAGTATATGCAATGTTTATAATGCATTTGTTATCATTCAGTATTCATTTCATTAGGTTTTACAGAATCTTGAAATGGTATCATATATTCTGGGACACCCTGTACTTACTAGTTACTAGAAATTGTTGTTTATTAAATTTCAGTTCATATTCGAGATCCAAACAATGTTCCTCACACAATCAAAAATCTGAAGATTACAATGCGGGACATGAACATGCAGCTTCCTCAAGCAGTGATGGCTCGGAAGATGTTGAATGATGTGGTGGCCAGTACCCAGCCGCAACTGGGGGAGGGAAGCAGGGGGAATGTGGTTACCTTTGGGAGTTATGATTTACAGCTGTCAGGTATGGACAATACTACATGGAATCATTTTAATTCATAGGGGGTCAATGTTAGTGGGCAACAAATAAAATTCTGGTTCAGAGGGACATCATTTCGTGGGTAGTGCTTAAATACAGAAGATTCATTAATTCAATATTTTGACAGTTTGCTCATGGGGATATAAATTCATTGGTAAGTGTGACCCACAAAATCAACAAACATTGTTTCCTCACGAACAGTGATGATTTCAAAGTTCCTTTGAAGTATCAAATTCCCATTTATTGAGCTGCACATATTAACTGATATTCAGTGTATCTGATGGGAAGGCTTATGTGCACATTTATGCACCTGTGATATAACATAAAGAAGCATGTTATGACTAGCTATCAAGTTGATGCCACCATTTATCTTTGAAGTAAAATCTCAATTGAAAGTGTGAATGAATGTAATCCCAGTGTAGAACTTGTCATGACTTCAATAATAATATGTGTATTCATTTTTCAGCATCAACACCATGGTTTGAAGCATACAGAGACATGTTCTTAAAAGTTTTGCCACCAAGTGATCATGAATTTCTTAGCCATTGTTTGTGTTGTATCCTTTGGCTCAAATTATTACACACTCTGGAGTACATCGTTTGCAGAAACATTAATTTTGATAAGTGATGGTTTCATGACTGAAATCAAAGGTAGTATTGGAGGATATAATGTGGTTATATACAGAATTTTTTTTTGGAGAAATGTTTAAATTTGAAGTATAAAAGAGAAAAACATATTTTATTCAAACAGAAAATATTCCCCAAAATTTAATGTTAAGCTGCTCTGATAGACAAATTATTTTCATTTTAATAACTTTTTGATTTAAACATGTGCAAATGAATGTAAGAGTTAGTTTTACAATTTTACAGTTAAACTCCTTATCTAAAACCCAGGTATATTTGTGGTATCCTCAGGTCACTCAGACCCAATAAATGCCTTTAACACTCTGTCCTCCAACCAATATCAGCAACAGACACAGTACCCCACGAAGATGCCAAGGTGGTTCTGCCCAGGGATCCTCAAGTACTATGTGTTGCTTCATGACGTCGTAGAGGGGGAAGACGCTAAGTACGATATTGCACAGTATCAGAACCTTACCCTCAGGTCTGCCTACAGATTTGTCTGTTCCCACTGAGTGTTGTGTCTCGTCATGGTCATCATGCAACACCCGTACCCCCTGTCTTAAGTGTTTTGTTGCTATGCATTTCATCACTAGAAAATCAGTTGTTGTTGTAGCGATTCAATTTCCTGTTGTCCATCCTCAGCACAATTTGAGTATATCCTCAGATAAAGATTTGGTACTTATGATAGTTAGTAAGGTTTGGCAGATTTTGGGTTAGTTTGTATGTGTTGAATTGAAAGTGTGGACAGGTAAATAAAATGATATATTACCTACATTTTTAAGGTTTTGAATATGCTTAAAAAAATTAAGATTCATCCAAGTTTTTCAGCAGAGTTGGTGTTGGAATCACTAGGTCATGAAAAATATTGTATTCCATCCATTATTAACATCTTTCTGCTTCAATATTTGCTTTATTTATAATTAAAATTAAAAATATGAAGTTAAGAGTCACAAATCACAGTCAGTTTTACGTGTAAATTTAGGGCAGATGCCGTCTACCAGAGTATGAAGTCCTCGTTTGGTGGCCAGAACTGTCACCTCTTACACATCAATTCCCGGAGTCTCCACACGGCAGAAACAATGCATACAGATCTGCCTGACCCCTGGAGCCAGTTCCTAAACAAGAACAATTCAGAGGCCAATAGTGTAAGTACAGGCCAATCCAAAACTTGTTATCAGGAGTGGGCAGTACAGGGGAGTGTGTGATGTGTTTGTTACTCTTTTGAGTGTCTTTTTTTTATAGCAGCTGTAATTTAGTGAAAGATGTTAAGTCAGCACATAAAAAAAGGAAAACGCTTAATTTCACAAGTAACTAGTGCATATCTAAATAGGATAGAACATTTTGCAACCATTTATATACATGTAATTTAGATTTAGTGAAAATCAAAGAATTTGGTAAAATTACTTTCGATCTTCAGGTTATTTTAAAGGGGGGGGGGGGGCACCTGTATAGTAAAATTTGTCTGGTTATTTTTCTGCTGTAGTGATTCTGTTATATAGTAGAAAATTGTTTTGGTGAATTTACATGTAGGTCTTGCAAAGTGTACAGAAAGTAAGAAAGTAACAATATTAACTGTAGCAAGAGAACTTGGAGCTTCTTAAATGTTCTTTTTAAATTCTATAGAATTTCTGTATTGCTAGTTTGATTGACTCAGTGAAATTTAATGTCAGATGGACATTTGATTAACAAAATGCATGTTGTTATACCTGGTTTTTATAATGATGCAAAATGAATACTAATTAACAAACATGCATCTGAAAATCAATATTCTATCATTTTTGTAGTTGCATGATTTATACTGAATGAAGTTATAATGGTCTGATTTGTCATGTACTGGTAGTTTATGTAATGTGGAAATCTTGATAATATGTAAATGTTTGAAAATAGATCATAGTCTTAGACTTCAATAAATTTCAGAAAAAGCGAAACAAAGCTAGATATTTCATAGCGTGGGTAAGTGTAGATCTCCAGTATCTTATTAGTTAGCGCTTTATTGAGTTGCCAAATTCTTTTTGGAGGATTTAATTTTATTGAAAAGAGCATGAATTAGGACTTTAGATAGTTTTTTGCTTCCATGGAATTTTCTTCAGTTCATGTCAATATTTGTCTACATTTACATGTTATACCAGGTACTTTGTCTCACTTGAATATATTCAAATTCTTAACTCAAGCAATTTCAGCAAGAATCTTTTGTACAGTACTGTATATATAATATGTATTAAAGTAAAATTCTTTTTTTGAGTTAAACCTTGAAACTACATTTAAGAGGAAGGATGCATACACAGTATATCCTTTATCTTTGGTAAACAGATGAGGACATTCTCATGGAAAATCTATTCTAGGGGAAATTCATCGTTTGACAGAATGGGTCACAGAAAATGAGCATGATAAATTCTGAAGATTCCTTATCAGGAATGATACTTATACAAATACTCTTTGTGGGAAATAATTTCTTGATTTTGTGAAACCAAATGATTATACAAATTGTTCATGATAAAAAAAAATTTTTAACATGCAATTTCAGGAAGACCAGAAAAAAAAAATCAAATTAAAGATTACTGATGAAAGACAGTGCTAACCAATTGAAAATTGGAATTAGCAAAATACTGTATCAATGTTATTGATATGAATCCATTCTGTTCATTCAATTTCTTTGTTAATTCTCCTCTGCATGATGTCTTCAAGGATTTTTTTGTTTTCGTTGCATGGTATGTTGTGAGCATTTATTGAAACAAATGCAACATTTGGATTTCACTCTGAATGCATCTTGCAACATGTACAGTGAGCTCTAAGAGAAAATGAGATGTACCAACAGCTTTAACTTTAGCAATTCATGTTATTTAGAGTCAAATATATAGGATTATACCAATGATTTTTAGCTCACCTGAGCCGAAGGCTCAAGTGAGCTTTTCTGATCACTTTTTGTCCGGCGTCCGTCTGTCTGTCTGTCCGTCTGTCTGTCTGTCCGTCTGTCTGTCTGTCTGTCTGTAAACTTTTAACATTTTCGACTTCTTCTCAAGAACCACTGGGCCAATTTCAACCAAACTTGACACAAAGTATCCTTGGGTAAAGGGGATTCAAGTTTGTTCAAATGAAGGGACACGCCCTCTTTCAAGGGGAGATAATAAAGAATTAGTGAAAAATTAATAGCATCTTTTAAAAATCTTCTTCTCAAGAACCACAGGGCCTGGAAAGATGAAACACATGTGGAAGCATCCTCAGGTAGTGTAGATTCAAATTTGCTCAAATCATGACCCCCGGGGGTAGGGCGGGGCCACAATGGAGGATCAAAGTTTTACATAGAAATATATAGGAAAAAACCTTTAAAAATCTTCTTCTCAAGAACAGCAAAGCCATGATAAATCATATTTATATGGAAGCATCCTCAAGTAGTGTAGATTCAAGTTTGTTCAAATCATGACCCCCGGGGGTAGGGCGGGGCCACAATGGAGGATCAAAGTTTTACATAGAAATATATAGGAAAAAACCTTTAAAAATCTTCTTCTCAAGAACAGAAAAGCTATGTTTAGTCATATTGATATGGAAGCATCCTCAAGTAGTGTAGATTCAAGTTTGTTCAAATCATGACCCCCGGGGGTAGGGCGGGGCCACAATGGAGGTTCAAATTTTTACATAGAAATATATAGGAAAAAACCTTTAAAAATCTTCTTCTCAAGAACAGCAAAGCTATGATAAATCATATTTATATGGAAGCATCCTCAGGTAGTGTAGATTCAAGTTGTTCAAATCATGAACCCCGGGGGTGGGGCGGGGCCACAATGGAGGATCAAAGTTTTACATAGAAATATATAGGAAAAATCTTTAAAAATCTTCTTCTCAAGAACAGCAAAGCCATGATAAGTCATATTTACATGGAAGCATCCTCAGGTAGTGTAGATTCAAGTTTGTTCAAATCATGACCCCCGGGGGTAGGGCGGGGCCACAATGGAGGATCAAAGTTTTACATAGAAATATATAGGAAAAAACCTTTAAAAATCTTTTTCTCAAGAACAGCAATGCCATGATGAGTCATATTTATATGGAAGCATCCTCAGGTAGTGTAGATTCAAGTTTGTTCAAATCATGACCCCAGGGGATAGGGTGGGGTCACAATGGAGGATCAATAGTTTTGCATAAGAACATATAGAAAAAATATTTCTTCTCAAGAACAGAAAAGCTATGTTTAGTCATATTGATATGGAAGCATCCTCAGGTAGTGTAGATTCAAGTTTGTTCAAATGATGACCCCTGGGAGGAGCCATAATGGGGGATCAAATTTTTACGAAGGAATATATGGGAAATTTTTTAAAAAATCTTCTCAAGTACAATAAAGCCATATGTTATAATGACATGGAAGCATCATCAGCTGGTTTAAAATTCAAGCCCCCCCCCCCCCCCCCCCCCCCCCCCCCCGTAATCATTTCAATACTGAACTTATTTGTGCTTTTACCTAGCCAATGTGCTCAGGTGAGCGATGTGGCCCATGGGCCTCTTGTTTAATGCATACTTATCCTTTGCATTTGAAATTAAGATACATCTAAAATTATTCTCCAGTATTAAAGTACATTGTATATGCATGTAGACAGATTTGACACACACTTAGAGAAACTGTGTTTATTATTTTTTTTTTATGTGACAGAAAAATTTACCTTTCACATTTTTTTTCTTTAGGAGGGGGCAGAATATGATAGTGCCAGTAACAGTGTTGTTGACGATGCCTTCCCATCCAAACTTTCTGAGGGTACCACTGACAGTCCACTCTCGGGACCCATCATGTCCAACAGCAGTCTGGTGGACATGTCCCCAGACTCTGGGGAGGGAACAGGTAATAAATGCCGTACACAGAGAGGTTATAATGGTCAACCATTCAGAAAGGAAAATTGCTGATTGTAGAAAAACTAGAAATAAGGAATACATTTGATATATTAAATCCATATTTGCTTTAACAGAATGACCAATAACTTGCAGGTATAAACTAGAGAGTGTAAGATGTGTAAATGTGGTGTTAAAAAACAAGCTTAAATCATTTGTTTGAAATATTTTAGCATCATCAGGTTCATTAACCAGTGAAACCTTTGACCATCCCCTCTCTGAACCTTCCCAAGACCTGAACCATGTGGATAGTCCACTCTCTCCAGATAAAACTTATGAACCAGAACTGAATCACACTTCCTTTAAGGGAAAGCTAGGAGACAGAAAACAGGGCGGACATGGTATATGTTTGACCACCAGTGACCAGGATAGAATCAAGATTTTTATGCATGAGTTGTGTGTTAGAGCTCTCATACCATGGGCTGAAAGACAGATGAAGATACTCAATGAACAGGTATAAAACTATAAAGACAAGGGGTTGATATACTTTCAGTTTTGTTAGATACATGTATAATAGAAATATTGTATTAAATTAGATTTAAATGGATTTTCAAAATGCACTTGGAAAAGCGTAATGCATCATAGTCTGTAAAGTACTGTTTTTATCGTACTTTATTTCATGACAAAATGTTTTGTTGTTGAATTACAAGTATATGATTATCCTAATTCTTGACTAGTATCATGTATGAAAATACATGAATATTGATGATATCTGCTAGTATTTGTTGTCATTTTCAGCATGCATCAAGGAAAGGTATTAGCAAGTCTTTGTTTAGTGCTACAAAGCGATGGTTTGGTGGAAACAAACCTACAGGCCAGGTCGCAGCCAACCAGAACACCACTGTTGTGTAAGTTAACCATACACGAAAACTCAAGAGATTTTAACACCTACATTTGTTCATTCAAAAAGGACTGCAAGAATATCCCGACTGTTATTTTCGACATGAAATCAATAAGAAAACTTAGTTTCATTAACTATAAGAGTTTAAAGATTTTTATAATCGTTCAATGCTCCTTACAAGTGGATGTGATGTTGTTCCTCGGATTTGATCATTTTCATTGCTCCTCATAATTAGATTTAACGTTGCTCCTTGTACAATGTATTTGACAGATACTCCAGTGATGCCCCAGAATTACAGATGAGACGTCTAGGTGACATAGCCTTCTTGTTCCAGATGTACGATTTTGCTTATAATACTTACCATGCAGCCAAGCGTGACTTCAATAATGACCATGCTTGGCTTCATTATGCAGGGGCTTTGGTGAGTTAATGAATGGATTAAAATTATCAAGAAAATGCTTTTTTCAGTACAGTTAAACTTCGTTAACTCGAAGTTGACGGGACCGTTGATGAACTTCGAGATATCCGGGGGTTCGACATATCGAGAGTTAAAATTCTAATGAACTTCAAATAAACTTAGTGCAGTGAACATGCACTTAATAGTAGAAACACGTCAAATTCCTTCTTGTTTGAAATTCTGTATACGTTTTCTTTAATATACATGTAATTAGCATTAAAAAGATTTTTACATCCTCTTTATAATTCACAAAATAAAAACCTTGTATAATATGCACAGACGTATAATCCTTCTACCAACCCGGTAAGTCAACCGCTAGCATCGTTTCCCATGTATACATAACCGGATATCGTCTATGCATTGTAAATTTAAAACCGGTTGCTGTCAGAATAACGCAAACGAAATATACATTTTTTTTTATTGGAAAAACATGTTCATACATGTATAATCAGTTAAATAAATTATTTTACCATTATAAAATCAAATGCAAAAGAAGAAACACGCACTTTTGTTTAACTACAGAAGAACACTGAATAACAGGACACTATAGCAAAAGTTTTCACTGCGACACAGGCTCACATGATGGTGTGTACTGACGGTTGTAAATTCTGCGCGCTCATATACACATGTAGGAAAAATAAATTCTAATTGCATAAAATTACAGAATTTTGTTTCACTTTGATGTTTATAATTTTCGCTTTCATATGCATAAACTATGCAAGCGCGCATATAACACATAGCATTAAATAGCGATTATCAAGATTTATAAACGTACCCCAGCCATGAAACAAATAACGTGTCATCCACGCGTATGCATAAGACTAATACACACAACCTTTGGCTTGCATAATTAAAATCAAGGTAAGCCATACATACACCTCATATAATTATCGCGCTATCATTTGTTGATCAGAGGAACACGGGTAACCCGTGCGAGACAGACAGGTGGGTGTTATCAATAGAGCGGTCAGTTTACCTAACGGACTTGATCATCAGAGGGGAAAATTATCCTGACTTCGAGATAACGCATGTGATTTTAATAAATGGGTACACAGTTTTACTTCGAGATAACCGGGGTATTCGACATTACCGTGTTCCACATAGCTGGGTTTATTCTAATCATTTATAAAGCAAATTTCGTCGGGACCGCGGCCTTACTTCGACATATCCGGGGTATTCGAGATATCCGTGTTCGAGATTTCGAAGTTTAGCTGTAATTATTTTTCATTACAAAGTTTGGAAATATAAACATAATTGTAGATAAAGTATTCTTACTACCCAAATGAGACACTTTTTCATTCTTTGTGGTACATATAAACTTTATTATTGATAAAAGGATTTCAGCAAGGAGATATTGCTGGCAGGCTGTTATTTTTTCATTTCTTGAATTCAGGAAATGGCCTGTATATCATTGTTTATGAGTGGAAATCCCCGAGAACAGAAATATCCATTTCATTATATGGAGTCTGCCATTACCACATATCTACAGTCTTGCAAGTAGGTCACACTCTCAAGATTAAAATGTTTAAAATAACAGGATAAATTTATTATTATTTATTTTAGCTGTAATCTTATTAGAGGACATAAGCCTTTGTTTGCCATTTGTTTTTGGCAGTGAAATTATATGTAATACTTGCATTATTATTATGTTTTAGAAATCCATTATATGCAACAAGAGCAACACTAGTTAGTACTGAGGCTCTCAAAAGTAGAAAAATGTATAATGAGGCTGCTCTGCAATTCATAAAGCTTACTAGTGAGGTAAATATTTCAAAGTACCTTGGATTCTTAATTAATCATATATTGTTAATGGATTAACTCTGCAATGCTTTATAGCAGAAGTCAGGAAAATATCTTCATTTATTATCATAAAGTGCAAGATCAGAATGAGTTTTAATTCTTTTAAATCCCTTGAATTTTCCATTTCACTGTTTTGCATGAATTTAACTGACCTACATTGGCTACATATGAGAGAATTGAAAGTAAAGGTAATGATAAAATTTATTTCCCAAATTCTCAGAAAATGATATTTTTGTAGGACTCAGACTTAAGGAGTGCTCTTTTACTGGAACAAGCTGCCCACTGTTACATTAACATGGAGATTCCCAAAGTCAGAAAGTACGCATTCCACATGATTCTGTCTGGTCACCGCTACAGCAAGTCCGGGCAGAGAAAGCATGCTCTGCGGTCCTACTCCCAGGCCCTGCAAGTGTATAAAGGGAAAAACTGGTCATTGGCTGAGGTATGTTTATGTAGATGGATTGATGCAGGTGTCACTTATATGTAGAATTAAAGATCATAGTTTCAGTTACATTTTTGGCTGCTATAATTTCTGGAGATTGATAGCACTATACATGTACATTATGTGTCACTCTGAATTTTAATCTGATGTTCAATTTGAATGCTAGATTGCTGTAAACCACAAACATTATATATGGTACCTTGTAAATACATATTTGTTAATTTCAAGATGAAAATTGTAGAACTGTTTATTGTTGTTGCAGGATCATATAAACTTCACCTTAGGTCGACAGTCCCTTAACTTAAAACAATTAGATAATGCCACTGCTGCTTTCAAGCATTTATTGACAGAGAACAGCAAACAAATTCCTAGTCAACAGAATGCTTTTCTTCGAGAATACCTCTTTGTTTATAAGGTTAGTTTGATTTTTCAGTATTTTTAAAAAGTTCATTCCCAAGTGGAAAACTGGAATACTGGGGTCAGCTATGAATTCTTTATTTTTTTTCAGCAACTTTTAAGTCTAGAGATGTCTAGTTATGGCGGTGTTCACTCCAATACATTACCAGAGCTGCCAATACCTATGCTAGACAATAATGCTACTAAAGTCATTGTAGGCCACAAACCTCAACATAACCAAGGTATGTTAGAAAATAATAGACTTCCATGAACAAGCAATGATCAAAAAAAACATACTGTATTATCTAAAATTAATTTTCTCATGCAGTGGATTCCCTGACTGACAGATATTTTTGGACCTAGCTATTTTGGTTGTCTAAAGTGTTAAGAAATTGTAAACTTTCTTTGATGTTCAAAATCCTACCTTTTTGCTGTCACCTTATAAATACATACAAATTTTTATAACTTTAAAGGTCATTTTTGTGAAACATTGAATGAAAAACACTTATATCTTGGCTTTAGTTGTTATTTTTATACCGCCCGCAAACGAAGTTTAGGGGGGGTATATTGGAATCAGCATGTCCGTCTGTTTGTAGACGAGATTTTGTCCGGACCATTTCTTGGAAACTATTGCAAGGATTTGTCTGAAAATTTGTACACTTATTATTCGCCATATGAAGGTGTGCACCTGGTATTTTCATCATGATTGGATAATTTTTTTGCATTTTACAGGTGTTTTTTTTTTCATTTTTATTATGTGGTTTTGTCCGGATCTGTTCCCAGAGGCTATTGCATAGATTTGTTTGAAAATTTGTACACTTATTATTTACCATATGAAGATGTGCACCTGGTATTTTCAACATTATTTGATAATTTTTCTGCATTTTACAGGTGTTTTTTTTTTTTTTTTTCATTTTTATTGACTTAGTCATTTCGGGTTCATGTCTAAGGTTTGAGACATAGAATCTAGAACATCTGTACAAAAATGTGAACTACAGCTTAAAACTACTCATAAGAACTAAAAAAAAAAATCACAAAATATTAAAAACAGTTTTTACATTACACAGCAGATAGTGTAAATCTATTTGTCCCTTTGGAGTAATGAGTGGACATGCATCCAGTTAAAGATTAATTAATGAGTTCAGTGTGGGAAGCTGTTAGGGCATCTCTGATCAAGCAGGTCTTATCTATATCTCCTGGGAATTGGGCAGAAAGAAATAAAGATCTCTGTTGTCTAAGCCTCTTAATTGTAATTTATGTCTGTCAAAATACATAGTTACTAAAACCAGCCTTTAATTTTTAAAATGAGTTTGATATAAAGGTATTAAGATCAATTTGACTTTGTATAATTAATTATGATATTTTTTTTTAACAATCAATTTGCAGAGTGTCATGTCTCACAAAGATGACAGATAGCTGTGAACTATTTTTTCAATGCAATAAAAAACACTGTAATTATTAGTATTGATGTTTTATTAGGCTGCACATTATAGTTTCATTCATTAAAAAAAAAATATAATGAGTAATTAAATTTTCACTCTAAATGTTTAAGCAAATTGTGAACACCTCTCACATCTAGAAAACATTAGTGATTTGGTACCTTCTCTGAAAAACCCAGCGGGGGGTATTTGTCCCTTTTGGACAGTTCTAGTCATGATTCTTGAAGAAAGTTTGTACCGGTATGTATCGTCTGTCCTTAAGGAAAAAGAAAATGTGCATTGGTTTTAGTTCCTTTTATTGTTAGTGCCCATTAGGTTTCTCTCTGTATATTAATGCTGAATGTTTGTAAATTATTTAAGGTTCGTAAACCCTCTGCTCACTCATATAAAATCTTTAACTCTTATGATTTTCCAAAAGAAATGAATTTTTTTTAAGCAAAATACTAACAACTAGTAGACTAATTGTTCTCGAACAATTAGAGGTCTTTCCACCTTCTTTAAATTTCATATATTTTTCATATTTTACTCTCTACTGTTTATTTTTATACAAGAGAAACCAGAAATGGTTTGAAAAATGGAAAAAGTGAAAATTTTAAAAATTTTGAAATGACCTTGACCTTTGACCTTGAACAAATATTCAAGGTCAAGGGTCAAGGGTCACATTGCAATTAACCCCATGCTTCTACCACTTTTAGTTTTAAAGTTATAAGGTTTAATAGTAAGCACAAACACATTAAAGGGCGATAACTCATATAAGGGGTCATCGGATACTTTCGCACTGAATAGATTGAAGTTGTGTCTAAAGACCCTGAAGACATTAGTGAAGGTTTTGTGTCTCTACGGTTTACGGTTTCGGAGGAGTAGCGATAACAAGGTTTTCAGTAAAAGGGGCAATAACTCTTAAAGGGGTAAATCTTAGGGGACAAGTATGAAATCTTTGAAATGGTTTTAAGAGGACATATTAATGATGCAAAGATATTTAGTATATGTTGAAAGACAAAAGAGATATAAAAAGAGCTTAATTTCTCATATTTTGAATGACCTTGACCTTTGACCTTTGTATATATTTTAAGGTCAAAGGTCAATGAATCTTATGCAGTTGGTCCCATGTCTCTACGACTTATCGTTTTGAAAATTTTTAATTATTCGTAAACATCAAAAACTTTCAGGGGCAATAACTCATAAAAGGGGTCCACGAATACTTTCGCAATGAAAAGATTGAAGAGTCCCCTCAATTAGTCGAAGACATTGGTGAAGGTTCTGTAACTTTACGGTTTATGGTTTCGGAGGAGTAGCGATAACAAGCTTTTATTGCGAAAGAGTTCATAACACTTTGAGGGGTCAAAGTTCATATACGCAGGGTCAACTGCAAAAATCTTTTACGGAGTACATTCTTATGAAGTATAAATCTTTTCGATAGATCTTGAAACTCAAAATCACACGGCGGAAAAATAATAAAAAATAATAATAATAAGAAACAGAAGAATATCAATAGGTCTTTCCACAGAAAGGTGGAAAGACCTAATTATAGCATAGCTTGTGGGGCAAAATTGGACAAAAAAGACGCTTCAACTTGACAAATTTATAAAGGAGTAATAGACATTAATGTCATTAAGAGTTATCTCTCTTATCAGAGTATTGATGAACTTTAAGTATTAATTAAAACATACATTACAGATAAACCAGGACATATAGGATATGATTATACTGAGAGTAATCACCCACGGTGGCAAGCTCTGGAGGAAGCCCTAGTATCATTTGCTAACAATGGAATTCTTCCCGTGACCCATAGACCAACCATCCAGTGTTTCACCAACAAAACTGACAACAGGTTCAATCCAGTGGCATATGTGGGAGGTATGAGCTAGATCTCCTATTTTCACAATTGTAGAATGAACAAAGAACATGAAAAGCAAGGTGTTTGGTTCAGATCTATTCCAACAGTATTGCCTTTCATTGGGGGTGGGGGTTAACACTGGGAAAGAAACTCACTTAAATTAATTGTTATGTGAAAGATGTTTATGTACCATTGTATGTCTACATATATGTAAGTAACAAGAATAGTGGGTCATTATGAATTGTAATTAAATATAAGTCATTACATGCCTTTATTCAGAACCTGTCACAGTGGAGCTGTACTTGGTGAACCCTTTAAAGGTTGTGCTGGTGCTGACGGAGGTCACGCTTCTCTGGAGTTTCCTCCCCTCCATTCCTGGCCAGGACAAACCTCAGCTCATCACCAATGAAGTCTTTTCTTCTGTGAAGGTAATGCATTAGGGAAATCATTTTGTTTTTGTTAAATGCAGTAGAATTTTCTCTTTATTCTGCTTAACTTGGTGTACTTGAATTTCAACAGGTTATATTTTATACATTGTTGTACTGATAGCTATTATTTACTTTTTACAGAATACCCTTGCCAATGAAATCATCCACACACAAGTTATAGATGAGATAGTTTTACCAGGAAGTGAGAGATCTCCTGTAAGAAAACATTTACCTCAAACAGATTATTTATATATACAGGTAACTCTTGATGGCTCGAACTTCGATCTCTCGAAGTTCTTGATCGCTCGAAGTGAGTCTCCGGTCCCGAATTTTTCCACTATATAACTAAGCAAATTTACTCTTGATTTCTCGAACTCTTGATCTCTCGAAACCCTTGATCCCTCGAAGTCAAAATGCAGTCCCGCTATGCATATTCTATTAGAATTTACCCTCGATACCTCGAAGTGGCTATGTGTATACAAGATTATATAATTAGCACCTTTACCTGGACATTTAAATGGCCCCAGGCAGAAGACGCGGGTCTCGAGGAACAGGATGTTTATTCAGGTGACACTTATGCTGCAAGGTGATGATTGATTTATAATGAATCATATTTTGCCTATATGCTATTAAAATAATTATCATCGACTGTCTTACGATTATTTAGAGACGCAGTGCCTTTGAAAAGTGGTAATTTATTAAAAGACAAAACACTAATTTGATTTTTATTTCGAGTCAGTGTCAAAGTTAAACGAAATATGAAAAAAGCAGAAACAGCCTCAATGTCGATATGACGACTAGTATTGGACAAATACTTACAGAACTGCGTTCAATGGTCATGTTTGGAATAGTCAATGCTATGTACGACGCTGTAAAATGTCGTTTTCATGTAACGAATGCGTAGTATGATGTCCGTATTACAAAGAATAAATAAATATACATGATATGACGATATACATTTTGCTTTACTCAGTTTAATGAAATACGAAAAAAATATCGTTGTTTTATAAAAACCACGTGTAAAAGGTTAGCACTGCATGAAAATCATTACATCCGGTAAGACTAATTTTAAAACCTGCAACAAACCCGGAAAATTCCGGACTCTTGAAAACTCGAACTCTTGATCTCTCGAAGTTTTTCCTCGGTCCCGCGGACTTCGAGGTTTCGAGAGTTACCTGTATGTATTCTGAGATGTTCTGGATCAAAACCTCAAATGAAAAATAAGTTTAATACATGTAATGACCACGTCCTATTAAGCACTCTTAAAAAATAAAATTATTGTACGTACCATCGGTTATCTAACTGTAAAGCAGCTTTCTTCTGAAGGAAAACTTAATATGGTACTTTGGTTACACAGGTGCAGTTTACCTTGACCCCACATCAGACGGGAGAATTGAGGATTGTGGGTATTTGTTACAATCTCTCGAGTTCCCTAACAGATGACAGGAACATCAAACCCTCCCCAGCCAACACTGTGTACGTCAGGGGGAAACAGAGGCTGGATGTCCAGGGGCCAAGGCTAAACAACACAAAAGAGGAAAAATCCAGCAAGGTTTATGGACCTGATCGTCGACTGGATCTTGTCATACAGCCAGAAATGCCTCAGTTGCAGGTTAGGAGTTGAACCATTTGCTTGTGAATTAATGAAATCACAATGGGACAAGTTAAAGTTATTTTAAGGACTCTTTTTTGCATTAAAGGCTTGTCCAAATATTGAATCTTACTACATGTAGCTTGCATAATACAAGGAAAATTTTAAGAATTACATGTTCCACTATTTTAACATGTGCATAGAGACAAAAGATATTACATGACATTGTGTATTCTTCATTACTTTCTCTGATCTGAAGAAAAGTTGTGCATTTGAAATTGTAATTATTATACAAGTTAAAGAAGTTGATTTCAGTGAAAATTCATTTCATATTTTGTATCTTCATTTTAGGTTTCTTTCTGCAATTTCCCAAAGAGTTTACTCTGTGGAGAGGTACATGCTGTAATGCTACAGTTTACAAACATAGGAACAAGTCCATTACATAAACTAAAACTAGCCTCCTCTACCCCCGAGTTCATAACATTGGGGGATCACGGAGAGTTACCCAAGTTTCCTTGTGTTTATCAAACTAAGAATGAAGTGCCAAGTGAAGAGACAAAGTGTTATTGTAATACAAAGGACAAAGTGTGCAATGTGATGGACATTCCACTGCCTAACCGGACACTTCAGCCCAAGAGCACCGTGTCGGTGCCCGCTTGGGTCAGGGGGAATGATATTGGGGGAGTGCACGATGTGCATTTTATGTTTTATTATGAACCTGTGACCAAATCTCCAAGAGCCAGGTAAGATAATACTCATTTTCTATTGGTTGATTTTAAAAAAGAAAGGGCAACCAATCAAGACAACTGTAACAAGATATAAGGATTAGTCTACAATAGTTAAAAGTCCACATTTTTCTTTATAAGACCAGATTTTGAGATAATTTGCCTGTAATAATGAAAAGTCTTGATATTCATATGCTTGATTGTATCATTTTTTTTTCACAGGCACAGATTGCAGAGGCACACAGCTGTTATAAACACCCTAGAGTCTTTAAGTGTTCGATCAGTGGCTCACAGAGCAAACAGTGTTCACCAGTCCTCATCTTCCCAGGCTAGCTGTATCCTCTCCTGTGAAATGGAAAATATTAGCCAGGTAGGGGCATATTGTTGTATTTAAACCATGTGAATATTTTCTTCAAGGGCAAGAATTCATTCTTAGGCTACACAACTCACATGTATAGAATGAAAGGATATGTTAACTTTTTCAGATGCGAAAATTTAATTTTTAGATAAACAGTGAAAAATATTCAATTCAGTTTTGTTTCCTGGCCTATGACATACATGTACATTGCTCTTAATGTTATTCCATGCATTTGTGAAAGAATTGTCATTTATACACCGGATGAACTTCTTTCAGGTACAGGCCAATAGGGCTTACGTTAAAGAGATCCAAGTGAATCAGGTCTCCTGTGCCAGTGACCTCTGGTCAATACAGTACCTCAGCTCTCAGGACAAACCAGGTATTCATCTGCCACAAGATCCTAATTTAAAATTTCATGTATACTGTGGAATCATTTTAATTCTTGGGTGTCGGTGTTGGTGTACCAACAAAATTTTACTGGTTTGTGGGTACATGATTTTTTCGGGTAATTCTTACATACAGAAAATTCAGTGAACCTGTATGTTGACTAATTTATAATTTCATGGGGATGTAAATTCTTTGATAATCATAACCAAGTGAACATTGGTCCTCCACAAACAAGGATGATTTCACAGTATCTGTAGAAACTTAACAGACTGAAGCTCAGGGGTAGTAAACTTCTGTGTGGATTTGGCAGCTTTTGTGAAAACTGTCAAACGGGCTTTAATTTGAACAAAATTTTACTTTAGACTCTGTATAATTTTTCATGTATACTATATTATTTATAAGATAAAATGCCATTTGATATAAACTCTTGAATTTTCAGAAATTATAATTGGATGCAGGGAGACCATGCATTTATGTCTGAAAGCAACAAAAAGTGCAAATAACTTAGGTAAGTAAAAGTTACATGTACCTCCCACCATGTAAAGTTTAATAATATGTAAAGGATTTTTTGAACATTATCTCTGTACTTTCTTTTTAGATTCCATGTTAGGTAAAGAATCTGTGATATTTAGTGATGTTTCCTTCTCTGATCAGCAAGTAAGTGAATTGAGACCTTTAAATTATCGTAAGTAAAATAAACTTCATCTTTAAGCCATATTCTGAAAGGGGGCTTTCTTATACATGTACATGGAGGGTACATGTTTAACATGATAGTTCATTGTTCCTGTTTTTTTTTAACTGTAAGCACCTTAATAAGGATTGTGATCTTTATTTATGTATGTATATCTGACATCTCATCTCAAGAATAGGTCTTTGTTAAAAAAAGTCAATATTATCAGTACTGTGAAGCATCCTATTATTACTCCACCACACCCCAAATATTCATTTATCCTTATTCTAAACACATATGATTTAATTTTCATAACCTACATGTGTTTCTACTCTTAGGCTGAGTAAAGAAAAATATTAATTGGTGTGAAACATTAATTCATAAATCATCGAAGGAAAGTGACAAATCTTGACATTTGTATATTCTTCCTGATATAGATTTTCATAGTTTGTACATAAAGATGTGTTAAATGAATTTGATGAAATTGTGAACAACTGGAATAAAGATTGCACTACTGTTGTACAGTATATGTTTAATACTCATTTATCTTTGTTAAATTTATATGTGGGTTCTAATGGGCAATATGGAACTGAATTTTGATTTTTTTGTTGATGAACAATTCTTTTTTTCCAGATAAGTAGTGCTACAACACCATGTGCAGATTTTTTTCTGAGGTCAAGGTCACAAAGTGACTCAGAAAGTTCTGCCCCGACTGAGACAGTGTCCAAATCACGAGAAAAAGATTTCCGTGACTTGAACTGTGCCATCCAGCTAGGAATGACATTGATCATCCTCTGGAAGGTAAAGACTGACTTTATAAAACATTCATCTCAGTGCTAAAAGGCATGGATTTTCCAGAACAGAATCAATTATATAATCATATGACTAAAAAAAAAATGAAAGACTTTAGAATTACAGTTATTAAACTAGAAACCTACCACTTTGATGCATAAACAAACAAACTAAAAGGAAATTTTAAAAGCTGCTTAAGGTGAAAATTTTTTCAGTGAAACTTTTGTTTTAGGTACAGTGTATTGCAAAATCCATTTTTTTTCTGTATAAGGTGGTGTTTAAATGTGTACAGCAGGTGGTTTAGTTTCTGATATGTATTTGTTGAACTTTTTCAGGCCTGTGTGATATCAGAGGATGGTGAACTACAAATTAAAGTTGGACAACACCATGTGATTATTAAGAAGATTGACACCATCTTTACTTCTTATCCTTTCTTTATTGTAAGTAAAAATTTTATCTAATGTAAAAAAAAATACACTTACGCATACATTTACCAGATTTTAAGCTTTATTATGATGTGGTAAGTAAAGAGCTATATGCGGTATATGCACATTTTTGCCCCCACAAAAGTCTAGTTTTGAAAATGTCTTGAAATATGCTGAATTGTATATATTGTATGAAAATCAGCATTAACAAAAAATATTACAGTTTTGAAGTAGGTTATTGGCAATTTTTGTTTCATAGACATCATAAACTATTCGGAATTTTTTGTTATTTTTTAGAAAGGGGAAAAAATGGACAAAATTTGTTCATTTTTTACAATAAAATTTGTAGAGTGCAGACCTGCTCCATAATAATATTCACATGTTTCATTGATTTTATCATTCTACACATTATGTCAAAACATTGAGTTGGAGCAGACCTGCGCTCACTGACTTTTACTCAAAATATCCACATAATATACACCTTTTTCTCTATAAATCTTGGAAATTTTGAATTTATGTCATTTTCCTGGCATTATATCTAACATATAGCAACATGGCTAATGAAAATATTTAATGCTTTGAAGTCTGCAGATATCTATCTGTTTTAGAACATAATTATATATTTCTCCGTCATATTTAAATTTGGGGGCAAATATTGGTCATAACCGAATATAGTCCTTTCTCAAAGTTGAAATGTAAAATATGTACGTGTGGAAATTACGATTCATACTTTCATAAATTTAGATTCCCACTGAGAAACCTCCAATTCGCTTTACGAGAAGTCGAGATGAGCAGGAAAACATAAGACCAGAGTCCGAGGTCACCACACAACTGGTGGATATAAACTTTAATCACCAGGCTCAAGTACCACACAACTTCCAAAACAACAGGTTTAGTTTTGTTTAGATAATTTTGAATGCTCTGTGATTTATCATAATGCATTTCTCATGATTATATATTCTTTACCAGCATGAACGTTTTGCATTCTGTTACCTGTTTTTTTGTTTTGAATAATCTGAACATGTACATATATGAGTCACATTGTTCTACAAACAACCATATACATGTACATTGCACTGAAAAATTTAATTGTGCCATCTGTCTATAAAAATGCTGCTGTAAATTCTGCATTTTCAAAATCACACATATATTGTCCCCTACTACAGTTGAACTTTAGTATCTTGAACACTGATATCTCGAATGGATATGTGGAAATTAGTTGCAAGTCCCAACCATATTTTTTTTATGTATTTTAACTTCAGTATTTCAAATCCCCTGATATCTCAATATCTTGAATCCTCTGATATCTTGAAGTTTTTTATTGGTCCACAAATGTTTGAGATAATGAGATTTGACTTTATATATACATGTATGGAAATTAATTTTAAAGCTGTTTTAATCAAGCATATTGATTGTAATGTTGAAGAAATTTAAATTTCGAAGGAAATAATGTACCTTTTGTGCAGTATGTCATATTCTATGGCTTGTACTGAAATTTCACTCATTTGTAAATTAGCACTTTCCACCATTTTAAGTATTGTTCTCTTGTTGTATTATAGAATAGCCATTGTACCTGTTACCCTGCTGTTGAGGAATTGTACGAAAGCTTCAGTAGAGATTTTAGTGGACACCAGTAAATCACCTGATAGGTAAATGTTTTAGAGACCATTTGGTAGTTTGGCTTTCATATACTGCGAGTATATGCTCTTTGATCAAAGAGATACAACTATGGACATGAAGCAACCTTTTTTTTTAGCAAAAATTCTAAAATTAATGTTAAGTTTTGTTCATGAGTTTTATAATATGTTATATTAATAATACATTAATACATGTATTCTACAGGCTCAATAACAGACCAGAAGAAAAATATGTTGTTCCCGAGGTTCAACATCTAACAAGTTTTAGTTGGGTGTCGCAGACTTTGACAAAATTAAGCTTGGATCCCAGTCAGCAACGAACTGTTCACATGACTGCATGTTTTAGTAAGCCAGGTATCTACAATGTCAACAGACTGGCAGTGTTTGTAACGCACAACAAGGACACTCCAGAAATGGTCCTTCAGAGGCATGCAGCCCCCAGTGTCATCGTCATTCAGGATGTTTCTTCAGAATGAGGGAACATTGCACCCTTTCACCCTCCCGTTCAACAAGTGTTTTTTTTCATTTAAGATGTTTATATGGAATGTGTATTCTTCAACATTCACAATACAGAAGATCAAATAATCCAGAACACTAGTCAAACTAAATTCAAGGCTATTGATGGCTGAAGGAGTTTGGTCAATTAGTGTCGGTATGTTGTTTATCGCAATCGTGAAAATAAAGGGGAACCAGTTTAACACATGTTGGGAACCAGGATGGTCATGTGACCAGTAATGTATGATGTGTTTTCTGATGTGTATTCTAGTCTCTTTTGTTAAGTTTTCACTAAACTTTGAAACATTTAACACTGACTTACAGTGTTTTATTTCCATAAAATTGCTACTTCTTGCTGTACATGCAGCCAAAAGACTCATGCTTGCTCATTTAATACTTTTCATAGCTACATGTATTAAATTTTTGTTTGCCATTATCAAAAATATTTATGCAAGACAAAGTAGTTGTATGTTAGCATTGGTACAGTATGGGTTGTACTAAAATGTTGTTTTTTGTTGATTTTGATTGCTATGTGGTGGATGTACTCGGTCATAATGTAAAATGAATGGATACCCTCTTGCATTCCAGATCATTAGCATGAACATGTGTAAATCAGTATGCATGGAAGTTGTTTCGGTGAAATAGACATTCCAAATTAAGTGCTAGGAACAAAATAAATTGATAATATTGAAAATCTAAACACTGCACTAAAATCGGTCATTTTTTATCCCTCAGATAACTTAACCATGTACTTTGAAAACTTTTGAAATATTTTGAAGATTCCAGAATTGTCAGAAGCAAAGACTGTTAATTGACAGGTACATATTTTTTTCTTTTATAATTAAATCTAAGTATTAGTTATACAATACATGCAAATAATTACTACAAGTTTTTGGTGTTGTTTGAGCCACAGTCACGATTGTAATGGATTTTCCTTACAGTGGAATGCATATACTAGCTTAGATCTAATCAAGGTGTTAAAAATCTTTGTAATATCTCTAGTTTCATAACTATTCTAATTTTATGGAAATTCAGATGTGTACAAGTGATTCTTAAAGGTTTGGTAAAAATGGCTTACTATACGTTACAATACAAAGTACTTACTAGAAATTCTAACAAATTTCAAGTTTTACTTAGAAGTCATTGCACCATATCTTTCACATCAGCAAAACAGTTTTGCTCTGTGATCAAATATCCAGAGTATCTTTTTTTGCTTATTATTTGTTTGCAAAGATTGATGATTAATTAATCTTGCCTTTATTTTGAGGTAGTCCACATAGATATAGGCAGTATAATACAAGGGAGTCGCTATTATGTGTGAATTACTACATGTATATAGTAACTTGGATGAGATTTAACTGTTAGTGAGAGGTAATAGTGTTCACTGCTGCTGTGAATTTTGTTTATTTATTAAAAATCCAATGGATTGTGACCATTATTGCCATGTTAATTATTAATGTCTGTGATTACAATCATTTCCGATATTAAATGGACATAACTTTGCTTTTATGGATGTTTTATTTTTTTCTAGAGGGGGTTGGGCAAGGTGCGGTCTTTTGAAAAAATATCGGTGTATCAATAAAGAAAGTAAAACCCACATGATAAAGATAATTGTCCAATGAATGGAGTAAAAGTCATAAATATAATACAAATTTTCTTGAAGGTTGCAGTGAATTTTAAGAAAGTTATGAGCACTGCTCACTGCATAAGGGGGAAAATAGAAATTTACAATAAGTGAACTTTTTTTGAAATTCATTAAAATTTCTTAACATTAGTCCAAGATAGATCAGTTGAAGACATTATTTGCATGTATTTTCCCGATGTAAGTAAAGTGATTTCTGTTTTCTAACACAATATGGCAGATACCCTACGTTGAAGACGAAATAAACTAGACGTACCGTTAGCATTGAGCTCAGAAAATGACACACATAGAAGTATAATGGCAAAGTCCATTTCTTGTTTAGGAGGAGTTGCATCAACAAAATGGGTACCCCTTCAGCGGTTATAATGGCAAAGTCGTGTTTTGAAATGGAAAACCTATATCTGTCCGATCGAAACGTAAAGTCGGAGATGCACAATGGCGTAATGAAAGAGTAAGATTATGTGAAATTCGCAGCAAATTTCATTTAGTGGTATAGGAGGAGTTGCGGATGAGAAATGGGTACCCCCAATATTACACTTATATAGAAAGGATGACAGTGTCCATGTTTTGCTGAGGAAAATCCCAAATATGTGTCGGATCGAAACGTACAATTCAGAGATGCACAGTGCCACTATATAATAAAGATTTTATGAAAGTGTCATTAGAGCGCGTTCAGCGGTGTTAGAGGATTTGCGGATAAGTGATGACTTTCCCAAAGTCAGTCTGATTAAAATCAAACCTTTACTAGCTCCTTTTTATTTTGATTGTCTCGTCCCAAAGTGTAACGGACGGAAGGACGTACGGACGGACACCCCCATTACTAAATACCCCCCTCCACTCGCTTTTCAAGCGGGGGTATAATAAAATCAATATAAAATTGATACGTACACCTACAATTTTCTCGAGGTCCCAAAAATATTTTCCGCATTAGTCTTTAGAGCTTCTTAAGTAGAGCGGCTGCGAACGCTTTTCTCTTCAATTTTCTTTTCAAGCAGAATGAAACTTTTATAAAAGACCGTAATAAAAACTCCAGATTTACTAATCTGACAATGAAGAAGATATTGCTGTAAACAAGAGAGAGGAAGTAGCATTTTTCCTTGTGATATAATGTTTGCTACCAGTTTCATGGTAACATTATAGGGAAATACCTATGAAGTATTTGATACAAGAGAGAAATGCATCTACCGATTCCAAATCGCCCCGCTTAAAAAACAAGCAAATTCAAGGAATTGTTGTCCCCCGCTTTCGGTGTCATAGTGGCTAGAATGCAATTATTTATGGCATATTGCTTGTTTTGCCTGCCTTGTCTGTGCATCATACAAAAAGACATACATTATTGAATTAATAACAGTCATGGCAAAGATAAAAGCTCCTCAAAACTACATCAAACTTCAAGATGAAGGTCATGAGGTCAACTATCATAATACAATGCAAAAGATCTTGTCATAAGTAATGCACGTGAAAAATATATGAAAGCCTTATCTCTTCTGGAGCAATAATTATGGCCAAAATAAAGATTTTTGATAAGTAGGTCAAAATTCTAGGTCAAGGTCATGAAGTCAAAAATGATATATCTTTCTGAAAGTTGTTGTCATAGGTAATGTACATCTTAATGCCCTATCTTCTCTCATTCAAAAGTTATGACCAATGTAAAATTAATTTGAAACAAGAGGCCCATGGGCCAAAATGCTCACCTGAGTATTCTTTGGCCCTGCGGTTTTCACCAGACTTTGCCCCCTTGTAATACCTTTTGTGGCCCCACCCTAACCCCAGGGTCATGATTTTTAGCTCTTCTGAGCCAAAGGCTCAAAGAGCTAATGCTATGGCCATTTGTGCGGTGTACGCAAACTTTTTAGAATATGGGCTAAAACTCAAGAACCCCTCGGCCAATTATTGTCAAATTTGTCACAGGGTATCCTTGGCCCAAGGGCTCCCGTTTATACTAAAACAAGGGATGTAACCCTTTAACAAGGGGAGATAATTAGAAAAAAAGAAACAAAAGTACTGGTTGCTAAAAAATCTTCTTCTCAAGAACCACTGGGCAGATTATCACCAAACTTACACAAAAGGATGAGGATATGTTGTAGATAAAAATTGTTCAAGGCATCACCCAGGGGCAAAGGGTGTGGTCTCAAGGTCACTTCAAAGTTGACCAAAACTTACATTTTATTAAAATGTTGATATTTTGCTTACTATAAGGACTAGGATCATCAAATCTTGTCAGTTGATGCATCTAAGGACGTCATATCATGTTGACTCAAAAGTAGGTCACGGTGACCTACTTTTTAAATTTTGCGGCCATTTTTTCCAAAATGATTAAGAGGCATATTTTGAACAATTTAAGGCCTATGATCATCAAACTTTGTTAGTTGATGTATCTTGGGTCCTCAGAGTACGTCGACTAAAAAGTAGGTCACCTTGACCTACATTTTGAATTTGATGGCTAATCTTTTTCAAAACAATTAAGGTCATTAATTCGAATAATGAGAGGTTTAGAATCATTAAATCTTGTAAGTTGATGCATCTTGGGGCCATAAAACATATTTATTAAAAAGTAGGTCACCGTGACCTACTTTTTGAACTTTGCAGGCATTCGATTTCAAAGCGTTTTAGAAGCATAATTTGGACATTTTAAGGCCTATGATCATAAAACTTAGTAAGTTGTTGCATCTTGGGTCCTCGAAAAACGTCAACTGAAAAGTAGGTCACCGTGACCTACTTTTCAATTTATATGACTATAATTAAATATTTCGGGTACTAATTGGCTTAGAATCATCAAACTTTGCCAGTTGATGCATCTTGGGTCTTCGGAGTAGGTCGACTGAAAAGTAGGTCACCATGACCTACGTTTGAAAATTTATGACTTTAATTAAATATTTTGGGTATTAATTGGCTTAGAATCATCAAACTTTGTCAGTTGATGCATCTTGGGTCCTCGGAGTAGGTCGACTGAAAAGTAGGTTACTCTGACCTACTTTTGAAAATTTAAGGCTTTAATTAAATATTTCAGGCACTAGATGGCTTAGAATCATCAAACTTTGTCAGTTGATGCATCTTGGGTCCTCGGAGTACAACAACTGAAAAGTAGGTCACTCTGACCTACTTTCGAAATTTTATGGCTGTATTTAATATTTTTTTCAGGTACTATTTGGCTTAGAATCATCAAAATTTGTCAGTTGATGCATCTTGGGTTCTCGGAGTAGGTCGACTGAAAAGTAGGTCACCCTGACCTACTTTTCAATTTATATGACAATAATTAAATATTTTGGGTACTAATTAGCTTAGAATCATCAAACTTTTTCAGTTAATGCATCTTAGGTCTTCGGAGTCGACTGAAAACTAGGTCACCATGACCTACTTTTGAAAAGTTATGGCTTTAATTAAATATTTCAAGTACTATTTGGCTTAGAATCATCAAAATTTGTCAGTTGATATATCTTGGGTCCTCGGAGTAGGTCGACTGAAAAGTAGGTCACCCTGACCTACTTTTCATTTTATATGACTATAATTAAATATTTCGGGTACTAATTGGCTTAGAATCATCAAACTTTGTCAGTTGATGCATCTTGGGTTCGCAGAGTTAGTCGACTGATTTGGAGGTCACTGTGACCTATTTTTGAAATTTTATGGCTTTATTTAAATATATCAAGTACTTATTGGCTTAGAATCATCAAACTTTGTCAGTTGATGCATCTTGGGTCCTCAGAGAATTACAAGTGATAAGTAGGTCACCATGACCTACTCCCAGGTACTAATTGGCTTAGAATCATCCTGGGTTCTCAGGGTGTTTTATTTAAAATGCAGATCATGATGACCTACCTTTGGAATTTCAAGGCTATATCTAAATATACAGGATACTTAGAGGCTTCAAATAGAAGTGATAGGTTGTACAGTTTATCAGAAGAGCGATTCAAGGCCCTTGGGCCTCTTGTAACAATTTAGAAACTACACTACCAAAGGATACATAAGTTTCAGCATTTCTAGCCCATTGGTTCTTGAGAAGATTTTAAAAGATTTTTCCTAATGTATTTCAATGTAAAACTTGGATTCCCTATTGTGGCCCCGCCCTACCCCCGGAGGTCATGATTTTAACAATTTAGAATCTGCACTACCCCAAGATGCTTCCACATAAGTTTCAGCTTTTCTGGCCCAGTGGTTCTTGAGAAGAAGATTTTTTCTATATATTTCAATGTAAATCTTGGATTCCCTATTGTGTCCCCGCCCTACCCCCGGGGGTTATGATTTTTACAATTAAGAATTTACACTACCCCAAGATGCTTCTATATAAGTTTAAGTTTTTCTGGCCCAGTGGTTCTTGAGAAGATTTTTTAATGGCCCCACCCTAGTTTTGTCTTTTCTTGATTATCTCCCCTTGTAAGGGGGTTTGGCCCTTCATTTTAACAATTTAAACTCCCCTTCACCCAAGGATGCTTTGTACTAATTTTGGTTAAAATTGGCCCAGTGGTTCTTGAGAAGAAGTTGAAAATGTGAAAAGTTTACAGACGGACGGACAGCTAGACGGACGGACGACGGACAATGGGTGATCAGAAAAGCTCACTTGAGGCTTTAGGTAAGTTGAACTTTATTCACGTGTCGCTGATTTCGACTTTCATCCTCTTAAGCCACCAAATCACCCCACACTCTGTGAGTAATGATTTTTGTCAATATAAGCGCACACAGCCTCCCATAAATAGATTTCCAATCCCTCCTTTATAGATCGTTTGCTGGAACGGGTCGTCAATTTTTCAATTTTCGAACATAATGAACTTATGGTCTTCTGCAGATTGCACAGTTGTTGAAGGTATCGTCAATACAAATGAAATTATGAGTACATTTTTCTGCAATTCTTCACAAAAGTAACACTTCATTTTTAGCAATTGTTTTATATTTAAGAGGCTCAAAACACTACTCACTGTAGAGGTTAAATTCCGTGGTAGTTCATATGCAGTTAGACTAATGTGCACTTTGATGTAAAATAAACGGAAATCTACTGTGAACGACACAATTAGGAATAGATTAAGGTATTCTTAACATCATATTAAACAAAGGTATATATTTTCCAATGTAAGTAAACAACAATATGATTTCTGTTTACAAAATTTTATTTCTTTGAACATTTTTCATGGAAAAATGAGTGAATTAAAAAAATGACCAGACAATATTTATCAACCTGCACTAAAAATACAGGCAATTAGAATGAAGTTCTGTCTTTTGATATTATCTTAATACTTGCCAAATATCTCAAGTCACAAAAAAGTCATGCCCAAAAATGATGCATTTAAAATGTCAGGAGTGCAACATCCCAACTGACTTATAACAGATTATCGCAATGTCAGAGACTGTATAATTTGGAGACTGGGAAGGGGAGGGGGCTTTACAGCTGTGACTGAAAATCAACAAATTGTTCTGTTTTCCATATTTTTTTTTTGCATCAAACTTTGAGATAAATATTGGATAAGATTTAATACATGTCTGCAGATCAAGTTAGATACTGTTAAATCAGGCAGAGTTCCTATATTTAGTATGGAAGAGGAGTCAAGACTGGCAGACCACATTAAAGAAATGGCTCAGTTTGGCTATGGGTATACTGTGGTTTCATCATTATTCGTTGAACACCAATTTTCGTGGATTTCGTTGTTGAGTCGATCCACGGAATCAGATGTTCATCGAAGTTTGGTGCCTCCAATTTGATTTATGATAAACCTTTGAAAAGCTTATTTCGATTTTCCTTAATAAATACGACCCCCCCCCTTTTCCCTCAACAATTTGACTCTATAAACGTATTTTATCATTTTAAGAATATTTAAGAAAAAAATAAGAAATACTATAAGATAATTATCTTGCAGTTTTGAGTCAAGATGTTTAAATATTCTGCACGCAGATAAACAAACAACACGTAGATATGTCAACGCGGTGTATATACCAATCAACGGTGTTACCCCCAAAAGGATGATAATCAGGTGTAAATAATATGTAAAATTTGTTATTCTCAAAAATTCTAACGGTCCAATATGAATTATCAACTGCACAATAAGAACGGGTACATGTATATTGCAGAAGTCCTGCCATTTCGCAGACGGTATTTGGAATTCCTCGCCCTTTATTGTTATACCATGTATACTACATTGTAAACGATTGAAGATTTTTTAAAATACAGATGAGTAAGACATAAATAATAAATTAAGAGTTTTCACCTTTTATTATTTGCTTTTAAATATTAACGTACTCTTAACATTGTAAATGTCGTGAAGGTTCCCGCTGAAGCAAATGGAGAGAGAAAAAATGAAAAGGTGACAATTTTTTTGTACGACCATTATCGACGAATTTACATATCCTCGAAACTGTGATTTTTACTAAATCCATGAAAATTTATGCCCACGAATATTAATGAAACCACAGTACCAGGAAAGAAGTTGTGAACCTGGCTAATGATTTTGTAAGAAGTTTGGGGAAACGTAACAGAGATAACCCACTGACTCTGAGGTGGTACCAGGGATTCATGTCCAGGTGGGAGGAACTTCGTGTAGTAAAGCCAAGAGCCATGGAGATTCAGAGAGCAAAAGCAGGTAACAAAGAGACAGTAACTTCTTACTTCAAAGAACTGCAGGAAGTCATACATAAAAACAATCTTCAGGATAAGCCCCATTTGATATTCAATGTTGACGAAAAGGGGATTCAGCAACATCATTCCCCACCAGCAGTAGTTGCTGGACGACACCTTATTGTCCAAGAAGTAATGTCCCAAAAGTCATCCACCACCACAATTTTAGGATGTGGAAGCGCTGCGGGTACAGCAATTCCACCATACTTTGTTTTTGCAGGAGCAAGAATGCTCCCAGAGTTTTTGACCGGAAAGTCTCCTGGGGCAGATGGTACGGTATCAGAGACTGGATGGTCTAATTCAACTATATTTCGAAAATATCTAGAGGAGCACTTTCTTAAGTATGCACAAGGAAGGGGAGGAGAACCTATCCTTTTACTTCTAGATGGCCACAAATCACATGTCTCAGTAGGTTTGGTTGACTGGGCGAGGCAACACAACATCATCCTATTTATTCTACCTGCCCATACCAGTCATTTTTTGCAGCCTCTGGATGTTGGATGTTATGGGCCCTTCCACAGGATCTACAACAATGAATGTTACAAACAAACCAGGGCTTTGTCTTCTGTCATCTCTAAGTATGACATATGTTCAATTGCATGTAGATCATATACAAAAGCACTTACTGTGGAAAATCTACAGGCAGCTTTTAGAAAAACAGGAATTTATCCTTTAAATGAGAATGCAGTCAACAGGGATTATCTTCTTCCTTCTCAAGCATTCCAACTTCAGCAAGATGAAATCCAGTCCCAAGAAGTGCAGACTACTGAAGATGGAGACAGCGGGCGCATTCCCCTCACACAGGGCCAAGATACACCAACTATATATGGCAGGGGACTTTTTCAGTGACAAAATTGAAAACTTAAAGAAGATAAAATCTGAGAAAAAGGTGAAGAGCAGAAACACCTTATCAAAAATATTAAACTTCAGGTCACTGTATAACCGAGGAAGAAGTTCATAACAGATCGTAGAACACCAAGAACCTACATGTCCAAAGAAACGTAAGTCATGTCCAAGTAAGAAACAAAACAAAAGAAAAGTATCCAAGAAAGTTGATACTGACTCACAAGAAGCTGGACCCAGTACATCTGGTAACCGTAACAGTGATACAAGAACTGTTCTAACAGATTCAGATACAGATGAAGAGGAGATATCAGAGAAAGATAAATGCTGTGTGTGTAAACAGTTTACACCGGATGAAGTGAGAAAGAGTGTATTCATTTCATTTGCCAAGTGGGTACAGTGTGACAGGTGTTTCCACTGGGTTCACTTAGGAGACTGTGCTGGGAGACGGGTTATCAGGAGAGGGGATGACTTTTTATGCCCACACTGTAAATAAAAAAAATCTGAAATGTAAAAACATTAATTTAACTTTTTATGAAATTTTGAATTGTGCATTTATTGATCTATTTAATCTACTTTGCTGATGCATTATTCATCAAGTTTGTCTAAAATACACCAGTGTAAGCTTTATTTACCTCTTTGATTTTTTCCCCATACAAGTTTTCTTGAAAAGTAACGAGAAACATATCATACAGTAGGCATGGCCTTATCAAATTCCAGAGGAACGAAAATACGGTATGACGTCAATTAGTAAATATATTATATGTCACAGGGTCAGGGTCTTGTTTTATTCAGTGAAAACAAAACTGGTTCGGTCTTCAATTATTTAATTATGGATACAGAAAAAAAAACCTAGAAAATAGAAAAACACACTCACAACACTCATACAAAACAAAAGACAAAGACAAACACGAAACATAAAGACATTTAAACGTTAACGAAAAGTAAGGGTAATTAAGATATTAATACGACTGCCAGAAGATCGTTACCTATATTTAACAAGTAAATGAATTACAAGATTAATGAACATCTTACCAGGCATCCAGTATTAAAATCAGGAATAAATAATACACATCGATTGAATCGATCTAAGGCATAACAAATCGTTACGTTATCTCTCACCGTAAAGGCACAAAAGCTTGGGGTGGGGAATTTGGCGGGTTTCCTACTTTATATAGTGCACGAGTTAGTAAAAACATGCATATAAATTAGTATAGTGAAATCCATTGGTCCATGGTAGGTCACTGGTCAGTCATACGTATAGGAATGCTAAAAATAGAAATTCACCTGTACAAAACAAAACACTCGCACATGGCTCTCACATACCTGCAAAACCGGTTGTATTCGATTGGCTATGCGCGCCAATCGGAATACGATATTAAATATTTCGCAAAGCATATACTAGTATTTAATAATAATAATAATAATTTAATTACAACTGTGACATATAGAATACTCCATTTTGAATACGAATCAAAAAGTCTTCAACAAGGTACGATTAAAAAAAATGATAGGCACACATGATAAGTAGGTTGATGGTAATGATGATCAAGAAAAAAGTTTATTAAATCGCACGTGCTGCCCGTTCCTATAACGCATATTGTCTTAAGGGGACGATTTATGGGTACTCTAGGATACTAAAATAATTGATGATGTTCTTGGTGTTGTGAAATATTTTACCACAGTATTGAAAAAGGGAAAACTGATTCAATGTGCAGAAAATGTTATAGTCTGTTTTAATTTTTGCAACAGCTGATACACACAGTTATACTGGTAAATGCAATTTCTCAGTTGATTGCATGTAATATGAATAACAGTGTAAAAAAAATGCTTAAATGAATACAAAATGAGTGTTACATTAAAAATTGCAAGAAGTGGCCAATGTTAACATCTCTGTCAAGTGATCATGCAGCTGTGAACACACATTAATAAGCACTGGTCTCTCTCTCTCTCAAAAATTAAATAAATAAATGAAAAATTATTATATAGTAATATTTTAGTTGCTTAGCTAAAGCTTACTCCAGACTATGCACACTTGTTCACATGATATTCAGCAGAGAGACATCATAATGCAGTGAACATTATACATTTATTGACTCATGATTGTGTTCTTGGGCAAAATTAATGCATTTTGTCGACCCTCGAACCATACTGTTTGCCTGAGGCCATTAGGCTGAAGGCAGACAGTTTGGTTTGAAGGTCAACGAAATGCATTCTGCCTGAGAACACAGTCAATAATTATAATGTTTTGTTATACCCTTTATTTCATTAACATACATGTAACTTATTCTGGCTTCTATGATGTAATTTTCCTTTACCCGCACTGCAGTTTAACTTGGTCTATTTCGCCTCTGTCAAACACCAACAAATGCAAATAAGAGTTATCTGACACATCAGTCGAATATTTAATCGATAGGTCCAATATCTCACTCTGCGGTCAAACATCGATTTTCGACAGACTGCTCAATAAAACATTGAAAATGTTAAACTTTTTTAGGATGAATTTATATAGTAAATAATTTCTAAAGGTATATAACAAAAATGTGATAAAGCCTGGTAAACTCAAAACTAGATCATAATGACTCTCATATTTTAAAGAATTAAAGATTCATATTCTAATTAATTTATGTATTATTAATTGTTATCAAATTTATTTCTAAACCTGAGACATTTTGCAGACATTGTGCTTTCAATATATAACGATTTTCTAGTTTCTTTGTTGAGGGGTAAGGTTTAATATTCTGGAAATTCCATATCCCATCTATATCTAATACCATATTAATTAATTAGCTTTGCACCAAAATATTTTTAATATTTACAATAAATTAGATATTTGCATTGTACGGTAACCAGCAGCAGAACAAAGTGTTATGAAGAGAATATGATTACTTGAATGTAAAAGATGTTTCTCACAGCTGTTACAATCCGCATTACATGTATTACTTATCATTATCTGAGTTTTCATTAAAATAATTGACTTTTACAGGCACAAATGCAGGATTTTCCATTAGTAAGAGAGGCACTTTTAGCAAGGGAGGGGTCTCGAGACAACTTATATCCCAAGAAGGTCAAGGACAGTGTTAGGTGGGGGTAAAAGCCCCTGAAGCTCACGAGAATAAGCAATTAGAGAACCTTATTTTGACATAAATGACTCTAATTTTACCTTTATTACATCATTTGATATGAAAGTGAAAACTATATGTATAAAACATATCTGAAACACTTTTTTTTGTTTTAGAGGGGCTAGTGCCCCCACCTGAATCTGTGTGCTTGTATGCATTTTAAGATTTTAGTGATAAATGCAGTTGAACTTCGGTATCTGGAACACTGATATCTAGAACACCATGGATATGTCAAAGTAATTTGGAAGTCCCAACTACTTATTCTTTAAGTATTTTACCCTCGATATCTCTAATCCTTGGATATCTTGAAGTTTTTTCTCGATCTTATCAAGTTCATTATAATGAGTTTTGACTGTATATGTAGCTATGTGCTTGTAGTAATATAAGTAAATAAAAAGGAAAATAATCTTTTACACAGCAATGAAGAGCACAATTAAGATTACGATCAATAGATTATTTTTAACATGTTCAAATCCTGACAGTTAGCTTGTTTTTCTGGTATTGATTTTTCATGTGCTATTTCACAGATTTTATTAAGGTCTAGATTTTATAGTAAACGAAAGATTCCTTTTAGAAATGAATTCAATATTTTAATGATCCTTTACAACTATAGCTCGGTAAATTAAGGTGTATTGGGACAAAACTTTTAGGTAAACTCAGCTAGCGATGAAACATATCTGTATTTCAAACTGCCATTTTCAATGAAAAATGAAGAAAATCAGGTATAGGTATGGAAGTTTCCTTTTCCACCTCAGACCAAAGAAATGTATCAAGATTGCTGACATGCAGTCTCTCAGAAAATCAGAAAACGTTTTTTCCCATATTTTCATCACCTCTGCTTTAAAATGATATTAAACTGCATGTATATAGGTAAAATGGTTACTTTTGACATGATTCAAATTGAATCCATGAAAATGCTTCATTTTCTACATATAGTTATTATAGCCATAAAGTAGAGAAAAAAATTATGATATCATAATGGATCTAGCATCAAAAAGACATTATTTTTATTAGATCTTGACTGTCAAGTTATATCAAAGGGTTTTATGTTGTACAACTTTTGCCCTCATGTTGATAACATTTTAACATTGAGCATAATTAACTTTCAGGTCTCTACAGCAATGTTATTTCACAGAGTTCTGGAGCTGCACCTCGATCGCACCATACCTCTATCTTGAAACACAGTTGTGGTACATAGATTTAGACAATCGGTCATCTACAAGATGCCTCAGCACAAGTCAGATATATTTTACTGTTAAGAAAACCCTTAGTTCAAGTGACGTATCCCACTCACATCAGATACAGAGGTAATTTCAATGTACATATGAAAGATTTGTTAAAAATAAAGTCCCTAGGGCCAGAGGCTCAAGGGAGTTTCTGATTGAAATTTGTCTGTTGTGTATTGGTGTACTGGTATTCATTGTGAGTATTGTTGCCCTTGTTGTCATCTTTGTAATTTTTCCTCAGATCCACCAGGACAATTTCAACCAACTTGGCACAATTATAGTATTCTTGAATGAAGAAGATTAAAGTTCAAATGAAGGGCAATGCTCCCTAAAAGGGAAATACTAGTAATAAATAAGTATGATGGGGTAACTTCAGAATCTTCTTTTCAATAAGACAGACTTGCAGACATGAAAGCTACCTGATATACATGTAGCACTGATTTGTTAACATCATTGTCCTGGAGGGTTATGAGGGTAGGGAACTGTGGTAGGGCCACAATAGAGATACAATTTTTACATTTTATTTTACATGGGAAAATCTGTAAGAACTCCAGGGCCATGATTAGAATGGTATAAAATGTATACAAGCATTCTTAGGTAGTGCAGATTGAAGGTTAATTGTTCAAAGCAAGACCATAGGGGAAGGGTGGTAAAAAATAAAATATTTCATGATAAAAAAGGGGGCAGGGCCAAGGTGATTCAGGTGAGCCATGGGCCTTGTGTAATTATTAATCCTTTTTGTTTTAAATTTGACAGATATATTATTACTTAAAATGTTTAAACAAATATCATTATGTTAGATTTTTTTCTTTTCAAATCTTTTCAAGTCCCTCTAAATCTCTAAATGTAATTAAAAGAAGATAATATATATAGTTTGAGAAAAATCCAGTTTTTTAGTACATGTACAGTAAAGTACTGGTAGTGTGTACCGGCATATCTAATGAAAAATTCAAAGTGTACAAAGCACAAATGAATATTTTAATTGTAAATGCTTTCTGTCACTTCATAGCTTTTTAATCCAGACAATTACAAGATTAACTACTGTCAACAATTGCTTAATAAAGTTCATAAACATGACCTTCATTAACTTGAATTAATTCCTTTATGTTTTTTTTGTATGTTGTTTAACGTCCCTTGAGAGAATTTTTCACTCATATGGAGACGCCACCACTTGCCAGTGGAGAGCTGCAAATTTTGTCCTATACTCGGCACTTACGGCCATTGAGCTGTGAGGGATCTTTTTTGTGCCAGCACCTATTGTGACACGGGACCTCGGTTTATGCGGTCACATCTGAAGGACCGGTCTTCATGTCCCACAGTGGGATTCAAACCTACGACGTAAGGATCAACTCCTTACTTTGCGACTCTAGAGCAGACACTCTACCACTGTGCCATGTGGGCGACAATTCCTTTATGTAGTAATCATAGCATTATAAAGTATATAAAGTAAAGTATTATAATACACACTATTTCAAATGCCTAAATATTTTACTCTGTTTGTTTTTTTTAGGTATTTATGACAGTTAAAGAAGCTTTTAAATCAGTGTGGATGTGGATATTAAAACTACTTGAAGGATGAGGAAAGGAGCCCTTTAAAAGGTACTTGTTAAGTTGGACAGGGTAATAAGGTAAAATTGTTGATTTGTTGTAAATATATGGAATGATAATGCATATATAGATAAAGATTCAATACATGCATTATTTAAGTAATGCATCCCCTCTGTCCACAATGAAATTTTAAAATCTTTTTTTTAAGAAGTTGATTGGATGAAATGATGGATTAATTGGCAGAATGCTTCACTTTTTGCACATTTAATTCCATAATGAACATTTTAAATGTATGTGTAGAGGATGTTCAGTGTTTTTTAATTGGATGTGGAATTTATTTCTCAAATGGGGCAGGATGGCTTAAGATTTTGAATGATATCTGCATTTTTCTTCAAGAATTTAAGTGATAATTAGTGAATTTGAAATTCTTGGTTAAGTGCCATGACTGAGGTCATAAATCATCCAACTTGAACATCTTGGAAGGAAAACAATCTCAAAAGAATGGTTAGACTAAATGGCCACAGTTACAATCTAATATGCAAAAACTTGCAGATTCAGATAATTAACTTCTTTAGGTCAGAGTCTTGCAAAAATAGAAGTCATAATATTAGGTACAATTATTTTTCTTTGTGAAAAATATATGTAGACAATGTCAAATCAGTATATAAGGGTGGATGCATGAATGATTTGTGAATAAGAATGTGGAATTCCTCCCATTTCTTGGTCTTTTGGTTTAAATTTATGGTCATATTTCATCTTCATTTGATATGTCTCAGATGAGCATCATGGTCCATAGGCCTTTTGTGCAGATATTAAGCTACTAGATTTGAGTATTAATACAAGAACAGACCAATGTGATAAATGTATAATCTTTGAATTGGTAAAAATTTTTTTTTTTTTTTTTAATCTAGATCACGCATTTATGAAAGAAGACAGCATCAGCACTGCCTTAAGATTCCAGTTGAGACCTTTATTTGTGTACTTACAGTCAGAAGATTAAAGAAGGACAATAGCAGAATGAAACACATGCTAGCAGACACTGATGTAATTGAATCCAGAATATGGTGATCAATTTTGAATGATTTTATCCTCTGGTTGAAATGATATTGATCAATTTTAAAAGTGGTTGACAATGAATTCTAAATACATGTATTTTGTTTACATGGCTTATTAACTCTGTAAAGTTTGCAATGTTTTGGGTTTTTGTGCCCTCTCATTGAATGTACAATTGTACATGTATTGTAATAGCTATTACCTAGTACATGGTTTTTAGTACCCTGCTAGCATATGAGGATAGTAAAGGGGGTTACTTGATTAATCTCAGGAAGTTTATTTATTGTTCCGGTTATCTATTTTTTCATATCATTACTATTTCTTCATTTGCTTCTTGTTAATAGAAAACATCATGTGATATTTTTATTTTTCATTAATGCACCTTAATTAACTACTGTGACAGTCAAAAAAATCAAAAACTTTCATAAGAAGGAGTGGCACATTTTAATTCTGGATTTTAAATCTATTTGCCTGATTTAGTACTGTATGTCTTTACCATCAGCAAACATAATTAAAATAATTTTACAAGTGCATAAGCAATATGAGGTATTTTTAAAGAATTTTACTACGATTTTAAAATATGGAATTATCATTAATTTGCATGTAGCTTTTATGATCAGTAAGATTAAAAATAATGGTAATATAAAAGTATAACAAATTTTATTCAAAGAAAATTTATTTTAATTCATCAAAAGTATATAGATGTTATATAGGAATCAATTTTTTTGTACAGGCCTAGCAATGTAATTTTTTTTTCAACCAGACCAGAACTTCCCAGAAGTCCTTTCAATGTAAATATATATAATAGAAGTTAATAGTCATCTCTTTTTTCTGTACTGTAGTAATAAACTATAATCTTACAACAAAAAAGAAATTTTTAACATGAAGATTGCAGCCCATATTGCTTTTTATTGAATTATCTCCCTTAATCATTGATAGATTTGTAGTGCGTTTTCTGTAAACATTATTTCAGAAAGTGGGAAAGGTTTAAAATTTGTTTTAAACTCTGTTGATTTTAATTCAAGCATAGTATATGTCCTAAATACATGTTTATATCACAAATGAAATTGCTACTATCAAGACATCAAGACATATATTATTATGTATTCTACACAAATTATTGATCTTCCCAGAGTTATTTCCCTGGTTTACAGTGGAAAATTTTTAAATACATGTATCTTTTAGTGTAAATGACATGTATGACTGTTATGCTAAAAGCTTTTAAAAAACTTAAATTTATTTATGTTTACTGTCCTTGTTGTGTAAAGCATCTATATTACTTTCAAGTATTAAGTTATGTTGAAATAAACTATGCCATTATTAAACAGTAATCATTTTTATATCATCATATACATGTATATTGAACCCTGTTCATTGGAGCTGTGGTCAGTGTTTGGCACTGGGTTCAGAATATTTCACAGAGTGGGGAAAATGGGTAGAAAAAATATATATGCATGGTAATATTTAGAAAACATCTTCTTGGATCTTTTCCCAAGTATGACCTCATTTTAATGGTTGTAGAATGAACCCTACATGCATATATTCTAGATTTTTAACTTTAAACAGCCCTTAGTTCTATGGTAAAAGCACAATAAGATTCTTTTTAATAGAAATGTGAAGAATTTTGCTCACCTTGACATGAGGGAGGGGGGTATTTTGATATACTCAGAAAGATATGATTAGGATCATGGATCAATTTGATCAACTGACACCTACATATAACAGCCAGATTTAAAAGGGGGAGGCTAGAATGGTATGGTAATTTATTGCAAAACCCAAGAACCCCAGCCCTCCAGATTTAAAGCTGTTTTGTGTGTCTTGCAGAAAATATTTTACTTTCAGGCTACCATTCCTTCGGTATAAATTTTTTTTCTTGCCAAAATGTTCATTTGATACTTTTTTCATTAGAAATACCAATATTCAAATTCAAAGATAGACCACTGAATTGACAAGTTCATTTTGGAAATCCAGAAAAGGCTTGTATGGGTTCTAAAGACCTTTCCCCTTCTCGATCTCTCTAAAAAAACCATAAAGTTTGCCAATTAAAAAAAAAGATTTTTTTTGGCATTTTCATACTTCATTTTTTTACTCCCTATTTTTACAGCTTTATAATTCTTCCCAGGAAGTGTGGGTATGTACCTTGAACCCCCTAGTCCTGGATCCATCCATGCCTTCCATAAAAAACCTGGATGCCCTGGAAATTTATAAAGCCCTAAAGACAAGGGGGAAAAAGATGAAAAAAAAATATTGGAAATGGGGGGGGGGGACTTCTCATGAATAAGATGCTTAATTTCCTCCATGTTTATGACTTTTCTAACCAACTTGCCATGGAGGATCCAAGTCATTGAAGTTATACATACTTTATAATTCATTAAATTTCATATATAGTTTTGAACATCCCAGGGAGCTCCCAGCCCCCCCCCCCCCCCCCCCCCCCTCCAGTGTGAACTACCTCCATGTTAATGACTTTTCTAACCAACTTGCCATGTGTATGGGGACCATGGTTTCAAGGAGGATCCTAGTCATTTAAGTTACATTAACTTTAAAATTCATATAATTTCATATATAGCCTTGAAAATCCAGGGATCTCCAATACCCCCCCCCCCTCCTGCGTGAACAAAGTGCTTTAATTTCCTCCATGTGAATCACGTCTAACCAACATGTCATGTGTAGGGGGCCATGGTTCCAAGGAGGATCCTAGTCATTAAAGTTACTTTATATAATTCATTAAATTTTAAATAGCTCTGAAAATCCCAGGGATCTCCAAGTCCCCCCCCCCCCCCCCCCCCGTGCCTGGAAGGGGATATTGGAACCGTTTTATTAGACGAGAAAAATCTTGTATAAATTCGTAACATGTATATTAAGTTTGATGTATATTTCTCAAGGAATTAAATAATATTCATTACGGTAGAAAATGCAAATGAATAGAATGCTGAAAGTCAGATGAAGTATATATACATGTATATTGGTATACAAAAAAAAAATCTAATGGAGTATGCAAAAATCTTTGCAAAACACCCAAAAGACCCTTTGGTTAGAGGTTATTTTTTTAAACTACGTAAAAATTATGCTAAACTCAGAAAGTTTAAGTGCAAGCAGTTTAAAAGCAACATGCTTCAGAAAATAGATGAACTACACCAAAACAATCCTCAAGAATACTGGAATCTTATTAGGGACATTTCTAACAAAAAATCAATAGATAATGGGAATGCAATATCTGCATCATCCTGGTTGACACATTTTTTAACTTTGAATACTGTCAAAGATTCATTTAAACAAAGGATTGCTTTTTTAGAAAAGCAAGTTTGTCAATTAGAGGCTCGGACATGTTTTAATGAGTTAGATTTTCAAATCTCTGAATCTGAAATATCAAAAGCAATCAGTGGACTCAAATGTAACAAAACACCCGGTCTTGACAGAATTTCAAATAGTATGTTAAAATATGGGCAAAATTCATTATTGGCCAGTCTAAAGAAATTGTTTAATTGTTGCCTAGTTAATGGAAAATATCCCAATCAGTGGACTGATGGACTTGTAACAGTTCTTCATAAATCTGGAAACACAAATGACCCAAACAACTATCGCGGAATTACTATTACAAATACAATAGGGAAACTCTTCAATAGTATTCTGAATCTAAGATTGGATACATTTCTTTCTAAACACAATGTGATAAGTGACTGTCAGCTTGGGTTTACTAGATCAGCAAGAACTTCAGATCATATGTTTATATTAAGAAATATAATTGAGACTTATTGTCATACCAAAGAAGGAAGGATATATGCATGTTTTGTTGACTTTCGTAAAGCTTATGATACTGTAATTCATTCTGGCTTAAAATACAAACTATTAAGATTATGTATTGGAACAAAGTTTTATGATCTGATCAAAAGTATATATAGTCAAAGCAAATCTTGTATTAAAATGAAAAATTCTCACACAGAATTCTTTGACGTCAAACTAGGGGTAAAACAGGGCGATAATCTGAGCCCTACCTTATTTAAAATTTTTATCAATGATCTATACCAGAGTATCTTCAAGACACCCCTAATCCCATCTTACTAATGATAAGGTAGTTAACTGTCTTATGTATGCTGATGATGTGATATTGTTATCTCAGACAGCAGTAGGTCTTCAATCTAAATTGCATAAGCTACAGTCCTTTTGTAATGACTGGTGTCTGGAAGTGAATGTAACAAAAACCAAAATTCTCATATTTAATAAAGCAGGCCGTTTGATAAAAAAAGAATTTAAGCTATTTGATCAGATATTAGAATCTGTGTCTTCTTATAGATATTTGGGGGTACTCTTTAGTGCCTCTGGAACCTTCTCATATGCTCAGGAAGACCTCTATAAAAAAAACTTTGAAAGCATTTTATAAACTGCAAAAAGATTTTTTGTCTTTGAAACCCAGTGTTAAAACATCCCTTCATGTTTTTGCTTTATGGATGTGAAATATGGGGGAACATCAATCGACCTAGTATTTTCCTTAAAACCTGCAAACTCTCGGTGTATGACATTTTTTATAAGTTAAAGTGTGAGAATCTACACATAAAATTTTGTAAGAATATATTAGGATTGCATAGAAAAAGTGCAAACTTCTCCTCATTATCTGAGCTCGGTAGACTGCCTCTTCATTTTGATATTATTTAAAGTATTTTGAATTATGTCCATAGATTAGAATGTCCAGACATGTCATTTCCATTATTGAGAGCAGCATACTCTCAAAGTAAGATTAACTGGAGTAACAGTATACCATCCTGGTATGGAACATTGAGTAAAATTGCAGAAATATTAAATTTTAATAAGGATACTTTTTTTAACAAATTGCAAACTTTCAAGACTACATGCAAAAAATTCTTATTTGCATATTACATGAATGAGTGGAACTTAATAAGATTGTCACAAGAAGGTAA